TTCAATCCTCTTCCCCTCTCCCCACATCGAGGAAAAAATGCACAGCCTCAAAATGTCGGATTACTCCTCCATTCGCACAGCTTGCATCCATAACGGTCGTCTTCCGTCCACATCACAGCGCAGTCAGTCTTCAGGCTTAGAGGCCTTCAGCCATTATACTCCCGACGTAGCTCCGCAACAGCCAGCAGGCTTGCCGCTCCACCAGAGGTCGCAATCAAGAGTTCCTCTCGTACTATCAAGATTTACTGCCCAGTCAATCACAGTAGGGTAAAACTAACCTGTCTCACGACGGTCTAAACCCAGCTCACGTTCCCTGTTGGTGGGTGAACAATCCAACACTTCGCAATTTCTGCTTCACGATGATAGGAAGAGCCGACATCGAAGAATCAAAAAGCAGCGTCGCTATGATCGCTCGGCTGCTACAAGCCAGTTATCCCTGTGGTAACTTTTCTGTCACCCATGTCCCAAGCCTTATAGGACATGGGATCTCTAGGCCAGGGTTTCCCCCAAACAATCCCGCAATAGGAATAGTCTCAAGCAGGCTTATGCCCTTGTGCTCCACGCGTGGTTTCCTTCCCCGCTGAGCCCGCCTTAGGACGTCTGCGTTAGTCTTTAGCAGTCGTGCCGCCCCAGCCAAACTCCCCACATCCATAAATAAACCGCTGAGGCTCAGTCATAGTGGTCTCGCACATCTCCCCCCACCTCTCTTCATAACCACCCTCAGCACTTCTCACATGCTAGAGTCAAGCTCAACAGGGTCTTCTTTCCCCGCTGATCAGCCCAAGCCCGTTCCCTTGGCTGTAGGTTCACAATACAGGTCGTAGGGACAGTGGGAATCTCGTTGCTCCATTCATGCGCGTCACTAATTACATGACGAGGCATTTGGCTACCTTAAGAGAGTCATAGTTACTCCCGCCGTTTACACTCGCTTAAGCTCAAAAAGCCGTAACTAAAAGTGCACTGGGCAGAATTCACCTTGCGTTCTTCCGCAAGGCTATGTTTTTAATAAACAGTCAGATTCCCCACAACAAACAGTTCTAGCACGCTAGAGCCAATCCTTCTCCCAAAGTTACACATCCATCTTGCCGACTTCCCTTACAACCCTTCTCAAATTCGCTTCCGCGTCAAACAGTGGACACCTGTTGCGGTCTAGGTACGACATGCATGCTTCTTTTTCATCGGAACAGGTCATCTCCTCAGCGCTGCTTCGTCTCTTAACAATCCACACCGCTACTTCCCCTAGTTCTGCTCTCCTAGGATCAAAAATCCCCCATCCGTCATCATCAAGTCGCCTCAAAGCATCCATACACTCAATCTTCAATCAGTCTCCGTTTCAACAGTCGATTCACCCCCATCAAATGGGGAACCCTCGTCCACAGCGCAAATCCTTTCTTGTTACTACTACCAAGATCTGCTCATATCACCCCTCCACCCCCGCTCACGCAGGACCTTCGTCAGAATGATATCGCCCTCTTACTCAGCTCCGCCGCTAAGGCCTCGGATACCTGCAATTCAATCCCTTCCATTTTCTCCAGCGCCCAATTCGGTAGGTACGTTGCAACACGTTTCTTAGCGGATGCCAACCTCCATGGCCACCGTCCAACTGTCAAAATCAAACCGCCAGATTCTCTTCCCTTGCATACGGCTCCTTATCCTAAAAAAGGTTCATCCCTTCTCGCACATCATGCTTACCACAATATGCCCACTGGCTACCCCCTTACAAGACATCTTCAAAGTTTAACGCTATCGCATTAGTGCTTTACAACATCTTACATCAAGTCGCCGCTGTCCTGAGAGACATTTCAGAGGGAACCAGCTACCAGATGGTTCGTTTGGTCTTTCGCCCCTATGCCCATCTCATGCCATCGAGTTGCACGTCAGAACGGCTTAGATCCTCCAGAACACTTTCGCATCCCTTCAATCAACACAGGCATAGTTCACCATCTTTCGGGTCGGATCACTGCATCCACTAGCTCTCGCTAAAACAATCCAGCCATCCTCTCCTTGGTCCGTGTTTCAAGACGGGCGGGTCTCATCCCCTTCAAAGCATTCACTTTCATTTTTCATCTTGTCTTTTTCACATTTCAATCACTCTACTTCTTCGCTATCGGTCATTAGCTTATATTTAGCTTTCGGTGAAAAAAAACACCACCCAATTCAGGCTGCACTACCAAACAACCCTACTCTTCTCTCAAGTCCGGATACTTACAGGCCATTCCCCCTCTAAGATCAGGGACTTCAATCCCTAGCTCAGTCTCCTCCTACTCAAAACAACCCGCCAAACGCAGTTACCATTCGAGCTCCTGTCCTTTCACTCGCCGCTACTCCGACAATCCCTTTTGGTTTCTTCTCCTCCCTTTATTGATATGCTTAAGTCAAAGGGGTCCCCAAGCGCTTCCGCTTCATTCAGACATCCTCAAAAAGGCATATCGTCCTCCTACACGTCCTTCCTCGCTGCTAATGCCTATCAATCCCGTGAATCCTCAAATCAAAAAAATTCCCCCCAATCTCTCAAATACTGATCCTGCTGCTGGTTCTCCAACAGCAGCCATGTTACGACTTATATCTTATCTAACACGAAGGACTCAGACCTTCCAATCTTCGTCCACTGCGTCATCTTAGATAGCGACGGGCGGTGTGTACAAAGGACAGGGACCCATTCAAAACAACTTGTTCAATCGTTATTACTAGGAATTCCACGTTCAGAAGCCCATTACACAGCTTCATCCCTCACAGCAGGCTCCCTCGCCATCTATCGTAGTGCGCGTGCCGCCCGCTTCATCTCAGGGCATAACGGACCTGTTCTGTTCCATTCCTCCCTTGCCCCAAAGAGCACTGTCAAAGGGTCTCACATCTTACGCAACTTAATCCAAAGCTCACGCCATCCATTTCAAACGGCCATGCACCACCGCCGCGCGCATCCCGTCCTCGTTCTCCTGCCCGCTTCAGAACCGGTAAGTTGCCCCGCGTTGAGTCAAATTAAGCCGCACACTCCACTCCTTGTGGTGTCCTTCCGTCAATCTCTTCAAGTTTCACTCTTGCGAGCATACTATCCCCAGAACCCACATACTCAAGATTTCTCATGCACAACACTATATAGTCCCGTCCAGTCGGCATCGTTTACTGCTAGAACTAAAACGGTATCTAATCGATTTCGATCCTCTAGCCTTCGTCCTTCATCGTCACATAAGTCCAAGAGCACAGCCTTCGCTTCTGTCCGTCCAGTCAGGGTCTTCGTATTTCACCCCTCGCCCAACTATCCGGTGCCCCTCGTCCTCTGCCAAACCTCTTACATCCACATCAGGACATAATCCCCCAAACAAAGACATACAAAAGACTACGGACTTTTTAACTGCAGCATTCACCATAGACACTATTGGAGCAGGTATTACCGCGGCTGCTGGCACCCGACTTGCCCTCCAATCAATCTCGACTCCTTTACACTCGAAAAAAACTCACTTCTCATAACCGCCTCCCCAAAGGATTAGGCAAGTTTCGCGCCTGCTGCCATCCTTGGACGTAGTAGCCATCTCTCAGGCTCCCTCTCCGGAATCAAACCCCGATCCCCCGTCTCCCGTCTCCGCCTAGTTAGGCCATTACCCTAACTACCAGCTGATAGGCCTACAACTTACTTGGCTCGTGTCAAAAACACTCCTAGCCCCCTACCTGCAGTTTCCCGCAGTTACAGCTCTCCCGCCAACCAAATCATCGTACTATCACTGAGCCGTCCGTCAATCCCCCACAAGGTTCATCAACATGCATGGCTTAGTCCCAGAGAATAGCATCCACGTCAGGCAGAATCAACCTGGTGCTACCCCCCATCAAAAATCTCTCAGATCCCTCATCAACAAACCCCTGGCCACAGCCACATCAAATCCCAAAAAATCCTCCATCCCCACCGTCAAACACAAATCTCTCTCAGAGGAGACCAAAACTAATCCAAAACCACTCTCTTTTCTCCCCACATCCCAATCCTCCCCCTCGCTCCCCCTTCTCTCCATAGCCCCTCCCCCCACATCCCAATCACAACATAGACCCCTCTCAAACCACCCTATGCTCTCAATCTTTTCAATCACACACTTCCTCTACAGGACATTGAAAAGCCTCTCCTTTAACTTGCTCCTCTCCTTAAATCCTCAAGTACATAAGGAACTTCCCCGCTCACCCCTACAATGAACTCCAAGGCTTTTCTTTTCTTCTCTCTCTCACTCCTCACAGGAATTCTTGCCGAGACCGGATCGTCTTCGTCTTCTGGTAACGTAGAAGGACAAGGAAATGGAGGTGGAGGATCGGGAAATCCCGGAGGACTGGGAGATCCCTCCTGCGGTACTAATGGAGAAAACGGTGATGATGATGAGTAAAGAAACACTCAAAGGCCCATCGGCACAGACCATACAATGGCCCTGGCCCTACTCCACATCCCGGAAACAATAGAAGGGGCCCCAAAACCTCTTAATCAGACAAGACATTAAATACTTTCACTAAAGAATGCTCTGTTTATTCCTCATGCTTCTTCTCGAAGCCCAGAGAGAATCTCCTCTCGGATTCCTTTCATTCTTCGTCTCCACTCAATCTCGTCCTGCACCTTCTCAATGTTCAGCTGGCTTCCAGGATGCTTGATTCCAGACAGGAACGAAACCACTCGAGACACCATCGCCTCTCCACTCACGTGCCGCAGAGACATAATGATTATGTTATACAACATCCCGTTATCATGCACCATCGAACACAGCTCCTCCCCGTGGCTCACAACATATTCAACCATTGCGTCCCGGAACTTGTTTCCTCGGCAGATCACCGCTATCACCACTCCAATGTCCTCCACATTAAACTTCCCAAGCGAAGACAATATTTTCTCAAAGTTCTCTTGCTTCTGGATCCCTCCGAATCCAAACATCACCTCCCGTCGCATCCCAGGCGTGTCTCCCTTCCAGTACTTCTCCATCATGTACTCCAGATTGTCGTCAACAACTCCTTCGTACACAATCCTTCGGAACTCTCCAAGCTCCTTTCCGCTTCTAAGATGCTCATTCCACATCTCCATAACCTTCTCCTTTGCCACCTTGCTGCCAACCTCAATCCCCACCGACAGTACATACTTGTCCATGCTGATCTCCTCAACTGATCCTTCCCTCTTCCAAACATCCACAGAAGAAATCCTCCTTTCAATTAGCCCAATAATCTTCTTCTCCACAAGAGAAACAACCTCCGAGTCGTCATAGAACACACTTCGGATCCGGAGAAGCTTCTCAATGGCACTTCGTCCAACATGGTACGTCTCAGAGTAATACTCTCCAACCTTTCGAAGTCCTTCCTTTAGTCCTCCATACAGCCCAAACCCAACCCCAAACACATCTTCAATCATGTTCACTCGGTCCTCGCTGCTCATCTCCCCAATCCTCTTCTCAAGACGCTTAAGCCCATCAAGTCCGTACTTCACTCGGTAAAACCCTCCATACTCCGCATTCATCTTGTATCCCTCCTTCTTCCGAGGAATCTCCATCTCCTTCCCAGAAAACGAAATACTCTCCTTCTCTCCTCCTTCCCATTCTATCACAACAGGCACCGTCCATACACTCGAATCCCCCTTTCCTATCATCGAATACCGCGACTGCTTCAGCATAAGTGAAGACTCACGTTCAGACACTTCTACCATAGGATACCCCGCCTGCGAAATCCATCCCTCAACCATCGGCAAAATATCCTTTCCATACTCCTTTCCAATCGCCTTCCACAGACTCTCTCCATTCACATTCCCATACATATGCTCTCTTATGTATCGCCGGATCCCCAGCATAAATACAGACTCCCCCACATATCTCTCAATCATCCTGATCACACTCGACCCCTTGCTGTAGCTTATCGTGTCAAAAATCTCTCCAATCTCCCCTGCATTCTCAACAGCCATTTGGATCTTGTGGCTCTTTCCAAGCCCATCATCAAGCATTCCTCGGATCACATCCCAGAGCAAAAATTCTCCCCACACATCCCAGTCCACAACATCCCCGATGTTCTCCATCCCCTTGTACGACATCCATGTTGCAAACCCCTCGTTCAGCCATAGGTCGTCCCACCACTCCATCGTCACAAGGTTCCCAAACCACATGTGTGCTAGCTCGTGGCACACTGTCTCCGCCACATTCTTCTTGTCTTCCACACTGCTCTTCCCTGCAACATACAGAAGACTCTCCCGTCGGAACGTAATCAGCCCCCAGTTCTCCATTGCTCCACTTCCAAAGCTCGGAATCCCTACCATGTCCACCTTTGCACTCTCCTTCCGTGGAAACTCATATCCAATCCCAAAGTACTCAGAAAAGTAGTCAATGCATCTCTTTGCAACCTCCAGTCCGTATCTTCCCCACTCCACTTCCTCTCCTTGTCCATACACTCGAAGTCGCACTCCCCCCTTGCTCCAGTCCTCAATGTAATTAAGGTCTCCAATCACAAATGCAACAAGGTACGTCGACATCTTGCTTGTCTTCTCAAAATACGAAATCGCCCTGTCTCCATACTCCTCCCGCTTCTCTTCCTCTTCGGGGCTGTTCGAAAGAACAACAAGCCTCGAGGGCGCATCAATCGAAATCTGGAATGTTGCCTTCATGTCCGGCTGGTCAAAACATGGAAACACCCTCCGTGCATCCGTCGGCTCAAAGTGCGTACTATATATCTCCTTCTCTTCCCCACTCTTGTAGAACCCTACAAGTCCGTTGTTGTAGTCTCCACAGAACTTCGCCGTGATATATCCCTTCCCCGCCTCAATCTCCTTTTCAAACACAATCCGCACAATCTCGTACTCTTTCTCCTTCTCCCCCATCACTATCTCTCCAGGAACCTCGGTGTCTCCAACCCGAATCGTCGCCTCCTGAATCTCAAGTTCTTTTGCGTTCATCACTATCTCCCTTACAGGTTCCAAAATACTCACAGAGATCCCTACCTTTCCGCAGAACCCCACGTCCATCACTTTTACATGCAGGTCGTAATGCTCCGGAATCACAATCTTCTCCAGTCTTCGCCTGTACGAAGAATCCTCTTCCTGCCTACCCTCAATCATGGGTATCAATCCAATTGCCAATTCAATCCATTTCATTCCCTTTTGTTTTCGCTTTTTTATTAATACTATTTAATAATCCATGATTGCCTTAATTGTGGCTCTTGCTGCAAACCAAGGCATAGGAAGACACGGGAAACTCCCCTGGAAACATCCCCTCAAGACAGACATGGCCTGGTTCAGAATCCTCTCCCAGAGCGTCCCTATCCTTTCCCCCGACCACATCAGCCTCTCCCCCTCCAAATCAAATGTCGTCGTCATGGGCAGAAAGACATGGCACTCCATCCCCTCGCGCTTCAGGCCCCTTCAAAACCGCATCAATGTCGTCTTGTCAAGATCCTCCCTCCCCCATTCCCAGAACACCTTCTTCATCCCAAGCTTCGCCGCCCTCGACCATCTACCTCTTCCCCCATCTCCTGCAACCTTTGTCATCGGAGGACATGACATCTATGCCCTTGCAATCCAGACAGGCAGGGTCCAGGCCATGTTTGTCACAGAGGTCCACGAGTCCCCAGAATGCGATGTGTTCTTCCCTCAGGTCGACTGGTCTTCCTACCAAAAGAGAGACATCACTCGCGATGTCGCCAGGCTTGTGGACACCACCCTTGTAGATGCCTTCTACATCCCAGAAGAAAACATCTTCAACGAAGGCGGCATCTCCTTCAAGATGTTCATTTACACCAAACTACATCCTTAGTAGCCCTTCCAACCCTCCAAAAACATCAGATGACCCAAGAAACAAGACATCCAGAACACCAGTACCTCGATCTGATTGCCCACATCCTCGAAAAGGGTGTCAAGAGGCAAGACAGAACCGGCACAGGAACCCTGTCCATCTTCGGGGCATCAATGAGGTTTTCCCTCGAAGACAACACATTTCCCCTGCTGACAACAAAGAGGGTCTTCTACAAAGGCATTGTCGAGGAGCTTCTGTTCTTCCTGAGGGCCCAGACAGACTCCGCCATCCTCGAGAAAAAAGGTGTCATGATCTGGAAGAAAAACGGATCCAAGCAGTTCCTGCAGTCCATGGGTCTGGACAGAGAGGAAGGAGATTTAGGCCCAATATACGGGTTCCAATGGAGGCATTTCGGTGCAGAGTACCAGACATCCAGCTCAGACTATAAGGGCCAGGGCATCGACCAGATCAGGGATGTGATCGAGTCGATCAAGAACAACCCAGAGAGCCGAAGGATGGTTGTGTGTGCATGGAACCCCCTGGCCCTTCCCAAGATGGCTCTCCCTCCCTGCCATGTTCTCTTCCAATTCAATGTGATGGATGGAAAGCTGAACTGTGCAATGTACCAAAGGTCGGGAGACATGGGCCTGGGCGTGCCCTTCAACATAGCTTCCTACTCTCTGCTCACAATAATCATAGCCCATCTGACAGGCCTCCGGCCTGGAGAGTTTGTCCACTTCCTGGGGGATGCACATGTGTATCTTGACCACATCGACTCCCTCAGGCTACAGCTCCAAAGAACGCCCCGAGAGTTCCCAAAGCTCTTTGTTAATCCAAAGGGAACAAGAGTGGAAATCGAAGACTTCGAGTTCGAGGACTTCGAGCTTGTGGGGTACAACCCTCATCCTCCAATCCAGATGAACATGAGCGTCTGAAAATCTTCCCTCCAACAAGTATTTAAGTTTTGGGGAAGGACAAGCCATGACAAAGGGAAGAGGAGAGGGCTTCTGGACAGGCCCGATGGAAACAGTGGATCCAGAGCTCCATGCCCTGATCTGCGGAGAGGCTGCAAGGCAGCAAAAGACAATAAATCTGATAGCCAGTGAAAACTACGTCCACCAAAGCGTGATGGAGGCCTGCGGGTCGGTCCTTACCAACAAGTATTCCGAGGGGAGAGTGGGAGAACGGTACTACGGAGGAACACAATGGATAGACAAGATCGAGACCCTTTGCCAGAAGAGGGCTCTCTCGCTCTTCGGCCTCGACCCAGCAGTCTGGGGCGTCAATGTCCAACCATACTCGGGGAGCCCAGCCAACTTTGCCGTCTATACAGCCCTCGTTCCTCCCGGAGGAAGAATCATGGGCCTCGATCTTCCATCTGGAGGCCACCTGACACACGGATACAGGACAAAGACCAGGAAGATATCGGCCACAAGCGTTTACTTCGACTCAAGAGCCTACAGAATAGGCCCCGACGGCTTCATCGACTACAATGCCCTCGAGGATGCCTTCAACAACTTCCAGCCTCACATCCTGATCTGCGGGTACAGCGCATACTCCAGAGACATCGACTACAAGAGGCTTTCCTCCCTGGCTGCCTCCAACAACGCCTTTCTCTTTGCCGACATCTCCCACATCTCTCCTCTGGTTGCATGTGGCCTGATGAACAGCCCCTTCAACCACTGCGACGTGGTCATGACAACAACCCAGAAAGGCCTTCGAGGCCCCCGTGGCGCCCTCATCTTCTACAGGAAAACAGTTACAAAGAACGCCGTCTCCATCGACCTGGACACAAAGATCAACTTCGCCGTCTTCCCCATGCTCCAGGGCGGCCCCCACAACCACACAATCGCTGGAATCGCTTCGGCTCTTCTCCACGCCGCAACCCCCGAGTTTGCAGAGTACGCCAGGTGTGTCGTCGAAAACTCTAAAGCACTCTCCGCCCATCTGCTGTCCCTGGGCTTCGACATCCCCACAGGCGGAACAGACAACCACATGTTCCTTGTAGACCTCAAGAACAAGGACGTCAACGCCACCGCTGTCGAGCATGTGTGCGACATCCTGGGAATCAGCCTCAACAGAAACACCATTGCCGGTGACTCAAGCCCCCTCAACCCATCCGGAATCCGCATAGGCACATATGCCGTCACTGCCAGGGGCCTTGGCCCACATGACATGAGAGAGCTTGCCGCCATAATCAACGGCGTCGTCGAGCTCTGCAGAGAGACATTCCCAGGGAAGAGCATCCCAAAGGCAGAGCTCCAGAAAACAGCGTCTGCCCTCTTGTCCTCCAGCCCCGCTGCCGCCGATCTGAAGAAAAGGGTCCTTGCCCTCGTAGACGCCCATCCCATCTACAAGTAGTTTATTAAAAACGCTTCTTGCCGCCATCTCAGACAATAAAACCCCCTCCCCTTTCCAAAGCTAATGAAGAAAATAGACCGTCGAGCAATATGGAGCAGACTTGCATCCATGCTAAAGCCCACATCTCCCCACGAGGTTGCAATAGTCGTTGTAATGGCCCTCTGCATCGTCCTTGGAAAGTGGCTTGACGTTGCTTCCATCAAGAAGAGAGGCTCTATCATCGACACCATAAAGCACATCAAGGACTCCGACAATCCAGGCATGTCCTTGATCTTCCGCAAGGCAACAGCCTTCCTCGTCCTCAGAACCCTCTCCTCTCTCTTCATCGAGTCCAAGGTCGTCCTCTTCTCCATCATAACAAACAGGATTGTCGAGGACATAACCTCCCGCATTCTTTACCTTGCAATCCACGCCTCCCATGCTTGCGAAATCAAGCCCACAAGCCTCAACAGGATTGTCGAGAGGGGAAACAAGAAGATCTGCAAGGTCCTTACAAAGATCCTCACCGTCGCCGTCCCTGCATTCTTCAACCTTGTTCTTCTCCTCAGAGAGGTCTATAGGATGTTTGGCCTCAGATACCTTCTCCCCATCCTCTTCACAATCTCCATCTATGCTGTCTACACCTTTGTGACCCTGAGGATCCGTTCCTGGTACAAGGAGAGAATCAACTATGCAGACAACTCGGTCTCCAAGAAGATCCACGAGTGTGTCTCAAACATGGATCTTGTCAAGACATGCTGCTGCGAGCAGGCCGAGGTCGACAGCCTCCAGGAGATCATAAGGGCAATGTGGACTCTCAAGCTCTCCGACAAGGGATGTGTGGCCATAATCAACTTTGGCCAGAGGATACTCTTCACAATCCTCTTTGTCTACTCCGTCCTCAAGGGCACTCCAGATGCCTTTTCCGGCACAATGACCATTGGAGACCTGGCAACTCTCTTTTCCTTTGTATTCTCCATCGACCTGTCCATGTGGACACTGGGTGTCATTGCAAGGGACATGGGGTTCTGGCTGATAGACTGCGAAGATCTGCTGATCCTCCACGACCACTTGGAGAGGATGGCCAGACAGAGTCCCGCCTCCTCCCTTGCCACAGGCTTCCCGTGTCCCTCTCTGTCATCCCCCAAGTCCCAAGCCCCTCCAGCCATCGAGTTCGAGGGCGTCAGCTTCGGATATCCAAACGCCCCTCCCATCCTCAGAAACCTGTCCTTCAAGATTGCCCGTGGCGAGCGTGTCGGAATCATCGGAAGGCCTGGAAGCGGCAAGAGCTCCATCCTAAGGCTGATCCCGATGCTCCACTCCTACACAGGCTCCATCCGCGTCAACGGCCTCGAGCTCCGCAACACCTCCCCTGCTGCCCTCCGCGCCTCCATCGCCTGCATTCTTCAGGACATGCCTTTCTTCGACGAGACTGTCTTCCACAACATTTCATACGGCCTCCCAGCAACCAGCCTCCAGAAGATCCTCGAGGCATCCAGGAGTGCAGGCCTCGGGCCCCTGCTTGTGAGGCGAGGACTCCACTCGGCCATGAAGATGCTGAGCGGCGGAGAGGTCCAGATGGTCTCGATTGCAAGATGCCTGCTCCAGAACAAGCCGCTGATGCTTCTCGACGAGGTCACGTCGAGGCTGGATGCAAGTGGGGAAAGGGCCATCTTCGACCTGCTGATGGGCCTTCCCGGAAAGACTGTTGTCATGGTCTTCCACGATCTGTGGATGGCAGAGCACATGGACAGGATCATCCTGATGGACGCCGGCCGCATAGTCGAGTCTGGAAGCCATGGCGAGCTGATGGAGCTCCGCGGGGAGTACTGGCGCATGAAGACGGGGCTAGGAAACTTCAAACCCGCTGCAGGGGACCCATTGCAAAGCCGCCATGCCCCCCTGGATGCAGGATGCAGAGATCTGTAGGCTTCTGGACGAGATCCAGTCCGACATTGACGGGGAGCACGAGGCGTTTGCAAGGAGGGACTTTGAGTGCAAGCTGGAGCACCACAGGAACATCAAGCCTCTGCTTGGAAAGAGGGACGGGCTTGTCCGCAGGGCAGTTGAGTGCTACTGGGCCCGCGCACTTGCGAACTACAGGCCCGGGGCGGCACTGCTCCCTGTGGATGCACTCGGCAGGCCAGACACGCGATGGCTGAGATCTCTCGAGGTCGACTACCTCCCTGAATATGGATACAGGGTGCACATGGAGCTCAACGAGAACGAGTTTGTGCAGAACACTGCGCTGACGAAGAAGGCATATCTTGGGAGGAGAGATGTGGAGAGGAGCGGGGTGCGGTGGAAGGGAGACCTGAGGTGTGCTGTGCTTGGGTTTTTTGAGACAGACACCCAGGACCTGGACATCTTTGACATCCTCTACGAGCTCTATGTCAACTCAGCCTTCTATTTTTTGAAGTCTCCCTGAAAGCTTCTTTTTCAAATTAATTAAAGTCCACAGGAATCCATTCTTCTTGGTTTTATCAATATGATTTACTCCCATTTGCCGAACAAAAAACAAAAATATTTAATTTTTTCAATTTAAAGGACGCTGGATATCTTCTATATTATCCGGTATTTGAATCTTAAATGTATAAAAAATAAATATAGACACCAATACCGTAATAAATCTTATCCTATTATAACCAGGACTATACTTCTCTAAACGTCCCCATTTTAATATCAATAATTCTTTCCATAGTGAAAAAACTCCCATTCCAAGGCCACAAGCCAAGCAAGCATACGGTAATATGTCCTCTCTTTTCCAAATCCATGAAATAATCATGGAAACAACTAAAACTGCTTGAATAACAATATGGACCAAAATTTCGAACTCATATTTTTTAAGCATTGATCTAGGCAAAACATCCAAAGAATTGAATATTATATATACTAAAGCTATGGAAGGACTGCTTTCACCAATGAACTTACTGGTGTTCTTTACTTTTCCCATGGCAGTAAAAAATACAAAACTTGGAACCAATAAAAAAATAAAAATTGAGCAAATATACAGAAAAACACAGTTAACAAGATATGATATTTTCCCTTGAGATTCTGCGAGATTCTTTCTCCATATTCTTATTAGCCAGTAGCTTGATATTTCGATGATGAATGAAAGCTCCACCAACGCTTCTGCGGCATTAAGTAAATTACTCCAATCTCTTTGTATCTTACAAAATCTGAGGATTCCTGCGACGACCATAGACAGTAGATAAGTGGAGCTTATTGTTATAGAACATCTATTTTTTAAATCACTTGCTCCCATTCCCTATTCCATTTTTAAAATTTTATATATCTCCTTTTTGATCCTGTCCTAAAAAGACATAATCTCACACAGACTAAAACATAAATAAAATACAGCATAACTGTAAAAATATATCTAAGAAATCTGATTTTATTCCTCAATGAAAAGAACACCTCTTGGATAAAGTCCGGGTATTTCGGATATCTTCTTTTTGTTTCTTTCAATGGGAGTTACATGATTCATCTTAAACAGATTAAATCTCTTCTTGTTTAACTTTGTTTCAATTTTTCGGAAAAGATCCTCGATAGTATCGTCTTTAGAAAACCCCAGTATGGAAGAGGTTCCGTCTCCAAACCACAGTTTTATTTTACAGTCTGAAATATCCTCGCTTTTCTCAATATCTGTACTTATAAGCTTTTCATCTTCCAGCCTTTCTCTTTCAAGCTTCTCTGCCATATCTGCCTTAATCTGATTTATAAGTCTCTCTTTGTAAAGTTTTTCTTTCATTATCTCCTCCTTCCTCTTCTTTTCAAGCTCTACTGCCTCTCTTGACATTTTGTTATCATATTCTTTTTTAGCCTCCTTGACACCTTTATGAGTTCTGTTTTGGCTAGAGTTTATAATAAAGTTGACTAGGGCATCGATATCCTTCGATCCTGTTTCCTTTATTGCATTCTCGATCTCTTCTTTTGTGAATCCGCTCTGGACCAGATAGTTTACCACTTCTTCCTTGCTTGTCTCGGTTTTGTTTCTTTCCTCCATCCTGGGGATACTTCCAAGAGACCTTATTGATTCAGGGAAATCAGTAAAGACTAAAAGTAATTAAAATAGGCCTAATTTATTTACTCTACTTCTTATCCTTGACCACATAGTTTTCCAAGAGCCCCCATGTGAGCCTTGTATGATGTCTCAATCAAGACTTTCTGTGCTTCTTCAATATTTGAGTCATCCCCTTTCCATGTCTTCAAAGCGTCGTCTGTTAGTGCCCTGGCAAAGCTAAAACTTAAGGACCATGTTCTACATCCCCTCTCCATGTTTATTGCATTGAGGAAGTTGATTGAATCTTCTGGGCTGTGACCTCCGCTTAGGAAAACAATTCCCGGAATTCCACAAGGAATAGTTGACAAGAGAGCTCTGAATGTGAGGGTAGCAACCTCCTTGGGTGTGTATTCCTCGCTGCTAAGTAGACCAGATGTAACATAGCTTGTCTTGATAAGGATTCCTGGAATATAGACAGATTCATAGTTTAAATATTTCATGAGTGTGCTTAGTATCTTTCTCAACAATTTATACGAACTTTCTATATCGTAGTCTCCTTCCAAGAATATCTCAGGCTCTACAATTGGGACAAGGCCATTCTTCTGGCATATTATTGCATACTTTGCCAATACAGAACAGTTTTCATTGATGCAATCTTCTGAGGGAATTCCATCATAGAAGTAGAACAAAGACCTCCATTTGGCAAATGTAGCATCTTTGAATTCAGAGGACTTACATCTTAACTCCAAATCCTCGAGCCCCACAGAAATTTTCTCGTTCTCCTTATAGTCTATTAACCCTTTATCAAGTTTTACGCCTATTTCAATGCCTTTTCTCTTCAGTATTTCTGTCAGCAACACTCCCTTCCCATCGGTTTGCCCAAATGTCTCTGGATTCAGGATAACTCCACCTATGTACTTTTCTATTTCCTTAGTACTGAAGAGGATTTCCCTAAACTTTCTTCTGTTCTCTTTAGTGTTCTTGATTCCAAGCTTCTCAAGTTTCTTTCCCAATGTTTCTGGGCTCTCGTCTGCTGCAAGAATTCCTTTGTTGTTTTCAAGTATTTTTTTCGCAATCATACCTAATCTTAAAAGATGATCTGAATCCATTGCTAAGAAGTGTCTTTTTATGGCCTATAAATATAAAATTATAGTGTTTTTTTATCCAATCTTTCTTCATTTCTTTTTCCAGTCATTGGACTTACCATAGATCTTTGTCCAATGAATTATTTGATGCATTAATTTAATAGGTTTCTTAAATTATAATTTCTGATTATAGAAACACCTGATCGGTTTTTAACCGGAGGTCTCTTTACCCTAGTATGCATTTCAATGTATTTGTAGAAGGAGAGTTTAACAATGTCAAGGGAGTTTTTATTGATCAGTCGTACCCGGTGAAGATTCGATGCACTAACTGTGGAGCACTTCATGAAAAAGCAGTTGTATTATCTGAAGACAGCATCGGAGAAGGAGATTTCAAGGACAAAGTCAACCTTAGTGTGGCCTGCAGGTCCTGTAGGAGAACTATGACACTGAAGATTTTAAAGTTGAAGGAGGCAAAGAAGCATTTGCTCCCAACCAAATTTGAGGACGAGTTTAAAGAGGTGTGGCTTACAGATATGGAGAAAAATAGGTTTTTGGTGTCTAGAGTTCAAACCAATGGAGCCGAGGTGGTGTCTATCGACTCCTGTACTCTTAATCTGGTTTCTAATCAAGACGTTCTGTTTACAAATGTGAACTTTGAAGAAAATACCGTGGCCAAATGCAGTAGCCTCAACATGATATCTTCCATTACTCTTTTTTCCCTCACAGTCGAACTTACTAAATAAAGTTTCTCTCCGTCTAACACCTCCATTCATCTACTTCCTAACTTCCTGGAATAAATATCCTAAATATAGTTATCGAATATGTACCAAATGATATCTGTGCGAAGTACTTTTCCTCAAATGTACAGCTCCCTGCAAAGTGTCCTCCGGCAAACACACACCATCCCTTCCCAAACTTACTATCAAGCATGCTTTTCAGGGCCTCACATATCTTTGTTGGAGGAGATTCATCGGTGAATGTGGCTAGAGAAAGTACAATCTGACCTTTTATCTGCTCGTCTAATGGTTCTCTTTGCTCAAAAACCGGCTCTACCACTTTTGGCCCGTCAATAACGTTTTTTGGCACACTCTTCTGTGAGTTTGGGGAGGAAGGCTTATCTAACTCTTTTGAACTACTCTCGCTCGTGTCTTTGTTTTTTGAATCTTTCATATCATCTATCTTCATGCTGATAGTTATGCTTATCGATGGAAATAACCAATCCAAATAACTTTAAACCTCCAACCAATAAATACCCTGCTCTATTCCCAAGAAGACCAACCAAAGCATTGTCTCTCCTTGAAAAGGTATTTGCCAGAGTGACAATGTTTAACTAATCTTTACAGCGTGTTCTTTCGGTTCTCCTCCTTAGTGTTTCTCCTCAATTAGATTGTTTAAATAAAGCATCCAGAATATGCCCTATGCTTCCAAATGAAATTGATCCATACGAATTCAAATTCTTCATAAAAGACATGCTGCCTTTATCTGAGACATATACTCTGTTTAGAAGCTCGAAACTGTTAAAGGCAAAGGAAACCATAAAGGCCATTTCTAAAACAAATCAAGGACTAATTGTTCTAATTCATAAACCGGAAGAGACAATAGTATATACGCCAGAAAACAAAGTAACTTATTTTACAAGAAGAAAGGGAAGGGTGGCACCGAAGAATGCAGTGATCCGGTTTCTGCGGGCAAAGATGATTGATTTTGTCATTTTGAAATTCAAGACTTTCTATTGCTGTCTGTCGAGATGGGACAAGGACGTTTGTAGCTTCTGCATTGTAGCATGCATAGGAAAAAAAGCTACTGAAAGAGCACTTCTGAATCCTTCCGAAATTCTTGGAGACGTTGAAGAGTCTCCTTTGATGGTTGAAAAAGGTATGTTTAAGTTTAAAGACTTGAATCTATTTAAGGAAGAGGGGAAGGAGTCTGAGGATCATTCATTTGAAGCTATCCACAGTCTTACATCTGGGATAAACTCTAGTACCAGTGAAGTAAAAGTGAACCCGATCGACCTCATTCGAGAAGATTGCTTGGAATATGTAAGTAAAGTCTCTTTGGAAGGCACAAATGCACTTTCCAACCAAAAGAAAGAGGAGCAAAACTGTCTTATTGAAATAGAATCGGAAAATGCCAAGAATTCTGGAAACACTCACTCAAAGCCATATAAAGAAGTTAGAAATGATGAGGAGGGACTGATCGATTATATAATATCGAAAATCACTAAGCTTGTGTGTGAAGATATAAATACCGGGTGTCTTCAGGAGGAAACAGAGAAAGACAAACAATCTCAGATTATAGAGGAAGAGGAGGAGAGCGATTGCTCTAGTAAGAACTATGGATATGATGTCGAAGGGAGTAATTCTCTTGGCTACATAGGGGCTTCAGGAGGGAAGGAAAGTAAGAAGGAGGATGGTACTCTTTCTCATGAAGGCTCTTCGAAATATGAAAGTACTATAAAATTTGGAGTAATAGAGCAAGGACAACTAAAATGTATCCAGAAGAACATCGGGCTTCTATCCATGGCAAAATTCGATAGACTAGAAACATTTATCACAGGAATGATGGATCATCTTAAAAAAGCTAATATCAACTATGTAGAGGTTTGTTCGGAGATAGATTTCTTTATTGTAAAGAAAAGAGACTGCACTTATCTGTACATAAGAGATTTAATACATAGAAAGGAGAGAAAATTTATGGAGAGATTTGATAGAATGTTTGAAAAGCTTGGAGCAAAGACTTGAGGGGAAAATATTCTTTTAATAAATTTTCTAGGCATTTCCTTGGTTTTTCTTTTCAAATATCTTGTGTCTTAATCTATCGGCGTTGTCTTCTTCCACCATTCTGATTCTGAAGGTGGATTTGAGTTTCTCCAAATCAAAAATGGGAATTCTCTTTGTGGGTTTGAAGTTGCTTAGACGTTTAACCATTATCTTTCCCCCCTCCCTCAGGACAGAAACTCGCTTCTCAATCTTTTCAATGGCCTCCTCAACGCTCTTAAAGTTTGTTCCTTCTATTCTGAATCGGTTTTTTGCCAAATACTCTCTATAGACCTGGCCTATTTCTTTATACTCGGCTATTTGGGAAATATAAGAATGGAAATCTGTTATAAAGTTGCTTGTGTTCCGTTCCATATTTATCTTTCGGTTTACTTTGTATTCTGTGTCTGCCTTAGCATGGGAAGAGGTGGATGTGTGGCATTTATATGCATTCTTTGTGTTAAACTTCCTTTGGCACGGGATACAGAACATATTACCCCTACTAGACAGACTTAACATAATTGTATTGAAAACAAGTGGAATTTTATTTGAAGGCAGATTAGCTAGCAATGAACAACACAAAGAATAAGAAGGACAGTCCGATTCCTCCAAGAATAAAATACAGCCATGATCGAAATCTCTTTGGATCCGACCGTCTTATGCTTTGTATGGTTGTAAATATCTTATTCAATGAGGATTGAAAAGACGGATCCAGTTGTCTCAGCTTGATGTTCTGTGCTTCGATCTCCTTTGTTAGATCTATTGCAACGTTCCTTAGAGTTTTCAGTCTTGCTGTAAAGATTTGCCCTTCATCCTCCTCATAATCGTTTTTCATGGATAAAGCAGGGATAAGAAAATAGACAATTAACAAGCAAGGGAGGTGTTTCTCATTCTTAAGACTTATCATATCCCGAATATCATTGACCCAACAGATCGCCGAAATAATTTTAATCCTAAACCTTCCTGGATCCAACCCTGTATCCAGTGCGCCTTGCTCCAACAAGACCAATCTTCTGCTCTTGGGAGATGTCTTTCTTTGAAACCGTGGAGGGCTTTCCAATATGCTGGTGGTTACCTCCTCCGTGGAGATGCTCAACGGGGTTCATAGCCACTCCTCTAACTCTTGGAAAGACATGGCCACGAGCCTTTGCCTTATAGTGTGCCACTGATGCCTTAAGGAGGGGCTTGTCGTGGATTCCTCCTCCAGCAACAACTCCCACAATGCATCTGCATTCGCTACTTACGGTTATCTTCTTTCCAGACGGTATTTTTATCACCGTTTCATTGGTTTCCTTTCTGTGGTTGACCACAAGAGAATAGCTTCCATTTACCATGGAAATAGACCCCCCGCTTCCATAGGTGGTCTCAACAGAATTCACTGCCATACCTTCTGGAACATTCTTGATCTTTGTGATGTTCCCTACGTCAACTGGTGCATTGTCTCCAATCAGAATCTTTTTTCCGGTATATATTCCCTCCGAAGCCGGAACCATACTATCGTGCTCCTTAAAACTTATAATTGCCACCGGCGCTCCTCTGCTTCTCTCATGGACTATGTCGATCACTTCTCCTTCCTCTACCTGCGGAATAATGGGATAGCCTAGCTTGACCTTGACAATAGGCTGCCTTTCTTTCTTCTTTACCTCCCTAGTTCTTCTTGTAATCTTACCCATTTCAGGGCTTAAAAATCATGGAAGTTTTAAGAGAAGAGCTAGAAAAAATTTCAAGCAAGTACGATAGCCAAGAGTTGTATGTTGAAGGATTCACACCAGAGCAAATCTATTATCAGATAGAGGAACTGTGCAATACGATTATCCAAAGGTGTGAGGACTCCATCGCCCGCCTTGATCTCAAATGTGAAAAGCCAATTCCTCAGAACGATAGAGAAATATGCCATGAAGAGTCTTCAGGAGACGAAGAGAGGAAAGGCTTCTTCAAAGAGGACAATATTCCACCGGAGCCCTCGGGATCGAACGAGGATGGTGATGATGAAAATACAACCGAAGATGAGGGTGAGTCCATGGAATCCAAGGATTTCGATGCTTTTGCAGACAAAATCTCTCAAATGCCAGCTAGTGAAGCAATCAAGCTTCTGGAATCAAGAGTTAAGAATAATTCCGAATGGTATTCCAGTGAAGAGGAACTATCTGACGAAGATGGCGAATAATAAAGACATTGGACTACTATAAAGCGACATAAAGCTCTTAGAAGGATACCACAAACACAATTTAATGATAAAGCCATTCGAGTCATAGCAAACTTCTAATTTTTCTTTAGGACTGTAACATTTCTAATTCTGTCTAGAGACTTAACTTCAAGCCTCTTTTTGGGAAGAGAAGCCTTTTCCTCCTGGACAATTTTTATCTCACAATCGGGTGTAAATCCATTATTCCCAAAGTCTACAATTTGCATGAGATCTCCTTCTATCTCATTGTAAAGAGAAAGAACATCTTTGAACTCTAAATTATCTACATCCAAGATCTCGTCGGTAACCTCAGCCACCTTCTTGGTATTGTATTCATGATTGTCAAATGTCCCTTCTCTAATTCTTTGAAGGGTGATGCTCTCTATCTCGCTATCTTGCTTGGAAGAAAACGGGAGGAGTGGAGGGCCCTGCCTGAAGTCAATATCCTCCTCTGTTAGTAAACTGTTCTTGGGTCTTTTTCTAATATCCACTTCTCCTGCATACTTCCATTCTTTAGGCTTGACTAAAAGTTTTTCTATTTCTTCAATGTTTTCATTCATCCCAACGGTTCATCTCATGAACTTTTTATAGAAATTCTTTCAACTTAGACCTTCTACAACATTATCTCTTTTCCTCTGCCAATATCATTCTCTTGGCAATACAATTCTCTTTACATCCAAAAAAGTCGTCTAGATGCTTGCATATATATTCAATTCCATAATCCTTAGCTCCAGGAATGTACTCAGGACAGCATATAAAGTTCTGAGTATAAATTGATTTATCAACACTGTCATCAACAAGAATGCATTTCTCAACATCAATGTTATGGTTGCTTGCAACAACCTCCAAGTCCTTAACCCATCGACTGCACTTGGAATCAAGCCTCACCTTCCCAGGCTTGCAATCCGACTGAGAATACCATCCAAGAAGCCCATCAAACCCCAGATCCTCCAGATACTTGACAAGATGCATTGCATTTTGTCTCATTCCTGTGGTCCACAGGACATATTCAGCATCATGGGACTTAAGAAATTCCACCAACAAGTCCAAATGGGGGCGGTTGTAAATAAAGTATTCCTTGAACTTGAAGTCCGGCTCCACCCCCATGGATGTAAGAATCCGTTGCTCACTTTTGGCTTTATGATACCTTTTTATCAAAGTTCCACTTATGTCAAAAACCACTAGAAATCTGGCCATAGGTCTAGGGTAGAAAAACAAACTATTAATAGTTTCTCCGATGTGAAATGGCCTTGAAGCTCCCTAAAAAACAATCGAAGTTTAATTTTGTGCAGATCTGCTGGTAGGAAATAGAGCTTCAAACTTCTTCACTATAAACTCTTCGCTAACCCCAAACTTCTCTCCAGATGAGGAAAATCCTTTGGTTAGCAGTTCATTGCGCAGGTCTGCCAAGGTCTTAGTGCTCCAGTTCTTTGGAAGCATTCCTCTCTTGGGCTGCGGAATCTTTTCCATGGACCTCAAACTCCCAAACCAATTCATTCTATCAAAGCACTCAAGCTCGGCACTACTAAGCTTATGCCTTTTGGTTTCGCCAAGTATCCTGTTGATGGTTTCTTCAAATCCATCTATGTCTTTATCTCCCAAAAACTTAGCTATGCTTTCTCGGTTGTCATCGGTCATGCGACCAAACTCCATTATAGCTTTATGGAATAGATTATCGTCCTCACGAACCTCTTTCTTTCTGCTTAATGTCGAAACAATCTTCCTAACCCTCTGGTTCATGTCGTCCGTACTCTTGTTCCTTATGGTCTCGGGATAACAGTCGTACCCATGTTTCAACGTCAAGTCAACAAGTATCTTGTCATCTTCGCTGGTCCATCCCCGCACCTTCTCCACTACAAGATCTTCAGTCTTCAGTAGAGAGCTCAGAATGGCAACTACCTGGATCCGCAAAAGAAATCTTTCCCCGTATTTCTTATACACATCCTCAAACTTTGTGAATAATGAGGGATCGTAGTTGTCAACAAGAAACTCTTCTATGCCGTCGGAAAAGTCTGACCTTATCTTTGTACTTTGAAACTGATCAACAACATATTTTACAAGATATCTAAAATATGTAGCTGTGTCTTTGAAGTGTTCAGACTGAGGGAGCATATATACTTTGTTTTCTCCGTTCTTTTCCTGCTCAGGCAACTCGGGAATCTCAAGTCCAACAGATCTAGGCCCAAATCTAAGGACCCCTAAGAATATAAGCAAGCATTGATTTTCATAAAACACGTTCTCATCTTCGCTTTCAAGCTTCATCTTCAGCAGCTCCTCGATTTCGGAAATGTTCTCCTCAGACAATCCTCCTTCTCTTGCAAGTCTTCTCATTTGCCTCTTAATTCTGCCCTCACTCTCCTCACTCTTCTTCTTGTTGAGAAGATTCTCCCAGAAGTCGGGATCATCAATGTCTTCTTCAACCTGGAACGATGCCTTTGAAAACACATTTCCTCCGTCAGAGTGCTTCACAATCTTCGTTCTTCTTTCCAGAATTTGGTCGATATCTTCTTCACAGAACTTCCTGCTTGACGCATCATCGCTCTCCATGAGAACCCCATAAGCCCCTTTCCGAAGAAGTGTTTCTATAGCATCTTTCTTCCTTGTCTTTTCACTCTTGTGCTCTTCAAATGTCATTCTCTGTAGTACTGCTCTATCCAGCCCCAACTTCAGGCCTGCTTTATCAAACATTTCTCTTTCATATGTGTTCTCCGTCACCAGTCTGTATACCTTCACTTCGCTTGTCTGTCCGATTCTATGGCATCTGGCTTGTGCTTGGAGATCATTTTGTGGATTCCAGTCGGAGTCGAAGATAATCACAGTATCTGCCGCCGTCAGGTTTATCCCTACTCCTCCAGCACGTGTACTTAGAAGAAATACAAAAACATCGCTTGTTTTGTCGCTAAACCTATCTATTGCTGCTTGCCTATTCTCTGTCCTGGCCCCTCCGTCAATTCTCTCGTACTTATACTTTCTATATGTAAGATATTCGGCAAGAAGATCTAAGCACCTGGTCATCTGAGAAAATATAAGCACCTTGTGTCCATTCTTCAATTTTCCGAGAAGCTTGTCTAAAAGCACAAGTTTTCCACTGCTTTGTATAAACACCTTGTAATACTCGTCAATATCTCCTATTACCGTATTTCCATTTGCTTGCTCGTCTCCATTCGATATCTCCGAAGTTAAAGTTATATCATTTTCTGTCCCCTCTGCTTTATTTTTCTCCCTCTTCTTTTTGAGATATCCACTAAGTATCTGCTCCTCAGCCCCCTTTATAAGATATGGATGTATACAACACTTCCGAAGCTCCATCATCACATTCAGTAGATTAGGTGCTGATTCCTTTCCCCCCTTCGTTAGAAATTCAATGTTCTTCTCAAGTATTGCCCTGTAGAACCTCTTTTGAATCATGGTTAGTGCAACCTCAATAATGGTCTCCTCCTTTGTAGGAATAGATTTCTCCACATCCTCCTTCATTCTCCTAAGCATCAAGGGCCTCAGCAACCCTTGGAGCTTTTCGACGTCGTTGATATTCTCCATCTTGAACTCCCCGAGAAAGTGGGGAAGGCTGGAAAATCGGGTTGGATCAATGAAGTTCAGTAGAGACCAGAGCTCGGAAATGTTGTTCTGGAGAGGTGTTCCGCTCAATAGCACCTTATGGTTGAACTTCAGTGTCCTTAGAACCGTGGCTGCTTTGGATTTTGCATTCTTTAATCGATGGGCTTCGTCAAATACTCCCACTGAAAAGTGGAACTGGCTCAAACTCTCCTGTTCAGCCATAACCGTATCGTATGTCGTGATCAGCACATCAAATAATCTAATCTCAAGATTATTTTTCTTTAATACAAACTCATACTCAGCAATCAATGCTCTTCCTGGTCGATTCTCATGATACTTCAATACCCTCAGATCAGTCCATGCTTCAAACTCTCTTTCCCAATGCGGTATAATGCTGAGAGGCGTCACAACAAGTACTGGCGCGCAGTAGTCATACTTTGTAAAGAGTGTATTAACAAACGTTACTGTTTGCACTGTCTTACCTAATCCCATCTCGTCTGCCATAATACAGCTTTGCCTGTAGTACCATCGGTTCAGAAGCCAATTCAGTCCTTCAAGTTGATATTCTCTAAGCTTATTTCCTCCCTTGAATACAGGAGACTCCTCATACTTGATGAAATTCTCCCGAGGAGGTCTCCAGTCAATTCCTACCCTCATGTTCCTTATCTTCTTTCTGTCCCTGTACTTCTTGAGCTCCTCCTCAAATCCTTCGCACTTTGTCACACTCTCCGCCGTCTCAAACGTCGACAGCTCATAGGGCTGGCTCTTCCATTTCACCAAAAACACCTTCTCTCCATCATAGTCTTCATGAAGTATCCTGTCCACCTTCAAGAAGTCGGGATTGAATGGAACCTCTGCTGCTCGGAACTTCTTCGCTTTCATTGCTCCAACCTTCGTAGCCATAATCTCCTCCTTTGTCACCCAATCGCAATGAAGATAGCTTTTGTGTTTAAACTTGACAAAATACCTTTCCCCCTCCGTATCGTACTTTAGGAGCTTCTCTATCCCATCCTCGGATTCTTCATTGTACTCGTCCTCACTACTCTCAGATTCTGGAATAGATGTCCGCTTGGCCATTGCTGCATTCCTCTTCTGTCTTCTCTCTGGAATGTAAACACTCCTCTCCTCTTGGCTCTCTCGATATCCACCAGTTTCCCGCGGTCTTGTCTCCTCTTCCTGAAGAGAAACACTTGAACCATACCCGTATCCAAGTCCCTGTCCAAAGTTGAAGGTGTTGTAGAATCCATGTTGCACCCCAGGAATCATAGAGTGTGCAATTCCAGGTCCTATTGTTGGTGCGTATTGATATCCCAGAGGTGCTTGGTAGAGCATGGGATTAAAATGCCCTTGCGGCTGTCTATGGCTGTCGTTTTTGCGTGGCCTTCCCCTTTTTCTGGGCATGGCTTTCTTCTCACTAGATTCCTCGCTAGTAGTAATGGAACTTGCAGTACTTTCACTTTCGGAGCCCATGTTTTGGGGCCTTATTTTTTTGCTTTTAAAAAATTATCCTCCTTCCACAGAGGGCTCCCTAGCCTCCCGTCAATCTTTGCCTTGTATACTACTCTGTTCTTAGCCTTTTCTCTTTTCCCCTCCCGGGTTCTTCTTCTTTCTCAAATGCCCATTCAAAACCCCTGATTCTTAAAGAATATACCCTATTCAACCCGAATTTCCAGCATCTAGTCAAGAACTTTTATTTTAGACTTTATCCCTATGTCATTTCCGTGCCCAGCATCCAGCCGAAATTAATCGGTAAATTAAAAGCACTTCGCAAAACAGAGTCTAGAGAAACCCCAACCTATCCATCTCAAAAGTCCTTCAAAGTCTTTTAATTAGTATCCTCTGCTATAGAGTTATCTTTCTTCTCCAGCTTGTACAGAATACTGCCTTCAAAACACTTCTCAAACACCTTAAGGACTTCCAAGACAAGTCTGGGCCCAATCTCCTCCAGTTCCTTCCCTATTTTGTAGCATCGGACCCAGATAACCCCATCGAGATAAAAAAAGCATAGGGCCTTGTCCTTTGTCTCATTCGATTCAAAGATATATTCTATAACTTCTTTTGCATGTCTCAAATGCTCTATATTTTCAAACTCCTTACTGAACATCAGAACATATCCACAGTCTTTGAAAGAGTTTGCCGAAAAGTTGCAGTCTTTCACTGTAAATACGTTATGGATTCGGAACACAACAGACATCCCATTCAATATCCCTGCCCACAGACAGTCAGATCTCTTGGTCGATCTAAAGAAAAGCATAGAATTACATTCGTTCACCTCTATAAGCTTTCGAAGCTCCTTGTAATCATTTCCCATGTCCCATTTCTGCTCCTCTTCAGCCTTCACCAGTTTTGAAATATCCTTCATAAGATGTCTAATCTTTGCCGAAGCTCCTCTTGTACTCAGAATCACGCTAGTCATACCCTTAGAAGAATAAAAAACATTCTGCTTTTAAATCTTTCCCTTCGGAACACATGCGATATAATCATGAAATCATAGGAACGCCTTTATTCGAAATAGTTCCAAATGAGTTGGGAAATCATCTTCTTTCTATGGTCTGTCCCTTTTCCATTACCTCTTTGACACTGCGCCTAATCTTCGTTATCTCAAATAGTTTCTCGGTAATCACTTCCCACTTGTTCTTCTTCGACTTTCCGAACAAGGAAATCAGCCTCGATAGTGTCGAAATCTCCAAAGGAGTCCAGCTTTTTATCTTCATCATCTCCTCCATCTGCTTCTCAATACTCTTACCCACCCTAGGATCTCTTTTCTTGGCAATCTGCACAAGCCTCTTGATTCTAAGGGCATCTTGGTTCTTCAGAGCTCCTAGTTTCTCTTTGTTCTTTATAGAGTATTGCTGTCTATCGTTCTCTCCCATGTTGTAGAGCTCCTTCACTGGCTCAAAGGTTCTCCAGGACTTGAAGTTGCTCCAAAACTCATAGAACTCTTCAGTCTTTTTAGAATCCTCATTTCTATCCATCAGAGGAACAGGCTGCTTCATACTGAACTTGGCGTTTCTTTGAAAACATTCCCCAAACACATCGAAAAACTCGTCCTCCTGGTAAATCTTATCGTCTGGAATGCTTTCGTCAAAAAAACTCGAGTCGTAGAATAGCCTAAGCTTCCGGTTTCGGAAAACGTCTCCTGCTATCTTCACCAGAAGAAATACCTCTCTACACCCCTTGGTCACATCCGGGTGATACTCATACATCTTTGCTTTCAGCACGTAATCAAGAATATGCGGAGGAATGGCCTTCTCCCTATACATGTCTAGATCAAGTAGGAGGTAAAGATCAACACATCTTCCCCAATCCTCAAGCTCCTTCTTTGTGTATAGGTTCAGAACATTTCTTCCCTTAAAATATTCCTCATGTATTCGGGCAAGGTCTCCAACCGGCTTTTCAAACTTGACTATCCAGTTTGCCATTCAGGGGAAAAAATCCCCGGCTTTAAGATCCTTGGGAATCCCGCATAAAAAACCATTCTACACCCACCTCTTTTAATCAATTCTTATCTATTCAGCATATCATCTCGGAAAACGTCTTGAACAGCTCTTTACACTCGCTATCTGATGAAATTAACGAACTTGCTTCGTCGGTAAACAATACGTCAGGCTTTTTGGAGCTCAGAAGAGCCCTAATATGAGGCTTTGCACAGAGTCGAATATAGATCCTCAATGCCGCTTTGATCAGCCTCGTAGATCCAAGACTAACTCCTTGGGATGCCAACGAGTTGAACATCAGGTTTATTGCCGAAAACCTGTCGAAAGTCTGGCATGCGTAGTTGAGTCCCTCATCGCTTCCTATTATTAGCCCAAAAACATTTGCCGAAAGTAGCTGGGATGCTTCAGACCCTAGGTCGATTATTTTGAGAAGGAGGGGAACAATCTCTGTTGTTTTCAGTTGCTTATGTATATACTGGTCTCCATTTTGGAGCAACGAAGCAATCACCCCCAATGCAGATATCCGCAGCGTTTCGTATTTGGAATCCGAATCAGATATTACTAGATATCTGTATATGTAGTAGGGAAACCTGGCATCAACAAAAACCTTCTTTATCTTAGAATCGCTGACTAGTATCTGGAGGATGTTCAAAACCGTGTATAACCTATGGCACTCGGCCTCGCCAAACTTATTTGTGTTCAAAATTGTATATGGTGTAATCACCTCTTGAAGCAGAAAAATTGGCATGGAATCGCAACTCCATACATCCTGTGCCATTCCCGGGGATTTCTTCAGTTCCTCAAACATCTCGCTTAACTTATCTGTGTCTTTTAGATTTTCGACTGTGAATCCACAAAGATCAAAAAGCCTCTGTCTCCGGGACTCGTCGCTTCTGCTCTCCTTTACAGTGTCTGACATCCTAGGGTGGGGATAAATGAGAATTCCAATTTCCTCCTCATTGTTTCTTCTTCTTTTGCTTTGCTTCATGATATCTGATGATGAGCCATTTGAGCTTCTCAAACAAAAGCATGTTTTTCAACGTGCTGTACTTCGGACGCTTGTACATCCCTATTTCCCTTAGTGTCTTCTCGTAGTCTCGGTTCCACGTGGTTTTGTTGAACCCAAGTGATGACGCAAGAAACGCATTTGGATATACAAGCTCCTTGTTTATAAGTCTTCTTATAACTGCGGCTCTATCCTCCAAGTCGCTTATGTTATAGGTACACACCTCGTTGAAGTGGGTTGACAAAACATCATCTCTATCTCTTCTGATCGATTCTATATTGTTGAGGATTTCACAATATTTCTGTATTGTGGAACTTTCACAGAACTCATAGTCCTGGCCATTCTCCTTCTTCCCCATTCTGTCGAAGGATTTGTAAGAAAGTCATTATCTTGGTGGAAATCCTGTTTATTAATGAAGTCACTGTTTATTTGCTAAAAGTTAGCTGAAGAGTGCGATTTTTTCGATTAGTTCGGGCTCATTACTCCTAACCTGGTCGGGGAATTCAAGATATGAATATATTAGAGCCAAAGTTCCAGAGGAGAACATCGAAAGAAAGCTATAGACAAAGGTGAGCAAAGGAGCACACACTATTGACATAGTGACATACGAAAGTTCGTCGGACTGGAAGCTGGGGTTTGCCCAAAACACAGTGGCATTTCCACAAGCAATGAAACAAACGAAAAAGAGGAAGCAGAAGAAGATTACTTTTCCTATGGCTGCATTACTGAGAAGGGTGACTCCTCCTCTTTCTTCAATTAAATTATACGACTTGCCTATAGACTCGGTGTATTTTGTTCCATGAAGCGTAAGGTATGGAAACACCAACTCATTCATTAGGTTGGCGAGGTCTCCGACGATACTTAAAAGGCACAAAAGGATTATATTGATGAAGTTGCCGGATCCCCTCTCTCTGTTTCTTTCTCTTTCTCTCTCTAGGAGGAGCTTTGCAGTGTTGATTGCTGCCATGATCAAGCCTGCAAAGGAAATGCTACCAAGGGCCATGAAAGCAATGTAAAAGGATTCCCTGAAAGATTCCTTTCCGTTTTTTGCATGGTTAACGACAATTGCAGATACAACAACCTGTGCAAAGTATATTGTGTTGAAGAATGTCCAATAACTGTTCAGGATAAAAAGAACAGACATAACTCCTATGTTTGCATCGTTATTTCCTAACACCCTCAAGAATATAAAGCTTTGGATGACTTGAAGGGATACAGAGCCAAGAAGGAGGATTGTGCATCCCATAAGGTTCAAAGAAAGTATTTTTGCAGTGGTTTCCACCATAGCAGCTATTAGTGGCAGAGCAGGCTTTATGTACCAGAAATAGAACATCAGGGAAACCCCAAATGTGATTCCTGCAAAGAGAATCACAAAGGGATTTAAGGTAAGCATTGAAATAAAGAATATTATAGCCGGAGCCACAATGTTGGCAAGAAATATGAATCCCTTCGCTGTATATCTAAGTCCTAAATATGCTACCAGCAGAAACACAAGCATCAAACCGACGTTGATAGTCAGAAGAGGAAGAAGGGCTTCTTCGTTATATTTGGGGAATTCCTTCATTTCAGAAACCATCCAACATGTTGTCAATGTTGTCAGGATGAGGTATAAGATGAATGCCCATGCGTCATGGAAATGTCTGCTGTCTTCCCTTTTTTCCTCCATTTTGTTGTTTGTTTTTTGTCAGAGAATTTATACGATATTTTTAGATGTTGTAAAAGATGGCCAATTATTTTCGCAACGGAAGAATTACCATTTTCTAGGAGAATTCTTATTGGATAGAATGATGTGTTCTATTGGGGAGGGCTATTTTGATGAACGATGGATGATGTGTTCCTTTGAGCTGCCCAAGCGTTGTTGGTCTAGTGGATAGGATAACAGCCTTCCAAGCTGTTGGCCCGGGTTCGATTCCCGGACATCGCATTTTGCTAGAGTTCCAAACACAGACTCTCTTTTCGTTCTTTTCCCGGTTATACCCTGAGCTCAATCTGCCCAAACTAAACTCCATTCTTTACCCTAAAAGAAAATCCTTACATGGGCGACTATGATGCAATAAATGACGAAATAAAGAACTTCCTGAGCCTTACGGATAGAAGCCCACGCGAGGATCGCCTTCCTTCCAAGGACAGAGGGACTAATGAAGAGGAAGTCTCTACTCTGATAGATCTTCTTACTGGACTGCAAAATGTGTATAGCGAGATCAACACAAATCTTGCTGCTGGAGATGGCGAAGGGCTTAAGAACATTCTTCTGAACAGCGATGTCAAGATGTCACTTGTGTGTGAGTCTTTGATGAGGGTGTTGAAGGATGTGTCGCAGGAGAAGGTTGAGCTTGTAAGGAACGAAGAGAAGTACAAAGAAAAGATAAAGAAGTTCAGCGAGGAGAAAGAGAACCTTGAGATCAAGGTAAACAAGATGGAAAGTGACCTTGAGTTTGCCAACAGAGGGAATCAGGAGCTCAGCAGGATTATCAAGGATCAGAAGAACAAGATTCAAGGGTTTAAGGAGAAGGCAGATCTTGAAAAGAGGAACTGCGACAGCTTCAGGTCTATAAATGAGGAGCTGGAGATTCTAAGGAAGAAGGCCTTAGAAAAATGCGATGTGTACGAAAAGGAGATAGGGGTGTTGAAGGAATACATTAAGGAAAGAAGCATGGAGATAGGGAGATTGAAGGGAGAATCCAAGGAGAGCGAAGAGGAAAGAGAGGGTCTTGGAAAGAAGATAGTGGGGCTTGAGAAGATCAACGAGATGCTTCGAAAGAAGTTGGAGTTGAAGGAAAATGCCATTGGGATGTGCAACTCTGAGCTGTCGAAGTTGATTTCAAAGGAGAAAAGGATGGAAAACGAGCTTGAGAAGACAAGAGAAAGAGCATCTTATTACGAAAGGCTTTATAAGGCCACAAACAATCAGAATGAGTACCTAAATAGACAGCTTTCCAAGATGATAAAGGATACGGACAAAATCGAGGTTCCTGAATATGATCCGAACACACAGCAAGAGGTGACTGCAATGTCGGAAGGGAAGAGCAGCAAAGGGACGGAGAAAAGCGACTTGAAGAGAATAAAAAGATATAGGCGACGGATCAGTGAAGAGAAAAGGACAAACGAGAAGCAGAGGGTAGAGATGGAAGATTTGGGACGAGAGATTGAGGGGCTGAAAGGAGAGGTTTCAAGGCTCCAGGAAGAAAGAACAAAGATTGTTAGCGCAAACAGTAAAATGATGGAGGAGCTAATGAGCAAGATAGAAAAGCTGCTTGAGAAGAATCGAGAATACCAGAATGTGATCTATGAGCTTCGAGGGAAAGGGGGAAGGGAGGAAAAAAGCCGAGTAGACTTCAACGAAAGCTTTAGGACAGTGAATGATGGAGAGAACGATCATAGAGAGAAGGAAGATCTTTTCCTCCCTCGAATTCTTGGAAAAGACGAGTTCTGGAGAGACAGAAGTGATTTGAAGCCGCTTATTTCCGAAAAAGATTACAAAGAAAAAATAGGGGAGAATGAAGCGGGAAATGGATTTGGAGCAAATAGGATTTATGGAGAAGGGCTCAGAAACATTCCCTCAAGGCTGAGTCATCTAAAGAAGCAGCAAGAAACGGGCATGGAGAATAGGAGTCCGATTAGACTTAATCTTCCGGATAGCTTCTTCAGTAGTCTTGCGAAACCTAAGGAAGAAGAGGGTTTGAAAGACGAAGGAGAATTAGATGAGGACAGGGGAGAGAATCGAGAGGGGTATTATAGGGAAGCAGCATATCCCGAAGATCCATTTGGAAGCACAAGCAACAAATACCACAAAGACGTGGTGGAAAACAAAGCCGAATCGGACACTAGTGGAACATCTCCTAAGACAATTCGGACGACCTCTACTCTTCATGAGATGTTAAGGAGGACTGATGCTTTGCAAGAGAAGTTTGACAAATTAGAAGACCACCTTAATGCGATAAAGAGTAGTGATAAGGTTGATGCCGAGAAGGTGCATGACCAAATTGAAGCTTATAAGAATTATTACTACTCTGATTACCTAGATATGTCGAACGAATCTGATGTTATTTAAATACCCAGGAAAACATGGAGATAGCCTGGGATCCTGGTATTTAATTCAGCTGTAGAATCCCCTCTTTAATCCATCCTTCGCTTGGAGGCGATTGGTATTTAATGTTTATTTGAGAGTGGTTTGGTCCAACCAAAACAAAAAGAACACCTTTCAAACCTGAAAAAAGGAGCAGAGAAATATAAAAAAACCTGAGACCTTGTGCCCATGGACAAGGAGACGGTGAAAGACATTCAAAGATCGATCGCGATGAAGCTTAACAGAGTGGAGTATACCGAGGTTTCTTTGGTTGATGGGTATGAAGAAACAGAAGACTGCTACAAAAGATTTAGAGACGGTCTCAAGAAGGTTTCCGACAGTATAACGTGGCTGATGACCTACGAGCACGGGGGGAGTAAGATGAAGTCTTTTTATTCTAAGATGAATATGATAACTTCAACATCAAGGATTGGGCAGTTTAAGAACTATGACATTTACGAAGCCAACGGGATTGTTGGGTTAGAGCTCTCAAGAATAGGACTAGCCTCGAATGTCAGTGATGCAGCAAAAAAGTATTCTAAGGCATATATGAACGTTTCACGATACAAGCTCGAGATGAACAAGAAACTTGAGCAACAGATAAAGAAAATATCGAATTTAAGGGACCATTCCAATGCAATTGATAAGAAGAGGAAGAAAGTCTCGAACATGAGGTACGATCTGGAGATCGAAAAGAAATCCAAAGAACAAAAGACTCCCAATTCTGTATCCAAGGAAAATGAGATGGAAAAGACATTCAAAGAGATGTCTAAAGAGACTCTTAAAGAGATGGAGCAATTTATTGGAAACGATGGAGTGTGCGGAGTGCTTCAGAATGTGGCAGAAGCACACCAAGAGTTCTTGGAGAAGAGCTCCAAGGCACTGGGAGAAGTCAAATAAATGTTTATTACATTCAAATTACTCTGCAATTTTTCTCAAGAAGACCTCTCTCTGGAATGCTTATAGGATACTGGATGGTGAACCTAGGAACTAGCCAGGTTCGAAGGCTTTTGGATGATGTCAGAGCGGGATATCTCACGCCCTGGATTGATGTTGAACTTGGGATGGCCATAGTCACAAGTTGGGCCCTTTGGACAAAATCCAAGAAAGTAGTTGTAGCATAGTTTCTTTCTTACATGCTTGTTTTTGCATGAAGCTCCATTTCTGCAGAACCCACGGTTGTACCATGGGCATTCCTTTGAAGAGCTGTTTGGATCTATGTGTATGTAGTTACACTCTGGATTCATGCATTCTCCATAGCTACTGAAGAAATAACATTCTGGCATTCTAGAGAGATCATATTCATGCATGAACTCGCATTTGATTCCCTTCTTGCACAATCCACGGAGCCAGTGCTTGCAGACCACCGCTGTGTTTAATTTGACATGCTGTTTGGAACAATTTGGGTCTTTGCACGAGTTTGTTTGGTATGGAATACAATAAACCTCGTCCTCTTCGCGTAGTCCCAGCTTGTCTGAAACATACCCCTCAAAGCTGAATGTGGGATCTCCCATGGTGAGGGAGTAGAAAAGAATTATATGCATTGCACCGGAGATCGTTCAATTAAAAATAACAAAAAAATAGCCCCAAAATGAGATTAGGTAGGGTAGTCGTATTGTGTTTTTCATTATCGGTAATATATGCCTCTGCAATTCCCCAGGATGTTGCTTCAAATGTGGAAACTGTGAGAAGTAAAGCTCATAAGTCGTATAAAAAGGTTATGGAGCAAGGAAAGACATGTCTGGGAAAGGTATGCGAGCTTTTTGGAAGGGGACGAGATATTCTTTGTACCAGAATCAAGAATGCTTTGTCTTCGATTAGAAGGAAAGGCGAAAAGGACGGTAAGACAGCTGGGTCTGGAGAAGGAGAGGGATCGGAAGAAGAGGCATTTGATCTTTCGCCTGAGGATATTGAGAAGCTAATTGAGGAGATCAAGAAAAAGCTATCGGGATATATGGATGTAACGGGAGAACAGCAGGAAGGAGAAGGAGAGAAAGAGGAAGAAAAAGAGGAGTTGTGAAGGATCTCTGTTGTTTGTTTACGTCTGAGTAGTGAATAAACGTAAGATGTTTCTTGTTTACTTTGCATAGTTAAACGTATATCTTTTGCCCTAATGAATGGAGTCTGACGATAGCTGGGAGGAGGCTGTTGAAGAGAGGCTAGAACTTATGCCGAAAAAGACCTCGATCCAAAGGGCTGTGGACATCAAAATTGTGATGATCCACAAGATCATATGGTTCCTTAGAAAGATGCAGATTCCGGTGGAAAAGCCAATGATAGAAGAGAAAGTTGACTTTCATATTGATGAGAGATTGAAAGAGTATGTGAATTCCTTGAAGGACATTGAAGAGGTGGACAGAGTGGTTATGCTGTTTAAGCTCTTGATTTTGTTTGGGATACCCAGCCGAATATACATTGTTCTTGGGGAGGAACCCAAGTGCTTTATCGAGAGCAGGCTATTGGGAAGGATTAGAGAACACCATGGTAGATATGCAGGATGTGTCTTTTCGGTTGATTCCTGTCTAAGACTTAAAGACCAGTCGTACCATTTTTCAAAGTCTACGAAGCAATTCTCGGCAGCGAGGTATGTGGCTGAGGGGCTTTCTAAGTTTGGAATGGATAGGAAGGTGTCTGGAGGAGTGGACCATTTCTTTGATGATCTTGATAAAGAAAGAATGAGAAAGATACCTTCATCCATTGAAAAGATGAAAAGACACCCAAAGTTTGTCGTTGAGTCCATGCTAAGGCGAGATCAATGTATCTATCCAAAGAGACCGACTTTCGGGCTTTTCCGAGGGGAAATCATATATTCACGAGAAAACATAGTAAAGCTAAGAACAAAGGAACAGTTTTACAAGATGGGAAAAGACATTGGTTCATCCAAGCCTTACAGAGTGGTAAAAAAAGATGAGCAGGAGACCCGTCTGTATGCGCCATGGCAAACATGCGACCTGGTGGTGGAGGGGTTTGGGGAGTCTATGTACCAGGACTTCTTTCATCCAAACTTCATACCGCAAGGATGTGTATACATAAACAATAAAAGTGCAAGGGATGTTGCATATCTACTTGGATTTCCATACAGAATATGCTTTCAAGGGTTTTTAAAGGGAATGCCTATCAATCGAGGGATATTTTTAGAGAAAAGAAATCTTTATGTGTTTTCGAACTTTCTATTCCAATATTGCAGGTATCTGGAGATGAAGGAGAAAAACGAGCGTGGAGCATTGGGATTCAAGAAATGGAGGTTCTTGATCAGGAATGCGGCAAAGTACTTAAAGATCAGAAGAGGCTTGGGATTAAAATGACATTTGGTATTGTTTTGAACTCTTCTTATCAACTTCGGATAGCCAGGTTCTAAGAAGTTAGGGCAGGGGAAAGACCTGGATGTAATGGAATGTATTGAAAAGGGGGATTCTTCCAAAGAATGGATAAGACATCTCAAAAATTCGTTTGAATATAATGGTTGTCAAATTTTTCAACAACAAAACCTACATAAAGAAAAAAAAAATACCCCCTTATGTCAGAAATAGTTCAGGCACTTGTTATTGATATTGGATCTGGAGTTGTGAAATCAGGATTTGCAGGAGACGATGCACCAAGAGCTGTATTCCCTAGTATAGTGGGATTTCCCAGGCACAAGGGAGTGATGGTTGGAATGGGGCAGAAGGATGCATATGTTGGAGATGAGGCACAAACAAAGAGAGGAATCCTGCACATAAAATACCCCATTGAACATGGAATTGTAAGCAATTGGGATGATATGGAGAAGATATGGCACCATACTTTCTACAATGAACTAAGGGTTGCACCTGAGGAACACCCTGTGCTTCTTACCGAGGCTCCTCTGAACCCAAAGGCCAACAGAGAAAAGATAACCCAAATTATGTTTGAAACCTTCAATGTACCATCCTTTTATATCTCTATCCAGGCTGTTCTGTCTCTTTATGCAAGCGGAAGGACAACGGGAATAGTGTTCGATTCAGGAGATGGAGTGTCTCATGTTGTGCCCATCTACGAGGGATATTCTCTTCCTTATGCAATCAACAGGATTGATCTTGCAGGCCGAGATCTTACAGAATACTTGCAGGTGATCCTTACCGAAGGAGGAAATACTTTTACGACAACAGCCGAAAGAGAAATTGTTAGGGACATCAAGGAGAAGCTCTGCTATGTGTCATTGAATTACGAAGAGGACATGAGGAACACCGAACACCTTGCTTCAATCACAAAGACCTACGAACTTCCCGATGGACAGGTGATCTCTATAGGTAACGAGAGGTTCCGAGCACCCGAACTATTGTTCCAGCCTAAGCTCCGTGGTCTTGAGCTGAAGGGAGTCCACCAGAACATCTACGATTCCATCATGAAATGTGATGTCGACATCAGAAAGGAGCTCTATGGAAATATTGTTCTTTCCGGCGGTACTACCATGTATCCAGGACTTGCTGAGAGAATCCTTAACGAAATCAAGGCACTAGCACCTCCAGTAATTAAGATTGGGGTAGTAGCACCCCCAGAGAGGAAATATAGCGTATGGATTGGAGGATCTATCCTGGCATCTCTTTCAACCTTCCAACAGATGTGGGTTTCTAAGGCTGAGTACCAGGAGCATGGGCCATCCATCGTTCATAGGAAGTGCTTCTAATAAGACGCTTGGCTCTATTGTCTGGCAAGAGAATGTTCCTTGCCTCATCCATTTCAAAGCGTTGTGGACCTACATTCTTAATGAATGATTTTATCGTGATTGTTTTTAAATCTCTTTTATTATCCACGTAATCTATCCCCGTCACTCGGATGATAAATGAAATCAGCCAACTTCATTAAAACAAAACTTTTCCTTTTGTTTATATGCTTGGGAAGGAGAAGTGTGGAAATGATAAAAACGAAATCTCAAGGTGTAGAGACAATTCAAGAAAAGGCCTAGGTTATTCCTCGGAGTCGGATATCCCCGAGCAGGGGAAAAGAGGAAGACGTCCAGGGATATCCTATGCAGATTTGATAACAGAGGCTATAGAAAGCAGCTCCGAAGGAATGCTAACACTTAAGGAAATATATTCCTACATCTCTTCAAAACACCCATACTTCTCTCTTAAGAAGACGGGGTGGCAGAACTCAATTAGACACAACCTGAGTTTGAATAAATCTTTCTATAAGGTCCCCAGAACATCGGCAAACCCGGGAAAAGGTTCGTTCTGGAAGATAAACTATGAATTCCAGAACAGCAAGGGTTCACAAAAGACCTACAGGTCTAGGAATAAATACTCATTCAATAGCAATCGTGATGCAGAAAAGAATGTCAACTCGATATCAGAGCTTCTTGGAGCACAGCAAGGCTTTTTCGATAGTATCGGTGTTACAGAAGTTCCCTTCGAGCGCCACACAACAGTCTTTGATGGAAACTTGACAAGCCTCAGCGATTGTCTTGATCACAGTTACCAAAAGGAATATTTCGACCACAACGACGACCTCTCAAACACAAACTACATTTTCTCGTTCAGATGATAGAGAATAAATTCAAATTAGATGTATGTTTTTTGTGTCTTCACTTCCCGGGAAGTGGTTCGAAACCAATTCCCAATCTATCCCCCGATAATGAATGCCCCAATCACCGTCGTTTTAAAGGGCGTCAGGCCAACTTGCGAGAGCAACGAGGAGAATCCAGAGTTTGAGAGGTTTTACAGGGTTCTCAAGCTCTTGATGGACTCCCCTCTGAATAAGTCCAAGAAACTATGTGTCTACATACACACAACTAGGAATGTCCTTATAGAACTGAGCTATCTCCTCGAGGTTCCCGAAAATCCCATTGAACTCAGTGATGTTATGTCTTACCTATTGAAAAGACTGGTTGTTAAATCATCCGACGGAACTGTTTTAGCAAAGGTAATAAAGAATCCAATCAACAATCACTTGCCTCCGAATTCCACAAAGATCAGGCTTTCTCCAAGAGGATCTAGGGTGTCCCTAAAGGATTTGGAATCACACATTGAAAGGGGACTTGCTTTCTTCGTCGGTGTTGGAGCAGATGAAAAGAAGGAAGGAGAGTTCGATATGAAACTGTCGAACTTCAAGCTTTCCCCCGAAAACTGTTGTGCTAAGCTAACAAGCATTCTTGAAGAAATGCTAGGGATTTTTTGATTTGGGGAACAGCCTACACTACTACAAATTCTGAAGAAATAAAAACGTGATCGATTTGAAACATACTCTTCAGAGAAGCTCTATCCAAGCTTAAAACATCGGAGGATAAAACAATTGTTTCGCCGCGAATAGGTTTTATTCCAGATAGCTTCTGCATAGAATGTTTCTGAGAGGAGTGGTATCCATTGTCTTAATTCTTGAGCTTATCAAAGGATCCGACCAGCAGACGAGAATGGCTCTGCCCAACCAAGAGATGATGCTAAAAAACACCATAAATCCCAAGCCACAATGCTATCAAATATACCAAGGTCCAATGCAAACACCTGTCTGTGCAACGTTTTCTCAACCAACGGTGACAACCGGCATGGTATATCAAAAGCCAGAACAGCCAAAGCTAAGCCCTGATCTCGTAAGACTGATTCAGTCGATTCCAGGTGCCTCGGAGAAGTTGACGAGCTTCTTGGAATATAAAGGAATAACCCAGCCATGGCCTGAAATATTTGACTTTGGGTCTGACAAGAGCTATGGTTTGCCAGCGCCAGAACCTATGTTTGCAAAAATTCAGTCTCTGCTAAATGTCCTCGAGGACATAAAAGAGCTTCTATCCAACGAACTGTTCAAAGTAGAGACATACATTAGCAGAGGAAAAGGCCATCTCTGTGAAAGCATCAAGAAGCTTAGGAGATACGATGGAATATTGAAGAAATATCTAAAAAAGATATCGTCTGCTAAAACTACAAAGTCCAAGCACAACTACGCTACCAAGTACACAAGCTTTAGTGAAAAGGCACATGAGGAGGCAAAGTCCTATTATGAAACAAAGAAGTGGTTACAGACGATAGTAGCACTGTTTAGGTCTCTTATCTAGTAGTCTTATTCTTACACCCATGGATTCCTAAGAGGTGTATATGTATACAACCTAGGTTGTTTCCCAGCAGGGGATCCCAATTAAACACAACTTGATGCTATTTTCATGGCTCTATCTGCTCTTTTTTGAAGTCATTGAAAATCTCCATCATGAAGCTTAGGTCCTTGCCCTCCTCCAGGTTTTTTCTAAGGTGTTTCCCTCGAGATGGATTGAATGGATTGAATCTCCTCTTTTCCATCATCTTGTCGATAAACGAGTTCAACAGCCACATCGAGTCACTCATCCTACACCTGTAAATCGAGTAGTTTGTGGGTGCGGCATAGATGTGCCCATGGATTATGTAGTACATCCCTAATGTCTCTGTGGTGTCTCCGTGGTTGTATGCTTTCCTGATCACAAACAGTGTTTTTTCATTGTTGCTACTTTCTGCTTCGTAGAATACTCCTATCATCGAGGATAGCTTAGATTTCTGGTCCAATCCTCGGAACTGGGTCTGCATCTTGAGTATTTCGTTATTGCAAGACTTATCATAGAAAGGAGAGCCCGAAAAGTACTCCAGGACATTCGCATCGTCGAGAGGTCTCGAACTAAGAAATCTTTGATCCACAAAACTTACATCCTCCTTCTCCTCCATTAAGGGAAGACATTTGTTGGCTTCTTTTACAGAAACTGCCAAAATCCAGAAAACACCAATCCAAAAAAATACTCTTTATTCTAGATGCTTTATTATTGAGAAGTAGCCCAGTTCCATCTATTTTGTGCCTGGTTTGTTCTTATCAAGGAAGTCCTTGATTGCCAACTTGATGGCATCTTCGGCCAGCATCGAACAGTGGAGCTTAATGGGAGGCAAGGAGAGCTTTTTGGCTATGTCTCTATTGGATATCTTTAGTGATTCGTCTAGGGTCTTCTTCTTGATCCATTCTGTTGCCAAACTCGAAGAGGCTATTGCAGATCCACATCCAAAAGTTTTGAATTTTGCTTCTTCAATTACATTATCTTTCCCAACCTTGATCTGGAGTTTCATCACATCTCCACAGGCCGGTGCACCAACTATCCCCGTTCCAACCCGAGGATCCGATTTGTCAAGAGAGCCTACATTTCTTGGGTTTTCAAAGTGGTCTATAACGCTTGTGTCGTACTTTCTCGTTATTCCACTCAACTCTTGAAGTACTGACATCCCAGGGTTGCAGTTCCTATTTTTAACTCTCTTATCCCTCAAAGCTTAAAACCTTTATGGAGTCTTCTGTAAGTAGAAACAGACTGTTCTCAAGTGCAACATACTGCCTTATTTCCCCCACAGGGAACACACTCTTGAAAGACCAGTCGTTACGCGACACCTCAACGCAGTTCTTCATCACCTTGATCTTTTGGGATTTGCATTCTATTGTGCTTTTTTCTTTCTTCCACAAAAAGTTTTCATCAACAAGCTGAAGCTTACTGTTGTAAACCCTTGACTCTCCGTTTCTGTATACACATGAAACCATACAATCCCCCATCCGTGCATCGACCATCCAATCTGCACACATGTAGCACATTATCTCCTTCAGCTTCATATCATATTTCTTTTCGTTGTTCTTGACAAGATGCAGCAGTATGTTGTAGAACAGTAACCTACACCTTCGGCTTATAGCTTTCTTCTTCACTAGAAATATCAAGAGATGGAAGTCCATGCTTTTTATTCTTGTGCATCTGAACTTCTCGTCATACTTGTATACTTTGATAGAATCCCCTCTGTGCAGCAAGAGATAACCTTCAATCGCGTAGAACTCGTTTCCCACAAGTTCTATAGAGAACACTCGGACTTTCTCTCCAGATAGATCGTATCGATTTAACGAAAAGAAAGGCTCTTGGGTTTTCAACCCTAGACTGTGTGTCTCCGACAGAAGATATTCTTTATATTCCTTGAAAACAGCTCTATCCACCAAATCCTCCATTGATTCTGCTACATGCTCCACCAAATATTAATGAAACAAGACAAAACCTCGTCAGAAGTCTAGGAAATCCTAGGTACTTATCAGAAAACAAATAGACCATTCACATTTATTCATGGGCCAACCGGCCTTATCTCACAAATCTCCCCACATAGCCGTTGTCAGAATCGATCTTTCTGATGCTTGGATTTGCCACATCCCTATTTCGGATGAGAAAGACTATCTCCTTGTCCTCTTCGCTCAAAAATTGTCTCTTTTCCTTGGGTTCCTTCTTTCCACTGCTTACTTCAAGCTTCTTGTTTCTTCTATCTTTGGTATAATCCCTTGTGTCGTACATATTCTTGATTCCATCAAAGAATAAGTTAGAGTCTGAATACTTTGACTGGAATTCTTCCATCAAGGGGTTGGAAATTCAGAATAAGACAGCGGGGTTATGTAGCATAGGAGAGTCACAAAATTGATCCAGGATCACTGTAGGGAGGGGATCCGACATTTGCAGATTCCCGGCTGTCTTCCTCGGAATATGGGCCATTGCTTTCTAGGCCCTCCATTACTCTGAACTGGTCCAAAGACGTATAGACCTTGTCTACTCTTGGATGACTGTTGAATACGTCAGGTGATATTTCACTAAACTCTTCTCTTTCCTCGTTGTCTTCCGCATCATAACTTGTCTCTAAATTTGAGACTCCCGATACCTCACTACCAAATACCGTATGTTCTTCCTGATGGCATTCAAAACACAAGGGACATTTGTTGTCTCCTTCCTGAGACGATGATACCACAGTCTTTTGAGAACTGCCAGAATCATATCCGTTGTCAGTCCCATAAAAAGAAAGACTCAGACTTGACAAGAAGTTTCTTGCATCAAACTCGTCTTTCTGGGAATCACCCTTCTCTATGGGAAGGAAAAAGGCCTCCGATACTTCATCATTTCTTTCCCCCTCTTGCGGCATGTTTTCCGCCCTTTCTTTAGGTTCTTCTCTCTTTCCAGCTTCTTCCTTCTCCCTTTCCTTTTTCCTAGCCCCATTACTCCTCACCAGGGAAAGACTACCTTCAAAGTCAAAATTATCGTCGTTCTCATGCTCGAGAATGCTTAAAATACTCTTGGATTTCTTACTTTCTTCTTTGTCTACCCGTCTTTGTCTGTCTATAGGGACCTCATAGGTAAGGCTCTCAGGAAGTATCACAGGAATCTCATTCGCATCCTCCATATCCAAGAAAGGAATATCCAAGGCCTGGGAATCTCTAACTATCCCCGAAGAGACCCTTTCCGAAAGTCCTTTCTTCTTGTCCGAACTCATGAAGTCATATGAAGGCGTTTTTTCTTGAGCATCCCAAACATAGGTGCTCGACACAGACTCAGAAAATATTTCGTTCCCACTAACAACATCTCTTAGCCTACTGCTGATGATATCCTTTCCACGGAGCTTCCTTCTAAGCCTCTTAACATCATTCTTGGTTATTTCACTATTGAACTCAACCATGCTTCTCCTTGGATTGAAAGGCACCTTATACAGCTCTCCTATCCCCACCTGGCATCCCAATAATATGTCCATCCCTACCTGAAGATAAACTACTCTCACATATTCAAGGTCGTTATTGTAAACAAACAATGGAACCGTTCGTCTTCTATTCAATTCAAGAAACCTCAGCAGGTCATCTTCATCCTTTGAATATATGTTTTCTATTCCGAGAATATAGTCTCCAACCACCATCCCTGCTTTCTCTGCTGGAGAGCCTGAATTCACTCTCAAAACCTCCATGGAAAGAAGACTGGCAATATTCTGATGGAACTTCACGCTGATTCCAAGTCTTGTTTTATCCTTCTTCGGTATCTCAAGAACAGATGTCTCCATGGTTCTCATGTCTATCAACTCCAGCTGAAGAGCTTTGCGCTCCCACTCCTTGTTCATAATCAGTGCGTCGTCCTTGCTTTCAATTGCCTTTCCATTGAAGCCAACTATTGAGTGTATGAACGGAAGAATGCCATTCTTGTGCGATACACTGCCTTCCGAAACCTTTAGTATTTGCAGCGACTTAATTGTTGATAAACACGATCCCATTTTCTTCGCAAATTACATTTTTTATTTATTCGTCTGTTGGAAAGAAGCCGCCAAATGATTGACCCCCTCTTCTCATTTGTCTACCATCCCCTGACAATGCTAGCTTGAAAAGCCAGAGAGTTTTCTGTTGAAACGGCTGGAAGGTGATTCTAGAATGATGTAAATGTGATAATGTTTCTTACTTAATTTTTTTTCATACACACCCGTCTAACAAATGGAGGAAGAAAGCGACATAGAAAGGTTTCATCGCATGCAACAATCGTATCTAGGAAATCAGGAAAAAGCAGTTTCAAGTGTGTATGTCAAGAATCTAGACGCTTCTGTCTCCAACTCGGACATCGCTGCCCACTTCAGATCCTGTGGAAACATATCTGGAATAAATGTTATTAGCACAAAAAACTCTAAGAAGTACGCCATAATTGATTTCTCTTCCGAGAAATCTGTTGAAATGTCCCTGCTATTTAATGGATCTGTTCTGAAAGGAAAAAAGATAATTGTCCAAAGAAAGAGAGATCGATAAAAGAAATCTGTTTATTCGTTTTTTACATCTTTGTCTTTCTCCGCTTAATTCTTCCTTCTCCTTGCTCCTTGATTTTGTTTCTTGGCCTGTCATCAATGAGCAGCGGCTTGAAGTCAATGTCGTCTCTGAACATGATGTATCGGATAGAGCTCCCTCTTACAGTGTATGTGCTTACAGGTAGCTCATCAACTATAGCATCTACCATTTCCACATTCATTGTTTTATCTATAGAAACCATCTTGCCCTCTACCTTCCTACCTTCTTTTGTTTCAATTCTAACTTTCTCGTTTTTGCATTTCCTTAGAAACCGTATGAGCTTCATTTCGTGGGTAGTCTGCCATACCGAGTCATTACTCCCAAAACCCAGAAATCGATTAATGTTCTTTCAGTATCCGGATTAAATTTTTTAGCTTTCCACCCATAATGAAGGAACTTATCGATGTTTTGTACTACGACCACATTCTGTACAAACTAGCGAACCTGTACACATTAGAAGACACTAGCAATGAAATAGCTCAGTACCAAAAGATTGCACAGAAGCTTCTGGTGAAGCTCCGCTCAGACAAGGTGGTTTTTGATGCTGAAATAGGACTGAAATTTGCATATATAAAGCTTTTCGATCTTCACTTGTCCTTTCCAAAGTGCACAGGCAGACTCCATGTTTCTTGTTGCCAGAAGCACTACTGGCAATTTCTTAGTACCTCCTTCGACTACCTTACAAAAATAATGGCAGAATATTCTTCTCTGAAGGAATGTAATACATTCAACCGCCTTCTCTACAGTGTAGTGGAAATGGCTTTTGCCAGCTCTCCTACGTTGGATCAGTTTGAAGCCCTAAATAGAGACGAGGGCTCTAGCCCGATGAAGCCGTATCTTACTCAGCGTGGAATTAAGGCCGAAACCGAGGAGGACTTTAGTTCCGAGAAGGAGAAGCTTCTTAAGACCCTTAAAATCAAGCCCAAGGACGAGAACGATCTTTTCAACAAGACATTTCAATGCATAATGGACGAGCTCAAGAAGACATTTCTGTCCTTCGATGTTCCCCTTCTCGAGTTCTTTGCCACTAGCGAAGTGATCCAACTAAAAGAGCTTTATCCCAATGCATTTGAAGGCTTCGAAGGTATCCCTGTATCGTCAAAGAGTTACAAGGAGGAAATATTGAAGGAGTACCTAGATTTAAGGAATTCTCTCAGCAAGACTAGAAGTGCATTCATAAATCCCAAAAACAAAGGGGAAAAAGTAGTCTGGGGATCCGATGCAAATCCCTCCGAGAGGTAAACATCCATTCTCATTTATTGTAGAAAGAATGTGATTATTCCTAAAAGGAATTATTGTTTAAGTTATTCTCTAAAATTCATTAGTAAACCTGATACTATCTTTTTCCTTTGTATTTCCGTCTCAAACTTTCATTTCCTAATGACTGAAGACATTTCAAATTAATGTCACTCACTTGTAACTCCCGAGCCCAGGCTTATTTCTCCATTTGTTTGTATTAGAAAGCTTTTTAATCTCCAGGCATGTCAATAAAATTAAATTAAGGATTTGTTTACATCAATCCAAAAGCTTAAATTCTTTCAGGAACTTACCCCTTAATGAAAGGAATACAGAAAGTTTTCTCTCTCATGTTTTTGATCTTCGGTCTTGTGTACGCAGCAGAGGAAACCAACAAGTCGTCTAATAACGGAAATGGCGGTTCCTCTTCAGACTCTCAGAAAGAGGAGAGTAAGGAAAAGAGCACTGAAAGCTCATCCCTAAAGTTGGGAACAAGTCTGCTTGGACTTGCATCCATCCTTGCCATCTGCCTGGCCAAATAAACCTTGCTTTTGGACGTGTAATTTATTTATTTTTTAAATATACAGAGCATATAAAAATACACCTTTATTTTTTAAAACCTTGCTCCTATCCTCATCTCCAGCTTGGATATTGCTTCATCCTTCCTTCTAAGTTTGTCGGCCATTGCTGAATAAAGGCTTTTTATTCTTTCTTCGTTCTTACGGCACTCGTTGAATCTTTTTTCCAGCATCATGTTGCTTGCCTTAAGAGCCTTATTCTCCTTTCCTTTCTTCTCGAGGTATTCCTTGCAGACCTCTAGATCTTTTCTAGCAATGCTGAACTCCTTGGTGAAGTCTTCCAGGAACTTCATTGTTCTTCTGTGCATCACATCTTTGTTGTTCTCGGCAAAACCCATGGCCTCGTTGGTCTCCTTGTCCATCACACGGATCTTCCTAACCAGATCCTTGTATGAGATCTTGAACCTTCTTACCATCTCGTCAACCGGAACCACTGCGTTGATTCCAAGAGTTTTCAGAAACTTTCTACTGTCTTCTGTAACTGCAACAATCTTTCTATACTCCTCCTCTTTGCTTTTGAGCTCTTTGAGTTCAAGTCGTAATGTATTTATCTCTTCTTCTGCTTTGTCTTCTAGTCCTTTCTCTCCAAGAATCTTTCTTGCCAAGCTTATCTTGGAATCTATGCTACGAGCCATTCCTTCAATCTCACCCAATTTTTTGTCACATTCCCGCCCTTTTTCTTGCAAAAGGTCCTTCAGAAACATCTCAAGCTCTCGAGATCTCTCCAGATCCGAGGTAAAGCCCAAGCATCTTTTCCGAAGTTCCTCTACCTCCTCTAAGACCACTGCTTTTTCTTTTTTTTCTTTCTCCAGCTCTGCCTTAATCTTGTAGACTTCCAAGCCTCCATATCCATCCTGGGACACTTTATATGACAGCGCCCTTTTCTCATTCTCACAAACCTCAAGTCTTTTCTTTAGCTCTCCTCGAGTGGCTTTCAAGTTCTCAACTTCTCTTTTTAGTTCTTCGTTCTTTAGTGCTAATTCTTGTTTGTCTCTGGTTTCTCGCATATAGTTCTCTCCCATCTCCTTCAGGTACAATTCATTCGACTGTCTTTGCCTGTAAATTTCCTCATATTCCTTTTCCATACTTTTGTAGTGCTCTCGAATCTGGCTTATCTCTGCTTCTTTGAGATTCATCTTTTCTTCAAAAGACCTCACAATACTTTGAAGTTGAGAAATCTTGTTGTTGTATTCATTTCTTTCTCGATCTCGTTCATACATTATCTGGTCTTTTTCTTTATTGCTATTCAGAAGAGCATTCTTGTAGGACATCAGTTCCTTTTCAATTTGGACCCTTTCTTCCTTTTCATATGCCATCTTTTCAATCAAGTTCTTCTGCTCATCAATCGCACTCTTACTTCTGTTGAAACACTCTCCCAGCATCCCATTCTCCTCTCTCAGCTTGGTATTGATTCCATTGACACTCTCTAGATGCTTGAGAAGCCTGTTGTTTTCCTCTTCAAGCATCGATATCCTATTAAGATGTTCCTGCAAACCATTCTTCAGCCGGTCCTCCGCATCCTCTTTCTCCATCCTCATCTTCTTGATCATTTCGTCCATTCCCTCAATTCTTTTGCTGAGCTCCTCGTTCTCTCCCTCAAGAATGTCTATCGATCTCTTACTATCAAGAAGAAGCTTCTGAATGTCTTCCTGGATGTTGACCCCCGAACTTGCTTTATAATGAGAAAGTTGATGCTTGATCTCAAAGTTTTCGTTTCGAAGCTCCTCGATCTCCCTCTCATAATCCTTAACTGTCTTAATCCTCTGCAAAGGATTGAACTGAAGCGAAAATGAGTGTTCTTCCATCACACAGTAAGGGTTACCACCCTCAACAAAAATCCTGGGAATTCCAAAAGAGGAGAGACCGTCCTTTACAAATATCACTACCTAGTGGATTGGCTGTGATTTCAATTTCCTCCAAGTTACCCCACCATACTGATGGGAAACCGCCATTCTCAGATAAAGAAATCTCCTTACGAGATTTTGGATCTATCCCCAATATCCACAAAGAGAGAGATCAAGGACCGCTACAAAACCCTTATTCTCGAGGTTCATCCAGATGTGCAAAAGGTTCATTCTTCTCAAGCATCCAAGGAGGCGGTTGAAATAATGGAAGCATACAGATCTATTATGAAGTCCCCTCCGAGGTTTGAGTTCTACAATGAGGAACTTTTTAGGAAAGACCTCAGAAAATACGCCGAGGATTTCTTTGAAAGAGTGAGTGACTACTGTGGAATACCAAGTGCTCCGAAGTTCGGTGATCCAGACTTTGAAAGATTCTACCAGGTATTTAGCAACTTTCGAACACAAAAAACATTTGAGACCGAAGAGGAGAAAAGCGAGTTCTGCAGAAATGTTAGGAGAATAGCGAGGGTCGTCAGGAGTCTGGATAAGAGAGCGAATGTCGAGAGTCTCTCTATTGAGGTCTATCAACCCTCTCCTAAAGCAAAGGAAAAGAAGATAAAGACCTATCCGTTCAGCTGTAGTCATTGTGATAAAGGATTCCATTCTCGGAACCAGGTTATAAACCATTTTCGAAGTAAAAAGCATTTTGAAAAGGTGAGCCTGGTTTCCGAAACACCCAAGGAATATGTAGAAAATCAAATACAAGAAATTGCAGAGGAAGACTTCTCCGAACCAGTCTGTGAGCCCTGTGTAGACCAAATTCCAGAGAATGCCGAAAGACACTGCGCTGAGGAGCAGGAAACTCCCAAAAAGCCCACGGGAAGGCAAGAACCTGTTCCCTTTAGAACATGTGCAGAATGTAAAATTGTGTTCGGAGGGAGGGCCGAGTTGCTCATGCATCTAAAAACTGCACACAAGAATCCTGAGAATAGAATTTAATATTAAAATAAATATGCTATGAAAAACTAGTAGTCCCATCTGTAAAACAATCCATCTTTCATCTTTACAGCTCCTACAAACACCAAGCTCTTCAAGTGTCTATCGAAGTCTTCATTCAAAGCTTCCTCCGTATCTGTCCCACGTCCTATTGCATCGGCAGCTAGTCTTTTCAGTTCTTCATAGTTGAATTTCTTGGTAAGCAGTTTGTAGATGATGGTGCTTGGATTTTCTTTGGATAAATACAACTCCGGGCTGAGTAAGGAAGATCTTATAGAAGCAAACACATCCGGCATAAATGAAAGCTCTACACCCCTGTTGCTGTATTCTCCCGCCAGCCTCCTCTCTATGTCTTTATAGTTCTCGATTCTTTCGCTCTTTTCTTCATCCGAACACATCACAAACTCAAATCTGTAGTGCTTGAACATTCTCATCTTGTAGAAGAAAAACTCAAAATTCACCACATAAAACAAGATCTCTTTTCCAAGTAGAAAAAGCTCTTTGAAGGCCTTCAGCGTAACATCTCCACTGGTAAATTTCAAGACATACTTCTTTTCCGGACATATCACATAGGTTCTCTGCAGATCAGAAATAACCTCTGCATCGGGAACATTCACTGTTGAAACTATCTTTATGATCATCTGAAGGGATTATCAAAGTAAAGGATAAGATCCAGAAATATACACAAAGCTTGAAGCAAGCCGGAATTTATTCCATACCATATCTTTGGAGACACATAACCTGTAGAAAAAAGATTCCTACTCCTCTAGTCGATTACATATCCAATTTATTCCTTTGTGGACACCTAGGAATGACCTTGACTCCTCGTAAAGAATAAACTCGATCTTTCCATGGCTTATCTCGTCGCAGGTCCTCTTAAGCTCTTGCACAGACTCGTTTCCATAGATGTTCGACTTGCATAGTACAACAATAACATCTTTTGTCTTTGTGGCATCTTCTCCAATAAGCGTAATACACTTCTCGACAGAGGTTTTGTTGTCTGCATCCACAGCAAAGACGACTGCAGCAGAAAGGCCCATGTGGATCCCTCTTATCTCATAAAGGTCTGCATTGTCATCCAATGACTGGAAAATGAGCTCCATTCCATTTGCAATGCATGTGTCTTCTGAAAATGGCCGGAGAGATTTGTCTTCCTTGTAGTTCGAGACAGAGTGCTTCAGAACATGTCTCTGGTCTTCCTCCAGCCCCAGAAGAGCAACAACATACTTCTTTCTTGTGGCTCCACAGCATAGGGAAAGGACCCAATCCATTATTTTATGGGCAAAAAATTGACAACAAATACCTTCTTACCTACCAAAACTCTCCATTTAATAAAAGTATTTATTGCTCCAGAAGATAACCCACTTCCTCTTTCAGAGTTCTACTCTTTTCTATAAGTATGGAAACCGCCTTCCTTAACAGGTACAGGGGATCCAGAAATACGCTGTTGATTGTAAAAAGAAAATGGTCCGACTTTCTTCCAATGAATACCTTGTCCTTAAACTCCTCATGCCTGAGTGCTTCCCTGCTCATGGTGTCCAGACGGGGATTACTTACATAAGCCTTCATTCTCCCATCGCTTTGCTTTACTTCTATGACTCCTTCTGAAAAGCATTTTTGAATCCTAAAGGCATCCTCATCAAAGAAGTCTCCTATCTCAATCAGCGGGAGAAGTCTGTACGTTGCAGGGCATACAGGACTCCATTTTGCATGTGTTTTTCCTGTATTCTTGGTGCAGACAACCTCGGCACTTATTTTCTGCCCATGGGCTAGCTTGAACATGAGTACTCTGCTGCTGAACTTGGCATTCTTTATCATTTCCCTCTGATTTCCTAATGGAATCCATTTGATATCATCAGAGTACACATTCAGAACATCCTTATTTTCATTCTTAACATCAAGAGAAAACTTGAGGGAGTTCCTCTCGTTCATCTCCCCCTCCACAAACTCAAACATCTCGGGATCCACTTCCAGTGGAATTAGCCCTAGTCTATGTGCTATGAATTCATCCGGAAATACACTCTCGTTTTCCTTCAGAAAGACATCCTTGATGGCCATAGTCGGAACATCGTTGCAGAGTATGCGTCGAAGTGCATTGGCAAAGGAGCAGTCGACATTAATAAGATCAAACTCTAGCTTCTCCTTAGAGTACTCTGTTATCCTCAGCTCAACCTCCTCCACCATCTGCTCAAACGACTTTGTCTCTCCGCAATATAAGTCTGTGATTGTCTCCCTTCCCAACTTGTATATCTTCGACATCCTTGCAGGGCAAATTTTTCCAAATCGTTATTCATGTTCTCTCCTCCATCGGTCCCATGGTAAACACCTTGACCATTCCGTCGGCTCCTCCAGTGGCATACTTACTTCCATCCTCATCAAAAGATATCCTATTGACCCGCTTACTATGCTCCTTACTTCTTGTCCTAATGGTAAACTCTCCTCCTTGGAGATCTGCAGTTAACACCTCCCCAGATTCAAGTCCTATCAGGAGAAGATACTTCTTAGGTGAAAAGCTTAAGGACGTCACCTCGTACTCAAATCTAGACTCCCATTTCATTCCAAATTCAGGACCTTCATATACAAATATACTTCTGTCTCGAGAACACGTGGCGAGATATTTTGAATCATGGCTGAAGCTACAATCCCACACAACTCTCTTATGGTCCCTTAGTCTTTGAAAGAACTTAATGCTTTTGCTAACATTATAGATTGACACACTCTTGTCTTTGGAGGCTGCTGCCAGGTACTTTCCATCCCGTGAAAATACCAACCTTTCGATCCCATAGTCGTGTACTTCTATGTAATCCATCAGCTCAAAGTTTCTGTTCCATACAAAAATCCCTGAGAATTTCTTCAGCGACGACTTGTTACAGGAAACAATGAAATCCTTAGACACGGCAACATCAGATACATCAAAGTAGTGTCCATAGACCTTTCTTATCTCGTTGAAGGTGGCCACAGACAATAGCTGCTCATTGAGTGATTCAAAAGTAAAGTCTTCCAGAACTACGTTTGTTAAAGACAGTTCGGCACAAACAGCTGCAAACTTCAAACTGTCGATATCACAAAAGAAGTCGTGTATAGACCTTCTCTGCCGGGAAATACCCATTTCCTCCAATGACTTACTCACGTCTTTTTCCTTATTTTCCACACTCAAGCATGTCATATAAAACACCTGTGTAGGCTCATAGATTCTTAAAATTGTTTCCTGTGCAGAGCTTATGAATTGAAGGTTCTCGGTATTGAGAAACCTTGCCGAGGTTAGCCCATATCCATGCTTCTGTGGCCTACCTACCTCATGCCCCTTGTAGAATATCCGGGACGTCATATCAAGCGAGGCCGTTAGGAGAAACTCATCTCTCCAGTCGATAGACCTCACTTCGTCGATATGGCCCGAAATAAAATTCTCCAGAACATCTCCAAACTTGTAAAACCCTCCAGAATTCGATTGTCCTACAATATAGTCTCCAGTCATTAGAACGTTAAAGAAGGCTCCTTCTCCGCCCAGTCTCATCACATCTTCCCACCTTCCAGACTTCTTCTTCCAGTGGATTATCGACCCATCTCCAGATGAGCTAAGTAGATCTCCCTCTCTTGTCCACCACAGTCCGTAAACCCAGTCTGTGTGCCCATTAAGGGTTTGAATATGCTCAATCCATCCTTCTCCTTCAATAACTCTCCATATCTTTATGGTTTCGTCCTGTGACGCCGTGGCAATGTAAGCCTCTCCATCAATGGAAACAGACTTGATGTCTTGGATGCTGTCTCTGTGCCCTTCAACTTCATCCCACAAAACACAACTGCCTTTTCCCCATAGCACATAAACACTCCCCTTTCTGCTCCCAATAAATGTTCTGTCACAAATCGTTGTTAAACACGTAGGAATCCATGTATTTTCGACTTCTCCCGTAATCACATTTCTGTCCATGTCATATACGAAGGTTCTATCCATCGTACAGAACGCAGCACATGATTCCCTCATAAAACCAACCGCTTCAATACATCCTTCAAAGTCATGCTTCCTAACATCTCCGTTTCTTATTATATATCCCCTCCCATTCACATCTCCTGCCACTATCGTTCCATGGCTACATTCGACCGCATTCACATCGCCGTCCATACAAACTACAGAAAGAACCTTTCTTTCGTCAGTTATGACTACATTCGACCTAGACCCATAGGCCATTCCATTCCCAAATGCTGCAGAGACCTTTGGCTTTCGTGTGCAGCCGGCAGATATGAAAACAGAGTCCATAGATGCTAAAGGGATAAAAAATTGGTTCCAAAAACTTCTTCGATCTCTATTTATTCCAAAAACATCCAGTAGCTCGCTTCAGCTCTGCTTCGAACTCTCGCGGACCTTGGCTAGGGCATCTTCCAGTACGATAGACAGTTTGGATTTGTCATTGAACGACTTCTCAATGTTCCGTATTAGCTCGCCCAGGTTAATTCCATGACTCTCCATCACCATGACACTCCTTTGGATCCATACCTTCTCAAGCTCACAGTACTTCCTGTAAAGAGAAGGATTCTTCATGGCCATCTTCTTTGTTTCTTCAAACACTTGGTTTACTGCCTTCTTAAGCAGAATCTTCAACTCGATGGAATCCGGGTCTACATCCCTCGTGGTCTGAACCACTTCGTTTGCAAGATATAATAGATTCAGCCTATGGTATGTACTGGATCTGTTATAGACAAACATCCATCCGTCCACTATTTCCTTGTAATCTTTTTTGAAGGTCCTTATAAACAGTCCGGCAGTCTTCATCTGCTCCTCGGTTGGAAGTAGGTTTATCAGTGACTTCAGGAGATACTCCTTCGATAACGAAGCCATATTCGAGGGGCTGTTCCTCTGGTATTTGTCAATGCCTCGATTGGGAGGAGTCGGAAACAAAGCCAAAATGAGAAAAATGGAATCCCCGCATGTCTACCAAGGTCGAGCCATACATGGAGGTTGGAACAGTGATAGCCGATCCCGAGTACCACACAAGGTACATGTTGAAGAAGCTCCTTGGAAGAGGAGCATATGCACAATGCTATCTAGCAGAGATAGAAAATGGCGAACAGTATGCAATGAAGGTTGTTAGGTTAAAGGACATTAAGAGCCGGAAAGTCCATGAGAAGCTTGAGTCCGAGATAGCAATACACTCGAGGCTGGACAATCCCAATATTGTCAAGATGTATAGGTCGTTTAGAAACGAAGAATATGTCTTTATGGTTCTCGAGCTCTGTGAGAGAGGGGCTTTGGATATACTCCTAAAGAGAAATGGAAAGCTGAAAGAAAGACATGTAGCGAAGTTTGTCAAGCAGACGGTCGAGGGACTTGTATATCTTCACAACACCGTTAGTGTTGTGCACAGAGATCTGAAGCTTGGGAATCTGTTTCTAGATTCGAAGTTTAATGTGAAGATAGGAGACTTTGGCCTGAGTGCGGTGATAAAAGACGGAGAAAAAAAGATCACCATGTGCGGAACACCGAACTATATAGCACCGGAGGTATTGTTTGGAAAGGCAAGTGGACACTCCTTTGAGGCAGATGTATGGTCTCTTGGAGTGATCATCTACACATTGCTTGTTGGAGTTCCTCCGTTCCAGAAGAAGAATGTAGAAGATATATACAAGATGATAAAGCTTAACAAATACATCTTTCCAGAGAACTGCGACCTTTCAAGCGAAGCCATTGATCTGATAACCCAGATTCTGAACACAAATCCTCTAGAAAGGCCGACGTTGGAACATATTCTCAACCACAGGTTCTTGTCGAGAAAGGAGCATTTTCTGATGAGAATATACAAGAATCTGGTGGTCAACAGGACACAAGAGGGTGTTATCGACACGGACTATGTTCTCTTCAGCATTCCTGTGACAAGGCTAAGGGGAATTGGATATGTGCTGAAGTCTGGGGTTTATGGAATATACTTCAGTGACCACAGAAATCTAATGCTAAAGCCAAACAAGAAGAGCGTCATCTATCTGAATTCGACGATCGAGGGGGGAAAGAGGGTATTTTACAAGGAGGAGCATCTAGTTGAAAAAATACCTGGGGAGATTCTTGAATCGTACAAGGCCCTGGAGTATTTTATCAGGACATTTGATAATGGATTTAGCTTTTTGGATGTTGAACCATGCTTTATTGTGAAGATAAGGAAGATAGAATGTGGATTTCTGTTTGTGATGGCCGATAGCACCATTGTGTTTGACTTTTCGGATGGATGGAGAGTGGTGGTGTCTAGGTATGGAGAAAGAGTATCGTGCTACAATGGACTTGGGCTTGCCTCGTTTAACTCAGAGATAAGAAAGAAGTGCATAGAGATTTTGAAGAACTGTCTTGGGTGTGGATAAGGTATCCTTGGATCCTTAATGATACAGAAGTTTTGAATGGGATGGGGAGAGTTGTTTTGGACTTGTGTCAAAACTAATCAATAAAAGGACATAGACGCAAGCGTGGATGGAAGATGTGGAGAACATAAGGACTTCATATAAAGTGCTGAAATGTAAGTGTGTCTACCTGAAAAGCTATCTGGAGCATATTGTTACTGTGGCGAAAAGATCCTCCGACCTTCTTTTTCGCGCTCTTCAGATTCCAAGAGATATTGAATGGAACGACCTACTACTTACGCATTGCATAGAAATGAGCGAGAGGCAAAGGGCTGTGTTTGATGAGGCAGGGGTATTTTATGGAGAAACCTTGTTTAAGGAGCTTGATGGGCTGATTGCGACTATAGTCAATGATATGAAGATGATTGACGAGGAGGTAAAGGCCATTTCTGAGAGGCCAGCAGAAGGCCTGAAGGAACTGAGGATAGCCCGAAACAGACACATGGAGGCTTGGACACATGGAAAGCATGACCCGTGGTTGACAGAGCTCGGCCTGAAAAAGGCAGTTAAGAAGGTTCTCCTTATGGATGACGAGGCGAACAATGTGATGTATGGAAAGGTTGGGGGATTTAATATGTCCTTACAGAGTGCAGCAGACAGGTTTAAAGAAACCCTCCTGAGTCTTATGAGGATTCAGAAGCAGAAGTACCAAAAGCTTCGGGACTCTGTAGATATGGAAACCAAGAGATGTGAGGAGATGGATAGGTTTTTTGACACCATCTCCGAATCACCAAAAGAGGTTAGAGGGGAAGCAAAGAAGGACGAGAAACTCAAAGAGAAGGTTGATGCCTCGTTTGAGACATTTGTAGAGGAGATAAGCAAGGAGCTGTCAGGAAAGGGTATAACAGTTAGAAAGAATCTGGAAATTGTAAAGTCCTCTATATGCAAAGTGAAAAAGGGATATACAGGGGATTGGATAGTGGCATATCTAGGGGTCACGTCCACGGGATATGCACACTTCTTTGATGTCTCGGGGTTGTTGAACGAAGCAGAAGGTCTCAAGAACATCATTAATAATTTAAACAATAGCACGAGCAAAGGCTTTATATCCATGTTTGATGGAAGCAAGCCCAGAAAGGAATCTGGGGAGGACAGAATGATTTTTGAGATAAATACCAGGATCGGCGAGACGGTCGAGACTCTTTCAAGTCCGGTGGTTTCGATTAATCTAAATGATAACACCTACGAGCTCGATAGAGAGAGAAAACAAATCTCGGTAAGTAGTAAGCACCAGAACGGGTTTGCAAGTTTCTTTGGGGTATGTGAGGTGAAGATCAAGCTCTTCTCTCTTTCAAATGCAATAGAGATATTCCATACACTCAAAAATAGGAACAAACTTGAGGAAAGTATAGACAACTTTGCCGAAGGTCCCAGGAAAGAAGTCAATGAAGGAGTTGGGCTTAAGGTTCTGCTACAAGAGGAGAATCCCTGGGTTGAAGGATGACTTCCAAGCTTCACTCTCTGGAGCTATGTCTAAGCCGATTAAAGATAATGATTTGTTTACGTTCTACTGCATTACATTTTATTTGAGTGTAGGATCTTGATGTGCTTTTTAAAATCGAAAGTTGTAATTGGTTAGGAGACACTTCTGATTTGGCTTCCTCTGGGTTTAATAAAGGGATAGGTCAGACTGTCATTTTGGAAAACAATTGGACGAATAGAATGGGACTAGAAATTAAAACAAATAAATAAAAGTGTTTACACATATCCTACACATATTCCGATGGACAACGTTTTAATATCTGATGAGAACCTTAAAAAACCTTCAAAGCCTGCCTACTACGGAACAGCCGGATACAGATCAAAAACATCTGATCTAAACAATATCCTGTGCCGAGGATCCCTGATAGCCTACTTGCGATCGACAACGTTTGCAGGAAAGATCATTGGGGTGATGATTACAGCAAGCCACAACCCTGTGGAGTACAACGGGATCAAGATAATTGATCATAACGGAGACATGCTTGACGAGACATGGGAAGAGTATAGCGATAGAATTGTGAATTGTGATGATGACAAACTTCCTCGCGAGATGAAAAGGATTCTAAGATCCTGCAGTAACCAAAGCGAGCTTGGGGAGGGGGTGCAGGGACATGTAGTTTTGGGCAGAGACACCAGAGACAGTGGGAAAAAACTATGCGATAACATAAGGTCTGTGCTAAGCAAACTGAATTGCACTGTGGACGATTATGGAGTAGTGACAACCCCTGAACTTCATTTTCTTGTAAGGAGGTGCAATGTAGAGAACAAAGTGGTTGACAAGACAGAGTATCTAAAGAACATTGTCTCTAACTTCTCGAGGCTGTCTTCTTTGACAAAAGGGAACTTCAAGACAATGGTAGATACTGCAAATGGAGTGGCAGGAATGAAACTCAAGGAACTGGACGAAATGCTGGAGGGTAGGCTGAACTATGGGATTCTGAACGATCCAAAGGGAATTCTGAATCTGGACTGTGGAGCAGACTTTGTTAAAACAAAAAAGATGGCACCAAAGTTGGAGGTGTTTAATTCGAGCGAGTTCTCCCCACCATCAAATGGGATATGTGCCTCGTTTGATGGAGATGTGGATAGACTCATATTCTTCACAGGACCCAAGAACACAGAGATATTTGATGGGGACTCCCAGGCAGTCTTCTTAGCTCTTTACATAAGATCCCTTCTTGATAAGATCGGATCACGTCTTAGCATTGGAGTAGTGCTCTCCTACTACTCAAACAATGCGGCTGTTGATGCTCTTCCTCCGAAGTTGTTCAAGGTTGTGATGGCCCAAACAGGAGTCAAGAACTTTGTGAGTGCAGCAAGGAACTTCGACATTGGGGTGTATTTTGAGCCCAACGGGCACGGAAGTGTGTGCTTTTCGCAGGCCTGCATAGACGAAATAGAAAGGGGAAGCAGCAAACATCATACAATTCTCAAGTCCTTGGTGAATCTATTTGATCCATGCATTGGAGATGCACTGGGCAACTTTATGATATTCAAGGCGCTTATGGCTGATGCAGATGACCTTAGGAAGTTCCGGGAAAATCCCAGTAGACTCCTCACTGTTAAGATAGAGGACAAGAACAGTATTAAGGTTGACCATAAGAATCAGGTTATTGAGCCGAAAGAACTCCAGGACAAGATTGACGAGGAAGCTTTGAGCCTTGGAGGGAGGTCGTTTGTCAGACCCTCGGGAACTGAAGATGTTGTAAGAGTATATGCCGAGTGCCCGACAGAGGCTGATGCAGATCTTCTTTGCCTAAAGGTTGCACAGCATGTCTATGATATGTGCAGAGGTGTTGGAGACCATCCAGAAATCGACTACACAAATAAATAAGGTCTCTGTTATGTTACTTGCATTAAAATATCATTGGTCACTTGCTTCTTACAACGAAAATCTATTTGGTTTAATCTATCTGGTCTTTATTCTGTAAAGAGGGAACATACATTTCTTCCAGTTTTTTTTTCCCGATTTCTTCATGGTAGAATTCCCCATTGCGGAATCCAAGCCTTATAGTATGTACAAAGGTTTTCTTGGAGTAAACAGAATTCCGCAACAGTCTTACTGTTACAACGTCGTCATGTCTCTTTATCACTTTAGTTGCAATTGCCCTTGAGACCACACGTTTCTGGCCGTAGTAGAAGACAGGTGTCCCATCTGCCTGCTTGATGATGTTGTGGCCTTCATCTAGAAGAAAGTAGCCTTTGTAGTTGTTGGACAGCATTGACTTGTATTTACCATCAACAGTTAGAACTCTCTTTCCCAACTCATACTTTTTTTTATCCATGAGAAACACCTTCTTGAACTTCTGTCTTGCCCTCTTTCCCGGAAAATCCTTTCCATGGAACATCATGAAACTACAAGCAGCGATATCGATATACTTTTGCTTGATCCGGTTCTTGGTATTTGGATTCGTTGTCTTTTTTTCGGAGCTCATGATTCTGCAGGCCAGGATAATGATGGGTTCCATAAAGAGCATCAGTTTTAGACCCTTTAGAGACCATGGAAAATGAAGTCTCACAAGCCTGGCCATATCCAATAGACATCATAGAGTATTTTGGTATGCTTCCCGAACACTCGAAGAAGCGGCTGTATAGGGCTCCTGTGTTTGCAGTATCTTTCCTGAAGATCTTTGACGAAAAGACCACACGATTTATCTTTGATCTATTGCTGAAATCCCACTCCATAAGTTCTCTGAGAGAGATCAAAGGGATTAAGGAAGTCCTGAAAACACTACTGAGGATCCAGATGATCGAGAAAAAAGGAGATAACATTTACTTAGAGGAAGACTTCAGGAGATCGCTGATGGAAGGGTTTTGCATGCTTACGATAGAAAAGCACTATAGAAGTGCAGGAGAAGAGACGGAAACCGATGAAGAGGAGAGTAATAGAAGGTTTGAAACTATTCTAAGGTCGATTGTCAATAAGGAGAGCAAGATCAGGGAATTTGGAGTCAGGGAAGTCCTTATGTTTGGAGGGCTCCTTGGCAGGGATGAGAACATCACAAACAGAGGGTTTGAATTTCTTCTCAAAACAAAGAAAGAGCAACTGTGGTGTCTTGTGTTACTGTCCTTGAAGTATTTTCTCAAATCTGTGGAGGAAGAAGTTTCCACGTTGGAAGCTATATTTGAGCTGAGTACAAAGAATGTTGGAACAGTATACCGCCATTCCAGTTCAATGGATAAAAGACTGCTCAAATATCTGGAGGTACTGGGGATCTTGAAGCTCTATGGAGAAAACCTTGCGATTAGGAGGTCCTTTGTACAGCTGTTTGAGGCGTCTGAACGCAACAGAAGAGAGTTTATAATTGTGGAAACAAACAACAAGATATATGCATACACAAATTCCGAGTATGAAAAGTCTGTGATACATCTGTTCTGCAACGTGTCTTTCAACCTTCCTAACCTTACAAAGGGAAGTATAACAGAGGAGAGTGTGAATGCTGCATTTGACAAAGGAATAACAGGAAGACAAATAATACACTTTCTGGAGGCAAGTTCCAAACCCGGAAGCCTTCCTCCGGCGATCATCAACCAGATAATTATATGGGAGTCCAAGAGAAACAGGATCTTCATGGCTCCTGGATATCTTTACTCGAACTTCCTGAATTTGTCTGACTATCAGAAGGTACTGGAGTTCTGCAGCGAAAGAAACTATCTTATAGAATCCGACATCGACAGGAGGATGATAGTTGTGAATCCAAAAGGTCATGTGTTTGTTAAGGAGTTCATAAAGACAATACTCTAAAGTGGTCTTTAGAAGAAAGGAAAGATAGAAGACAGATGTTTAATTAAAAGAATTGGATAACGTTATTTTATGGAATTTATGAACTCCTTTACATCGAATGATATCTTACACCCGGCACCTGCAAGGATTATGGCTTCTCTGTAAGGTACCTTGTCGTTTACATAAAATACACCTCTGTTTCCTAGCAAGGGACGGTATCTTCCTTCCAAGGCCCTAGAGTCGATGACCAGAGATCTTGTCTTGTGCAGCCCAGCATTTGTTTTGATTGCAAAGTAATCATCTTCCCTCAATATTTCCACGACTTCCTCTTCCAGAACTTCAATTCCCATGTTTCTGGCCTGGCTCTCTACTAAAGAAATAAACTCCTTGGGTTCCTGGACGTCCTTAACGCCTACAACATTTTCTGCTCCAGAAAAGTCCATCTCCTCTTCCCCGGGCACTTTGAGTATAAGTGGAGACAGATTGGCTGTGTGGATATATATTCCACACATGTAGGTGCCTGGGCCTTGGCCTATGATAATGACACTCCTCATTCCCAGGGGATTAAAAATTTTGTAAATCCCCTCCAAAAGTACCTAGCACAGGTAATATAGATTTCTTTTATTAAAGCTTTCGAATTTGGTGATATATTTGTTTTGATCACCAAATAGGGAAACTCTTAATACATAGATCTTGTTCCATGGTAGGGAAAGCCCTAATGTTTACCAACACAGATGATATAAAGCTGTCTGATATACTATTTGGGAGTGATGTCGAGACCATCCGTTGCGAAAAAGCCTCTGGAAGAAAGGAGGACGAGAAAAACATATGGAAGAGGAATGTCAAGCACTACAAGATCCTCTCGATCGATCAAATATCTGCGCTAGAGGACTTCTTCATTAGTAGGCAGCAGCCTATAACAAAAACTAATATAAAACATGCATCAAAGATTCTAAGGATCCCCTACCAACGATCTGTAAACTATCTCTATAACAAATACAAGAGGGCCCAGGAGAGTGCCGATGATTTCTATCAAAAGTGCATTCACGAGTTTGGCTTGATAATGCAGAATATAGACAAGTCCTGGGACTCGTACCTCCGAGGATGCCGGGTGTACAACACACCTCGAGACAACAGGAATTAAAGTAGAAGAGTATTTGTATGTGCCTTTGGAAGGAGAAGCAGGCCTTCTGGAAAATTTTTCTTGTGAAAGTAAGACAATTTTCGCCTCCCTAAAAGATGAAGGATGTCTCTGAGATCATGAAGAAGCAGGCCACCCTCAATATCGGGACTATTGGGCATGTTGCACATGGCAAGTCCACTATTGTAAAGGCAATAAGCGGAATAAGCACAATAAAGTTCAAGGCTGAACTTGAACGTAACATTACGATAAAGTTAGGGTATGCCAATGCCAAGATATACAAGTGTGACTCCAAATGCATCAGACCAAACTGCTACCAGTCTTTTGGGAGTTCAAGCCCGGACCAGCTTCCTTGCAAGAAGTGTGGAGGCACCTTGAACCTGGTAAGGCATGTGTCTTTTGTGGACTGTCCTGGGCACGATGTTCTGATGGCCACGATGCTGAATGGAACAGCCATAATGGACTCAGTACTGCTTCTGATAGCAGCCAACGAACCCTGTCCACAGCCCCAGACCACTGAACATCTGTTTGCAGTGGAGATTATGAATCTCAAAAAGGTTCTTGTTGTACAGAATAAGATCGACCTTGTCTCGAGGGAGCAGGCACTGGAGCAGCATGATCAAATCCAGAAGTTCCTGAAGACTTCGAATGTTTCGGGGCCTGTAGTTCCAACGGCAGCCCAACTTGGAGTCAACATCCCAGCACTTCTGGACTTCATTGTCAATTACATCCCAGAACCATCAAGGGACTCTGCAGCACATCCAAAGATGGTTGTCATCAGAAGTTTTGATGTCAACAGGCCTGGAACCAAGGTGAGTGATATGTCTGGAGGGGTGATTGGGGGAAGTCTTGTCACAGGAATGCTAAAGGTTGGAGACAAAATTGAGATAAGACCGGGACTGGTGACAAAGAAAAATAACAAGTTTGTATGCCGGCCTTTTGTCTCTGAGATTGTTTCTTTGAAAGCAGAAAACACAGATCTTGATGAAGCATATCCTGGAGGACTAATAGGTGTTGGAACAACAATGGATCCCTCGTTTTGTAAGGCAGACAAGCTGGTTGGGCAGGTGATGGGGAAGTTTGGGTTTCTCCCCTCAATATTCCACAGGATAACTGTCGAGTACAGTCTTTTCCCAAAAACGACAGTCCAAGGGAACTTCAAGCTGAAGGAGGGAGAGCATGTGCTGTTGAACATAGGAAGCACAACAACAGGGAGTGTGATAGGGAAGATCGGAGAGACCATTGGGGAATTTGATCTTGTGAAGCCTGCATGCTGTGAGATTGGAGAAAGAATAGCGATATCAAGGAAGATTAACAACCACTGGAGACTGATAGGCCACGGGGAGATCAAGAGTGGGATATGTGTTGAGCCGGAGTACAGTGTCGAAATAGATTCCAAGTAACAATAAAAGGCTTGGGAAAGTACGAATAGCTATCGAAATAAAGATTATCTGTCCTTCAACATTTTAATCGGGTTCTTAAATCACCTCTGAAGACATATCCGGTCCCCTGACCTGTCGAATACAATTATCCCCTTACTCAGAAGCCCATAAACTATTCTCAAGAGTGTTGCTCTGTCCATCCCCACCATCTTTCCTAGACGATCTAACTCAATGGATTCTTCAAGCACCAGATGCTTACAAATAATCTTGTTGTGAGAATCTGACAAATTCTCAATCTCCTCAATCACAAGCATCTTCTCGATGGTGCAAGAGTATTCTCTGCTTTCCTTAATATATGAAAGGGAACTGATGACATCCTCATCCGGAAGGCTTCCTTCCTCTAAAAACCTCCAAACCTTGGAAAGGAGGCTTGCATGCAGCTTCTCATATTCCATGTCATTAAACATCTTCCGAAGATCTTCAAGCCTGCTCTTCAGGTCTTCTATATCGTATTGGCTATATCTCTTCATTTCCTCGTATTTCTGCTTCATGTTGGCTAGTTCCACTTCCAGGATGTCGCATTCCTTTTCATACTCATTGCAGAGAGATATCTTCTCTTGTTTTTTTCTCAGCTCCTCTAGCTCTGAGGAAATCTCCAATCCATATCTATCATACTCGATGCTCAGGTTGTTTAAAACATCTATCAAGGCCATGTGATCTTCAAGCATCCTTTCTTCAATTGTAGGAAACTCCATTTCTCTATACATTGTGTTTAGGTCGTCTAGTGATCTTATGGATGCTGTCCTGGGGATTTCCAGCCCCGATACTGTTTCCAGAGAAGGAAATCTCCTTGGCTCTGTGGTAGTTATTGAAGCCTCCCTTATTATGTCCTCTGGACTGCACATCTAGGGGATCGACCGTCTGTAAGTTCTATTGGCTTAAGCAAAAAATCTTAGAGTCCCATGCCTTATGGCCAAGAAGACATTGGGATTCCAAGGGATGGCGAGGCTTTCATGAGATACCGAGAAAAAAGAATCCAAGAGCTAAGCGGAAATGTAGAGGACATCACATCCGAGAGGGAGTTGATAGAGAAGACCAAGTCACTGAAAATGATAGTCCATTTCTACAAGCCAGAGTTTGGCCGCTGCCAGACGATGGACAAGAGGGTAAGAGAGATAAAGAATTGCTTTCCAGAAATTAGATTCTATAGAGTAAATGCCGAGATATGTCCGGTTGTAACAAGAAAGCTTGAGATAAGAGTTTTGCCATTTCTGGGATTCTTCAAGGACGGATACTTTGTGGACCAGGTTGTTGGCTTTGAGAAGCTTGGAGATAATCTGGACCTGGAAGCTCTTAAGAAAAGGATTTCAGACAGCAACATATTTAAACCTATATCCAGCATATGATTAAATGGAATTTCTCCGAGATTTTTCTACAAAAGGGCGATGGAAACTATCCCCATCCGATGACATCTGAGCGTTGCAATCAGGATGTGCAATGCGACAGTGATTCTAAAAGGATAGAAGGTATACTGGAAAAGTGTTTTGAAGGGCCTTATGATCCGGAACGAAGATATATCATATGTATTCAAGGGCCCACCTCAAGTGGAAAAAGCACGTTTGCAAGGAGACTTCATGGGCTACTAAATAGAAACGGGATCAACACATATTTGCTTGCGTTAGACTCCTATTACTTCAAACCTATAAACCCAGACCTTGATGAAGAAGATTACGACTTTGACAATCCGGCTGCACTCGATTGGGAAAGCATCTTCTGTGTTCTGAAGAGACTAAGAGACAAAAGTCCGTTTCTTGAGCACAGAACATACTCTGGATCCACCTATGGGAAGGCCTTTGTTTGGAAGGAGAAAAATTCCATGCCTAATGTTGTAATAATAGAAGGAGTTCAGGGATTCAACACGGTTTGCGATAAGATTTTCAACATCGAGATGTTTGATCCGTACCACAGTAGTAAGCCCATTGAAGACGAGTTTGTGGACAGATCCCTTGATCTGGGAGACTTCAAGATCCTTAAGATCTTCATGGCAAACTGTGCCTCTAAGGTCCTTTCAGTGAGGCTTAGAAGAGATGAAATGAGGGGAAGAAAGAGAGATGCAATAATTAGAAGGTTTTATTCGAAGACATTACCCAGCATGCTAAGATGGATATATTCCCCGATGTACACCGAGTTCATCAAGGTTATTCATGGAAACTTCAACAGCAAGAAGATCGAATTGCTTATGAATGAGCTAAGCCTGTATTTCTTTGGAAAAGAGATACCTACAGAAGAGACCAAGGAAATGGACCTCTATCAGGAATTTGGAGTTGAATGCACTGGGGAGTGCAGGTATGGAGAAGGGCCCTACATTTCTCTAGATGACAAGGTGTAAGACTCGGCATCTGGAAGAGTCCCTGATCACAGGAACAAGTCTTCGTAGAAGTAGAAGAGAAGAGAGATCCCACTTAGGAACAAATATGTTATGGACCAGAAGATGAAGTGGCTTTTTTTATGGACAGCCATGAAACTGAACATGTAGAATGCATGGAATGCAACGAAGGTCAAATTTGCAAAACTCTTGATTTCGAACTCCATGTCGAACAACGGCTTCAGGCCGAGGATGATGCATGCCAAGCTCAAGCCGTAAAGTACAACTATCATTAAAATCTTTGTGAATCCCCAATGAACTCTTTCTTCGTGACTGCTGGCATAGTCTTCTGCTGGCATTTGTTTCCTGATTTGAAAGTGTTTTATAGTTTCTCGAGTTTGAAACAGAAGGTTGTTTCTGGAAATAGAGGAAATGTTTTGGTATAAAGTTAGTTTCTTTTTAATTGAAGGATTTGGCGGTTTTTTAGACTTCAAAGTATAAAAGGCGGCTCAGCCCCTTGAGCAGATGACAAGGGGAGTTCTGAGGTTTGTGACTTCTCCGATGAACTCTGGAAAGACAACTAGTATGCTGCTGAAGGCAAGGCATGCCTCCTCCCTAGGAAGAAAGGTGCTCCTTGTGAAACCCCAGACCGATACAAGATACAAAGGATCTGTGATAAAATCACGATGTGGGACCGAGATGGAATGCAACCTGTATGTTGACTCTAAGTTTAACTTCAAGAGGGATGTTTCTTACAAGGGCGTGGACATGGTGTTTATAGATGAGGCACAGTTTCTGAGCTCTAAACAAATAGAGGAACTGAGAGAGGTTGTGGATATCTATGGAGTTTCGGTGTGGTGCTATGGGCTTCTTACAGATTTCAAGAAGAATCTTTTTGAAGGATCGAGACGACTGGTTGAACTGTGTGACAAGATGTCTGAGTTTGACATTCTGTGTTACTTCTGTATGGAGAGCGGGAGATTCCACTTGAAGTACATTGATGGAAAGGCGGATACTTCTGGACCCTCCATCGATGTCTGCGAGGAAGGAAATGAGAAGTTTGTTTCTGTATGCCATGTTTGTTGGGTGGAGAAGACGACATCTGAGGAAGCTCGGTTTTCGAAACTCTACAATAGAAGTATTTCCGTGGACAAACAATGTGTTTCATACTCTGGACCCTCTATGAATGAATTTACAAACATGGTACCCTGAACAATGAAGAAGATCGTTGCTTATGGGGCCACACATTTCATCCTACTTGCTATATACACTATGAAGGTAACTCATGGGAGCTGGACTATGTACAATATCCTTACGACTACAACACGCAACAGCACAGTGCACATCCTCCACGCCACATTTCTGATTTTCCTGATGTGTTCCTTGGCAGGCTTGGTAATAGATAGAGTGTTCAAAAGCCTCCGGCCCGAGGAGATAAGCAACTTCAACGAGTCTCTGCTCTATTTCTTGACCGACTTTCTTCTTGTTGTATCTACGTTTGACAGCGATGTCAGTTTCAGGAATGGTCTTCTCTTTGTTATGCTCCTCTGTGTGAAGTCTCTGAACTGGCTGCTGGTCTCAAGGATCAAAAGGAATGTCTATCCCTCCTTGTATGGGCTTGCATATGGGATATCCCTATTCTCTGGGCTTATGGTGGTTTTGTTCACCCTTTCTTGCATTTCTTCCATCACTGGCCAGATCCTCTTTCTTTTCGAATACACTCTTCTTGTGATTGCCTCTATAAAGAACATATGTGTCATGAACTTGATTCAGTCTGATGACGATGGTAAGAGATCTCTGTACAACTTCTATATTGACATAGCCTACATGAGTATCATGCTTCTTGTTTATGCTCTATTCATAGGAATCACCTCCATCAACTACAGGCTTCCCCTGAATCTCTTCCGGTCTGCATTGACGATATTGGATGCCTTGATTTCGAAGGTTAAGATGTTTCTCAGCTATCTCAGACTATGCAAGGAGCTTGAGAAGTGTGTAGAAGGGTCGGGAGATGGCTTCTGTGCAATCTGCAGAGATGATATGGAGGTCGGGAAAAAGCTGGCCTGTGGGCACTGCTTCCACATCGAATGCCTGAAGATGTGGTGTGAGCAGCAGCAGACATGTCCAATATGCAAGTCCAAGCTTGCCTTCGATGTCAAAAAGGAGAGTTTTGTTGTGGGAAATGAATACATCTCGGGAATTCCTGTGACAATCGACGGCTAAAAATAACAATAAAGGATTTTATTCTTTGGAATCTAAGGTCTTTGGCAAATTCTTTATCTCCTTGACTTTTTCTATGGTTTCACTGCCTATCTTGACCAGATGGACTCCAGAGCGTGAATCTTGAGACTTAGTCACATGATACTTGTGCCGAACTACAACTCCGTTTCTTTCTCCCTGTATGTTAATCACTGCCTCCTTCATTCCAGAGGACAGCCTGTATAACCCAGCCTTCTTTGCTGCAGAATAGGGGAATTTGGAGGGATACACACGCCTCTCTCCAAATTCATTTGAAATCTCTTCTCCTTCGTCATTGACTTCGATGAAGTTTATCTTTGTGGTGTAGTAGTAGGACGCCTTTTTGCTCATCACTCGGAACTTATCACTCAAGTCGATGTGCTTCCTGTCCTCTTTGAACACATCCTTGTACTTCTCCAGAATCTCTTTCCATTTCCCATGCCCAAACTCCTTGATTCCTTTGATCAGTGCTTCCGACTCCTCGGGTGTCCAAGGTTTAGGTTTTCTCCTTGGATTTTTAGTATAGGTCCTTACAAAAAGGTTTTCACTAACATGCTTTTTTCTTGGAACTTTGCTGTAAATGTGCAGTTTGATTTTCGAAGATGGTCTACTGCATTCTCCGCCCTCCATTATGAGGGGCTGCAGTTCTCGGCAAATTCCATATGGATTTCGCCTGCTTAATTGCTTTACTGCTATTCTGTGGAGAATGGCTCTTTTCATGCCCTATGGATCCATGCAGATTTCGTACGGATGCTTTCTTAGATGGTTTTTTATGGCATGTTTCCACTCATACTCCAGCACCTTATCTTCCATGTAGACTGTCGAGATAGGATTCACTTCCACAAGCCCATCATCCAGAGAGACCTTGTACTGGTGCATCTTACTAACAGAATCGAAATGTGTGCCCACAAAGATGTCTTCCCTCTCCAGATACTCTTTTCTATTCTTCTCAACCATCCTTTTCAGCATCGGGAGAGGATCAACACAAAAGAAGTATACAATCCTTCCATTTCTGTAGATTGGCATTCCATACATGTTGACCACAATTGCATGCTTCATATCAAACTCCCTTAAACACCTATCCTGAATGTTTTCGTAGTACTGTCTTTTTATCTCTCGTTCGTCCTTATCCGATCCAAGATATCTTCCATACTTCTCTAGTATCATAGCCCAGTTTGTGCCAAAGCAGAGTATACCGGTGTCCAGGGCGTCCAACTCGGAGTCTTTCCACTGTGGAAGAACTTTTTTTTTTGGAATGGTGTGGAAATGAGCATTCCTTTTGGAACTGTTTTCCATGTATGCTGGGTGAAGAAGGATTTTAAAGTCTTGAAGTGATGTGGTACCTTGCTTGTGTGCAAAGGACACTTTAGAAGGTGTGGCCGAGTGGTTATGGCGTTGGTCTAGAAAACCAATGGGCACCGCCCTCACAGGTTCGAATCCTGTCACCTTCGCTTTTTTGTTGCAAATCCCTATGAAATCCCAGTGTCTTCAGCCCATGAACTGCCAAATATGCACAGGAGCCATGGACATCTTTGCAACATACACCTGTGGCCACCAGCTATGCATGACATGCTCTGCAAGACTTGTGTTTCTATATATGCAACCAAACTGTCCTTTGTGCAGAAGGCCTTCCAAGTCTGTTGTTTTTTCATCACTCCTAACAACTGGAAAGTCTTCCAAACGGCCATGGAAGGGCAGGAAGGTTCCGGTAGATGTCTTCTACGAAGGAGACTATGCGAGAGAGAAGATGGAGGACCTTCTGTCCAACAAGTGCCAAAAGTGCTACGCCAAGCTTGGAACTTTGATGGAGCTCAAGAAACACTACACACAGCATGGACTTGTTCTTTGCTTTGAATGCATCAAAAACAGAAAGGACTTCTGGAATGAAATCAAACTCTATAGAAGTGACACAATCCGAGACCACAAGAATGGAAGTCTTCGGGAAGAAGGATTTGAAGGACATGTGTTCTGCATTCATTGTAAAATCTATCTATTTGATTCCGACGACGCAAAGAGACACTGTAACCTCAAGCACGAGCTGTGCCATGTTTGTGACATGACAGGAACAAAATATCAGTACTATAATGGCTTTAAGGACTTGGAAACACACTACAAAAGTGCCCATTACTGCTGCAGCTTCCAGACATGCCAGACAAACAAGTGCTATGTATTTCCCTATCAAACAGAGCTTTTCGAGCATCTCACCAGGTTCCATGGAGTGGATATCAGACTGCTGGAGATTCCAATGGCTGGGAAATGCAATGTTCCTGTGATGAACCCGTTCAAGAGGAGACGGCAACTTCCCCAGGTGAGTGTGGTAGATCCAAGTGGAAGAGAAGTCCGATCTCAGCTCCCTCCAGGCCCCAATGTATCTCAAAGGATGGATACTTCCAATACTGGGTCTGGGCTTCCTGGATACTTGGATAGAGCCATTTTAGAGGAAGAAAGAAGAAAACAGCAGAGGCGTAGAATGGCTATAGACCGCATATGCAAGGGGGCTGCGGATGAGGTAGAGGAAATTGTAAACGGGTTTCTAGAGGGCTCCATGGATGTCAAGGAAGCATTCAACAAAGTGTCGGGAACAGTTGGTGATGCATTAGCACTTAAACTATTTGAGTCGGGGCACTTTGGGCCTAAACAGAGTGTGGTAGAGGGTAGCATAAAGGCCTTGAGGAAGGAAGTCATGTTTCCAAAGTTCACCTCGGAGGAGCCTACAAGATATAAAGAGCCCGAGAAGAAAAAGAACCCTGGATTCAGAGTCATAGATCTACACCAAAGAAAGCAATAAAACAAGCTAAAAACATCTTTATTTCACTATCTTCTTAGATATATAGAACTCCTTTGTTTTCCTATTGATGTACATCAAAGTGGCAAATATTGTAACTATCTTAAGAAGCACTATTCTGTTTATGAGCTTAAAGATGCTGTTGTACAGACTTGTGTATTCAACCTCATCCCAGTCGTCCAGCTTCTGAAGATCAAAGTTGTTTTTCGAAACATAAAGTAAATCGCTCATCTTTCTTGTCAGCCATTCCATCTGGTAGTCTGTGCCGGAAACAATTTCGGGAGTCCAGGGCCTTCCCTCATAGATAGAAAGCCCAAGTGCCAATTCTCCCGTGACATCTGTTTCCAGAGAAAATACCATTGTGTAGTATCCTGTGTCGGGGGTTGTGTAAAAGAATGTGCTGAATGTCTCATGCTTGACATCCTTGAATATAAGATTCTTTGGGTCTGGGTCTGCATTTTTGTAATCCCCTTCTGACTTGTATATGCTAAGCTTGATTCCAGCATTGATCCCCTTTGCCTCCTTCCACGGGAGACTGGGGGACGTCCTATGGAACACCTTTGCCTGCATTAGGACCACGGTCTGCCCGTTCAGTCTTAGAGCACTTTCGACCTCCTTTGTCTCGTCCAAATAGAACAAGGTTTGTGAGAAAACATGTGCCAGGAACAGGAAAAACATTCTCGAAGGGTTTGGGAGAGCAAGATAATATTTCAGGTCTTCAAGAAGAAGACAAATAAACACAGTTTATTTGCAGAACAATCCCATCAGGACATAAGCGACTTTCTCCAGTCCTTGGAAAGACCGTCCAGATTTCTCTCTGCCCACTTCACAGACGTGAAGGAGTCGACAGCCTTTCTGTTGATCTTATGCCTTTCAATCCTCTCCTCGACCGGCATCTCGATGGCCTTCTGGATGCCATCTGCAATCTCTTCAATATTCCATGAATTTATCTCCAGTCCTCCACATAGAGTTGTCGAAGCCCCTGCACTCTCGCTCAGTAGGAGTACTCCATTCTTTTCGTCTTGGCATGAGACATACTCCAGGGCAACAAGATTCATCCCGTCCTTCAACGACGTCACAAGAAGCATGTCACTTACTGCATACAGGGCACACAGTTCGTTGAAGTCTACACTCTTATTGAGGAAGTACACATGCATCTCTTCAATTGATCCAACCTTACTGTTCGTTTCCGATGAAAGCTCGTTTAGTTTGGTAGTATATGAAGAATACTCTTTAACACTCGTTCTGCTGGGAACACCGACTTGAAGAAACACAACCTTACCAATAAACTCGGGATACTTTTCAAGGAATCTTTGGAATCCTTTAAGACGGTGGGGCATTCCTTTTATGTAATCAGTCCTGTCCACTCCCAGGATGATCTTCTTTCCTTGGAACATCTTTTTGAATTCCTCTATTCTTTCTATCGTCTTCTTTTCTTTCAGTGTGTCCCGGAACATTTCGGGATCTATCCCGATCGGAATTGCATCCAGCTGGGTCCTTACTTCGATGTTGTTCGCTGCACACGTGTCGTGGAAGTTTATAGCATAATCGAACGAGTGAAATGCAACCAAATCACTGTGGGCCATTCCACTTACTATTTCCCTCCGGCATGCAAGGGTCTCCATCATCTCCGCAGGTGGAAACGGAGTATGTAGGAAGAACATGATCTTGAAGTTCTTATTTGATTTCTTTTTCAACATCTCAGGAAGTATCATCAGATGGTAGTCGTGGACCCAGACAATGTCTCCATCCTCGATGGTTTCACATATCTTATCACAGAAGATCCTGTTGTACTCTACATATGCATTGTAGTTCTTAATGGTGAATGCAACGTCATCCTTGAAGGAGTGTAGTATAGGCCACAGGATGGCATTACAGAAACCATCATAGCAGTCGTGATTTAGTACCGGATCGATGAACACAGGAATTGAGTGGAACTTTTCCCAGCAATTTCTCCTTATTGTTTCCTTCTCCTCTTCGTCTAGCTCGGTGCCGCTTATGTTTCCAAACCACTCAAACCTAATTGTATCGTTGATGCTTTTCAGACCAGTCACCAGTCCTCCGCTTGTCCTTGTGTATTCAAATCCATTTTCTCCTTTCTTTATTGTTATCGGCAGGCGATTGCTTACAACCAGAAGTTTCATGCAGAGCCGACAGACTTGGTATTTATCTGGAATAAAAATAATGAAGTTTCTGACAGGCTGTCCAACCAATCGAGAGATTCCGAGAAATCAATAGAAAGACCAGGCGAGAACTTACAACGAAAGAACAAGTCAAAGGGTTTAATCCACCTTAAAAGGGGGCCGATTGAGTTTTCCAAGGTAACTGCCTAGGCTCATGAACACACGATCGAATCCAACCACATATGTGAGAAGGAGCACTCCAAAGTTGGACATCACAAAGATAAGGTAAAAGAAAGTGTTCAGCATGTCCATTCCAAAAAAAGCCGTCAACGAGCAGAATGTTTGACCAACTAATCCCAGAACAAGTAGGCTGGTTGTTCTGTCATTCAAGGACTTGAATATATATGCACTGAGGAAGTTGATGAGCAGGACTAGTGCCATGTAGGTGAACCCGCGCTGGGCCTTCATCACCCTGTACTTCATCCGGTCGTTCTTGCATATCTTTGCCATCGAACGCATCGTCTCAAGCATAAATCCAATGGTTGTTGTGGAGAATGAGAACAGAAAGCAGAACACCCCCTTAGCTTCCGACACACGCAAAAAAGAGCATGTGGAAAGATAGTTTACTCCTGAAGGAATGATCCTGCTTTCGGAAATGGCCACAATCAACAAAAAGGAAATGTATACAGCAATCTGGCCTGCAAACAAATGTCCGAGTTGCATCATCAGGGTAACCTAGATTTTCCTCATTAGCTTGAGGATACAAAAAGACCAAAGATGTATTTTTACAGTCTGCTTTTATTTACATCAGCATTTCAGAGGGGAGAACTCAACACCGAAGAGTCCTTGCCTGATAAGCTCTCTAAGCTTCTGTCCTCTGATCTTCTTAAGATGGAAGCTGCTTTGCTTTCTTCTTCGCTCGTTCATCACGACCTTGTAGAAATCACAGTCTCCAATAAGCACGAAGATCTCGCACTTGCTATTGATGTACATGCAAACTTCGCTGCAGACCTTTGCCTCAATTCCGCTCTTAAGCTTGTAGAGATTCTTTGGGCACTGGAGGCACTCTGGAAGAGGCTCCGGAATGCATTTTTTGTCCTTTCCTTTACGGATCTCTCCAGTCTTGGTTAGAACGAATTTCTCGAACTTGTCCTTGCAATCCTGGGAGCAGACTCTGACAACAACATCTCCTCTTCGTTTGTATCTCTCGATGTCGAATGTGTATGTCTTCTGGCTCTTTACAATCTCGACCTTTTTTGGGGACCTTCCATGTCTTGGTCCGCATTTCTTCTTGCATATCCTTGGGAAGGTCATGCACTCCTTACTCTCAGACTTCTCGGAGCTGCTTGACTCGCAAGGAGCACAGGGTGTGCAAGGAGCAGGCAGGGGCTTGACTGGCTGGGGGTTGACAACAACCTTGTCGCACACTGTTGTGTTGTTTCCCTGGCCGCATGGGGGGCATGGGGAAGAGACTGATGCGCCATTGTTTTCAGGGCAGACCACGGGCCTGCTCTGAGGTCCGGGGCATGAGCAAGCTTCGACGCAAAGGACATGCTTTGCTGTGTTTGTGTACCTGTCGAAGGGTGCGAGGGCTCCATTCTTGTGAAGGACCATTGGGTTCTGGTGGAGGTCATGGTCATTCCAGTACAGCACATATGCCTTGTCAATGTTCATTGCGTTAAGGTATCTTATGGCTTCGTGGATGTTGCTTCCGTTCAAAGCAAATGCCATGCATTGGGAATCTATAACGGCGTTGTAGGGCCTCAGCTCATAATCACATGAAAGATAAAGAGCCTTGATCTTCAGAGCATTGATAGCACCGAATGCAGAGATCAGTAGTCCCAAGAGCTTCATTGATTCCCCTTTCGGACAATCAATATATGCCTTAAAATGTTAAAGAACAGTCTTTTTGACCATTCCTTTTTCCTTTTGGATGCTATATGATTGTTGATTCAGGGAATACAATTAGACAGAGTACATCACTTTCTTCAACATCAAATTAATGGATCTATAATGACCCTTGAAAGTAGATGACATTTTTCCCAGTACAGGATCGGGTAATGGCGCTATCTCCAAAGCCCAAGCCTGGAGTAAGGGAGATAAGAGAGCAGAAAGGAGAAACTGAACATGGTCTGGGTTGAATACATGTTTATAGAGAGGAGATGCGAGTAGAGATTTAATTTATCCAAAGATCACAGGACTGTCCCAACTTAAATTAATTTATTGATTTAAGGTGAATTTATCTATTAATCATACTTTAGCATTGCTTGGTATACAAATCTTTTACTCCATATAAACTCAAGGTTCATGGACATTTTTGGAGGGAAAGTGGGCAGGAATCCATGGACGATAGAGACAACTAGCATCGACACAAGCGACTGCAAGGAGGACCACTCGATCAAATGCCAATGTCTTCAGGCCAAAAGGACCTTCAGATCTAAAGGTATTTGCTCATGCATTAAGGATAATGGGAAATTATCCCATGTTGGCTCTATATCTCATGTTTCCACACCATCAAACACTAAGGAGCAAGGCGTTTTTGAAAGAAGACAGAAAGCTCATGATTACAAAGCTACTACCCAAGGATATCCTCCATCAGGAAAAGGATCTCACGCCAACAAGAAATATCAGCTTTACAAGACAGAAATGTGTAGGAGCCATACAGAAATAGGCTATTGCAAGTATGGAGACAAGTGCCAATTTGCACACAGCAAGACCGAGCTTAGGTATGTCCAAAGGCATCCAAAGTACAAGACAGAGACGTGCAAGACCTTTTGGGAAGAAGGGAGTTGTCCTTATGGTAAGAGATGCTGCTTCATCCATATTCCTAACATTGATATTGTTAATCTTTCTCTTCATGGATATCAGGAAGAGGATGACAAGAGGCACGAAGCAGCCCTGGGAATAGAGATAGACAATCCACATGACGAGGTTGTTTTCGCAAAAATCGATGGATATATGCTATCGTCGGAAGAAGGTCTTCTCTATTGCCCAGAGAGTTCTAGAAAGGAAGGAGAGGAAGAATGGGGATTGAAAGTGGTTTACAATAGCTACTCGGGCAAAGATCATGGCCCAGGCATCGGCCACAGGTCCCCCAAGCAGTCCTTCGAGCCCATTGTCGAGGAGGAATCCTCTGAGGAGATTATGCTAAAAAGACCCTTTTGGGAAAGCAACTATTCAAAAATATGGATGGAGGAGGAGACCTCATTATTCTATGTGCCTAGTCCTTGCAAAAGGAAATCAGAGAGTAGGGCCCTGAAACAAGAAGGAGCAGATAGACCCTTCAACAAAAAGATATCTGATTTTGTATTTGAATATTTAGGAATGTAAATAAATCTTTGTGAATTTCATTTTAGCCGGCCTTTAAAACCATTGCAATTGGAATCCCAATGGAGATAGTGAAGTTCGAGCCGGATTCAAAAGAAATAGAAAGGAGAAAAGACATAAAGCCTTTTGGAGACACAAGTAAGATAAGGGTGATCAAAAGCACAACGGCACCGAGGTTTAATCTTTATACAACAGAAATAGATGTTGAGTACAGGGAAGAGGAGCAGAAGCAGTGTGCACCCTATAGGCCTTCCTTAGAGGAGCCTACTGCATCCAATGCCTATGTCCCTCCTACAATCAAGCGTCCTGAAACATGTAGTGTCAAGCTCTCTAACCTTCCTTTGGATATGACAAGAGACAGGCTGTACTCGATTATCAAAGAGCACACAAATGTCTTTTTTATGAGTCCAAACCTTGTCATGAACAGGGAAACAGGCTTGTTCAGAGGCTTTGCGTTTGTGACCCTGGAGTCAAAGGACGACGCCATGAAGTTCATCAAAGACCTCCGAGGGATTGCAATTGATAGTTTAGGGCTCTCTGTGGAAATAGCTAGATAATGAACCTCATCTGCTTGGTCATTTGGAAAGTGTTGGAAAAGGATCTACCCGGCTGAGTACTACCACCTTCCGACCAATCGATATGTACCCTCTTAGTCTTCCAAAGCCAATCACACTGCTCAGGAGGCAGATGATCTCTTTAAAGTCTATCTCCGGTAATTCCTCGATAATTCTCTGGATGTCGAGTCTGCTGTCGTGTCCGTACCGCTGGTAAATCTTGTCTACCAGGTTGTTAAAGCACACGAGCGGGCAATGGGCTGAGATTATTCGATCGAGATTATAGTCTTTAATCTCCTTGAGTGTTTCTCTGGCTGCATCGTCCACATCCATGTACATCCCTTCTCTAATTACAAAGGCCAGCTTGGATAGATAACTGCATTCAAACTTCTCCAGATATATACTCTTGGGAGACTTGTTGACAAGTAAAGATGAAGTGAAATAAATAGGCGCCATTATCTTTCTCCACCTTCCGTATTTAAATGCCTTTTCCAGCGACAGATAGGACTCTTTAAAATCCTCTTGGTGCATTTTAATGATTCCTCGATAGTAATGGAACACATAGTGGCCCTTGGATCTGGCCGGGGGTTCCCTTGCTGCAATTAGTAGATCTTCCGCAGCCCGGAACTTCCCCATTTCAAGGTACATCTGGAACAGGGCATTTCCAACATAGGCAAATGATGGGTTTTCCTGCTCCAGCAGTTTTCTATACATGTCCAACAAGAGCCTGCTCATCCTTCCAGAATTTCTTTGGTTTCGAAGCTCAAGAAGCCCGTGTGCAATTCTTTTGATGATAGGTCCTGTCCACTTTTCTCTCCCAATGGTTTCCACTGCATTTCTTATTAGCTGTTCGGACGAGCCGTAACTTTTCTCTGCCAAAAATTCTGCTTGGTATCCAAGAAGAGTGCTGAACGGACTTGCAACCTTGTAAAGGTCCATGCTCCTCAGTCTCTCATCTATATCTGTACTTGTGCCAAATAGCTGCGAAACATACTCTCCATCCTCAGCTTCTATTTTCGAATTGACTGCTTCTACCCATTCCATTCAGGGATACTACTAGCAGTGCTAGTAAGCAAGTCTCTGTAATCCCGAGAAGTAGGGTTTATCCGAAAAGTTCATACCCTGCCATGAACTTGGAGATAAAGAAGCACATGAAAAGCCTATGCGGGGAGTCCAGCCTTGGAGTCCAAGCTTTTATGGTGGACGAAAGATATCTTTGCCTCCTCTTTAATAGAGAGGTGCTTCTGGCAGGTGTGTCGCTGCAAAAGATTGGAGATCGTGTTTACATAAAGAACATCGACACAACCGGATATGAAAGAGGACATACTAAAAGGTTTATAATATCGGTTCTTAAGGCTCTCTCGCCCAAGATTTCTTGCTGCTTTAGTACTCCGAAAAGGGAGTATATATTTAATGGTAGCTCTTCAAACAAGGAAAAAAGGATTCTGAGCCCAGGAAATCTGTTGGAATACTGGGTGGGGATATTCGAAAATCTCTACAGTAATGTGTATGTGTGGTCCAACCACTACGAGAACATTTCCTATCCATTTAAATCCATGGATGAAGTGGTGTGCTTTGAGGACGATCCCAAGGAGAAGTTGAAGAAGCACTTCAAAGGAGGTCTCAAGGAGATGTTTACAGCACTACTATGTAGGCCTGACTTCACCAACGGGTCATTGGTGTATGGACAGTCATGGAAGAATGGCAGGGCTGGAGAAGTAGAAGCTACAGTAGGAGATGTAGGCGAAATGGAAGCCATGCTAAGGTCATTGGACTTCTCCACCATCTCCAAAGCAAGGAAGTCTACAAAGGAGTTTATATGCAGATTTGGATTGTCGATAGAGTATTTCCAAGCCCAGAGAACTTTGGAACCCAAGAAGCACGAACATGCCTACACTGTCCTGAAACCAATAAAAAAAGTATAATTGGCATGGTTTTGAGTTGGATTTCCTGGAATGTCTCCTTGAGTAGGATGTATGGGGAAAAGGGAATCTGTCAAAATGTTTGATGTACGGAATTTGATTTGTTCAGAAAGCAGGAGGTTTGGTATATAATATCTTGGCATGGGCTTTCAGAAATGAAGATCATAGCTGCTGTGGATGAGCTTCCCATATGTGCGTCGAAGATGGAACCTGAGGAAACAATAAGAAGAAGAATCTCTTCTCTCCTGAAGAATATTTCTCATGTGGACAAAGCAAGCAAGATCCCAATTGAGTTCGGGGAGAAAGAAAGAGGAGATATACAGCTTTTTGCAAAGCCTCACTTCATGTCTCCCGACATGCTGGATGATAGCGAGATGTTTTTTGTGGGAATTCCTGGGTTCTACGATCCAGAAGCCTTCTCAAACGAAGAAGAAAGAAAGATTGAGGAGTCGATGAAATGCTATAGATGCTACCCGGTCTTTCAAAAGAAGGTGGAATACTCAAGAATGATTGAAAGGATTTTAAAGAAAAACACCTATGAGTTTGTACAAAAGAATCTCGACCATTCTCGTATGTTCGAGGAGTACAAAGAGTATAATACAAGGTATTACGAGAAGATAATGGAGGTTTATGAGGATGGAGATGTTGTGCTGGTGATGGACCATTCTTTACTTCTTCTTCCTGGGATGCTTGGGCTGGTTCCAACCGGAATGTCTTTCTGTATTCCGTTTTCGCCATTGGTCAAATGCATTCCATTCTGCGAGGAGATATTTCGGTCAATCTTCAGCTGCAAGTACATTGAGTTTGCCGATAGCTCGTCAAAAGATTCCTTTGATCTATTGGCCTCCCAAAAGATAGGATTTCCCATGGGAAATCCGGGATACGAGAATTCAAAAGCGCCTGAGACTTGTGTGGGAAAAAGAGGAATCGACAAGAATGCAATTCTTAAGGCGTCATTTGAAGTCCAGAAGCTCTCAGGGCTTGGGAATGGGGAAGTTATTCTCGTTCCATTTGACTCCTGTACACACCTTCTTGGTATTGAGGCATATCTGTCGAGATACGGCAAAGAGGTTACGATCTTGTTTCTGATAACAAAAGCTTTAGGAAAGAACTTTGATGAACAGACCGAGGTGATGAGGCTTCGGGAGTATCTTGAGATAAACTACAGGGTTCAGACCAAGATGCTTGTTCCGACAAATGATTCTGAATTTGTTTCTGCACTGAAGGCTTGTGATCTATGCCACTGCCCCGAAATGGAAGGATTCTGCTCTCTCCTTGGAATTCCTATAGTTTCAAGAAATCCATACGACTTCTTTGATGTGGCCGATGAAATCAATGAGAAGCTGTCTCGAAGAAGCGGAAGAGAGAATCCTGGACAAGTTATTGGAAAGATGGAATGGAAAAAACACTTTATGACAAACTTCCTAGATGCCTGCGGAATTGAGTATGAGGTTGATCTAGAGACTAGGGAGCCCAGCACAAGGTTTTCGCTGTCCATGGAGAAGAAAAAGTGTGAAAATGCAGATGTAAAAAGAACATTGGTCAAAAGAAGAAAGGAAGAGAAGAAGGAGACAGTCCAAATCAATCTGGATGACAAAGAAGATACAAATGTAGCAAGAATAGTAGATGATTTCAAGAAAAGCAAGACTAGAACGCTGATTATGGATTATGATGGAACATTGACAGATATTGTTGCACATCCTCCCATGGCAACACCAACACAGGAGATAAGAGACATGCTCATAAAGCTAAGCAAGATCTGTAGGGTCGTAATATCCACAGGAAGAAGTTTGGAGGACTCGGAGAAATTCTTCCCAAAGGAAATCGAAGTTTTTGCAGAGCATGGAGCGTGCCATAGAATTAACGGAGAGTGGAAAGAGGGCCCTTCATTTCCACAGAAAGACCTCACCTGGAAGATAGGGGAATTCTTCCATTTAAGGACGCCGGGATCGGAAATAGAAATGAAGAGGACAGGATATACCTTCCACTTCAGGAATGTGCCTTCTCTTGTGGGAGTGAAACAAGCCAAGGCTCTTTTCGAACTTCTTATGCGAATTTGTAAGGGAAATGTGACAGAAGGGAATTACTTGATTGAAGTCCGAAGCTGCAAAAAGTACGATGTCATAAAGAAGGTCGAAAAAGAGGCAGGGGATGGGTTTATTCTATGTGCCGGAGACGACATTGCCGATGAAGAAATGTTTGGGTTATGCAAGGGCTACACTGTTAAAATAGGCGATAAGAATACATCTGCAGCATACAGGATCAAGGATCCAAGAAGCTTCAGAGCGCTTCTCCAAAAGTTTCTGGAATAAACGATTCATTTTTTGTGTTCTCCTTTTCCCAACGGTCTCTATGCCAAGAAATCCCTGAGAATTTCTTGATGGCACTCGCTTGCCTTGAATGTCTTCCTGAATGTCCTCACCCTGCTGATCCATCCGGTCTTGGACACAAAGAGCCGCTTGCTTCCTTGGAACAGAGACGTGTATCCTCCAGATAAGTATATTACATCTCCTGGATTTAACGAACAGTTCCATATTCCAAACTCCATTGTCCCTGTCTCGTCTCCAACCAGCCACACGTCAATTTTGTCGTTGTCTTTGGTTTTGTTTGTCTCTAGATACTTGATCAGAATAAACTCCAACGAGATGTTCTTCTGGTAGTCGCTTATTTCGGCTATGCTATTCATTACCCGGGGTCCAGCCGTTCTCAAGTATACCGGTATCAACACCAATACATAAATCAAAGCTTAAATATCACTTCCTAATCTCTTTTAATTTCATGGATTTGGCCCATCTTCTTTAAACTTCATCACACTCACAAACTCATTTGCATCGTGTTCGTTCTTGAAAACAACACAATAAGGCTGCTCAGTGCACTTTCCTTCAGACATCTCTCTGACTCCAATACATACCCCCAACCTCTTCTTCGTAGGTCTGGTGTCATATGTCACAAGGAAGTCAAATGCACTCATCATCACCCCGTCTCGGATGAAAAAGCATCTCTTCTCCTTATTCTTCGTCACATATACAGACCCTGGCCCTATGTTCTCCCATTCCCCTGCAAACTTGTGTAGATTTGCCGTTGCCTTGAATACCACTCCAGGAATCTCACTCTTCATGGCTGATTGGGCCTTGGCCACAGGCTTCTTCAGAAATTCGGACTCTTTTGCCTGCTTTTTCTCTCCTCCAAGGTCTTCGAAGATGGTTCTGTTACTCTTGAGGCCTTCCAAGTTCACAGGCTTAAATATGCTGCTGGCTGCATCTTTGGCGTCACAACCATCAGAGGAGTAAACAGTTTCATGATTGCTATGGGTGCTTTCCCTGCTGTCGTCCCCAGCTCCCTTGAGGCTCATCTCTCTATGGGTCTGTCTGAAAATATTTTACAGGCTGTCTGATCGCCCGAGATAGAACATACCTGTGTCTTGCATATTTGTTTATTATTTTTACTCCTTTCCACTACTCATCATCTCTTCGATGATGTCTGGAGTGTTAATCAGCTTGACAAGAACAAGTCGAGATAGTTTGCTGTAAAACTCTAAGTCTTTTTTTGTTATGGTTGCAAATATACTAACAAAGAGATCTCCAACCAACCGGACAGGCTCCGACAATCCTTCTCTGCTTTTCTTTATTAGCTCTACGGTAACGTTGATTTCGTCGATATTGTCGGAAATGGTGTCGGTTGTTCTACATATCCATTCCAGGAACTCTTTGAGTTGATCATCACTAAAGTAATAGTTAATTAGTTTTGGTGATGGAGACACTTCGCAGATACTATTGAAAATCTCTTCCTTCTTGGACTTGCTAGTTGCTGCTATATTTAGCATCCAAATGGCAAAGACAAGCTTTGAAATCAATCCTACTCCAAGAGTTCGCATGATATCTCCTGCTCTTTTTGACAATTTAAGTGTTCTGGTGCATATTTGCCTTATAAGAAAAAGGAGCTCCCCAGGGTCCTGACCATTCTCTTTTCACTACGGCTCATAAGCGCCTCTTCTCTTCTCCAAACAAAACACAGTAAAATTGGTATACACTAAGGTCAAGAAAGCTTGTAAATTTATTTTCTAGGAAGGCGCTTGAGTATTATGTTAGCCACCGACCTGATAATCTTTAAGTCTTCAGACTCTTTCTGGGCTCCTGTCTCCAAAAACATCAACATCATCTTGATAAATTTCCTGGTCCTCTCGCTTAATTGGCTGTTGTTTTCGTACTCTTTCAGGAGCTGTAAAATATCCGAGTATGCTTCTCTTGCATTGTTAATATCCTCAAGAATTACATCGAACATTCTTTGTACATGTTTTGCATCCATGGAAAGAATACTCATTCTTCCTCCACTAGAGCTTGAGCTGTTTCCACCTCTTCTCATCGAAATCTTAAACATGCCTTCTGCCTTTGGCTCGCCAGCTCCAGGATCCTTTCTACCAAGGTATTTGTAGATGAATGTAAGTCCTGCTCCCATGATAAAAAAGAATATCACCACAATCATCCCCAGCTTCTTCAGCGACATGGAAGATCCGGATCTCCTATCAGATGACTCCATATTTCCGATCCATTTACAAGATTTTCTATACCATTCAATACCCCTATATCTCCCTTTAGACCCTTAAAGAGCTCCAATCAATAACTCCAGGCTCGGAGAGGAAGAAACGTTATTTAAACAAAAAGAAATAAATAGAGCGTTTATTAGGAAGAAACCCCCTTTAGTAAAGCAGCTTGAACAAACCCAGCTTCAGATGTCTGCTCGCAGTAGTCCTGGATTCCTGCAACACAACATCCTTTGGTCTTTACTTTTCCACTGGAGTTGGCATTCTCTACTCCAACAATCTTTCCAAGTTCAAGGCGGGTTTCAATCGAGATAATTGGAATCTCCTTTTTCTTTGCCAGAAGTGTAACAAGCTTTGCAATTCTTGGCTCGGCATCCTCTGCAAGCATCACAAAGTTCATTTTACCTGCAAGCATTTTCTTTGTTGTTTCCCGAGCCCCTCTGCTTAGCTTACAATATGTCCTAGACACCTTGCACACCTTCGAAAGTGCATCCTGGAGGGTCATCTCCGGCTCCATCATCGGTTCTTGCATTTCGCTCATTGGAGGGTAAATTTTTTCTTTCGTTAACATTCCTACAAACCAAAGATGCCGAGGCCATAGAAACACCATAGCACCCTGTTGTTGCGGGACTTTGCTCTAAAAGTCTTCATATTACTTTTCCAGAAAACATTCTGGAATGCATTTTATTGGTAAACAAAACAACCCCAAGATGCCAATTGTTGTACGCGACTGCAGTGGGATGAGCACCGGCGAGATTAGTGCAAAGGTAAGAGAGATAGGAAAGCCGGTTCTTCTGAAATTCTCTTCAGAGGGATGTGCTCCGTGCGAAGACCTAAAGGAGAAGCTTGGGCAGTACCAAACAGACCTGGAGGTCAATGTTTTGGAACTTCGAAGAACAAGAACATCCTCCTACGCGGATCTCTGGGACAAGTTTGACATCACAGCATTTCCAACAATTGTGCTTGTAGATAAAGATTTGGAGGAGATAAGGAGCACCGATGAAATAAACGGCAAAACTCTAAGCAGGATCATTGGCTCAAACATCAAGAAATTTGAAGAGCTCATCAATGGACACAGGAATTTGTTTAAGCAGGGCTGTTCTCAATAAACTTTTATAGTCCCTTCCATTCTGGTCTGCTGTGATATTTCCTGATGTTCTCTTTTACATTCTCTATATATCTTTGTGGGTCTTTTTTGAAACATGCACTAGCATCTGTGTTTGCAGGGCTGCGTGTGTTAGGACTTCCAAGCAGCTGCTGAATTCCGCACAAGACATTCATCACATTCAAACTGGGCTTCCATCTGTCTCCAATAATATCGAGGCATACCTGGTTTGTAGGATATACATTCGGATGGTACACAGGATGCTTGAACATAACCTGTGGAGGGCTGAATGGATAGTCATCTGGGAAGTCCACGTAAAGTGTGTAATAAGATCCTTCGTATACACTGTCTTGGGGCCCAGGAATTCCACATTCCCATCTTGTTATACCTCTTCTCGGCTTCTTAGGTACCGGAACTGCATAAAACTTGTACTTTCTGTTTTTAGTTAAGTTCTCCTGCTCTGCTAAAAGCCTTTCCAGATTTGCCATTAAAGGGATGTGCCAGAGGCCAAAAGAAACTACAGCCAAATGACCAGAAAAGGCCTCGTTTTGCAGCCCTAATGGAAAGAGAAGCGTTTACCGAGTCTGACGAGGAAAACATCCAAGTGATTCTAAACCCATATCCTTTGGCTACCGAAAACGCCCTAAACGGAATAGACGCATCCAGTGATCCAGAAGAAAGAAATAAGTTTGTCCAGGATCTCTCCATCATTCTGTCAAACTATGCTGCTGTTTTGAATCCAAAGGTCCAGGAAAAGTTCCCAGCACTCGTCCGCCTACTGAAGAGCAAGGACATATACAATTCCAGTGCCCTGATGCTGTCGGATGCATGTCGGCATATAGTCGGCATCCAAAATGCATTCAAAGCCCTTGGTGTCTTCGAGAATCTGGATTTCACCCCAGACCATTACAAGGCATCTGTATCTCTGGTATACTCCCTGTGCATGGAGAACAAGACCAATACAACGTACTTCATCGAAAAATACTATAATGAGGAGCGGGATAAAGACAATCCTCTTTTACAAAGCATCAGAAACCAGTCGTTTTGAGCCCATCTCTTAAACACCTACAATAAAAGCAAATTTCCTTTATTATTTCCAATTGATTTTGAACTCAAGGATACTTTCAAGCTCCTGTGCAATCTTTTCATTGTAGACCGCTTCACCTCTTTCCCAACTATCGATCACAGATACATTTTTTTTCATCTTTTGAGCCAGATCTTTTCTTGACATTCCCTTCCGAGTCCTTGCATTTGCTATGGAATCCCCAGCCTCCTTGCTCACCATCTTAAGTTCGGAGTCTTCTAAGGCCGCTGTCTTCGGCTTGTTTTGGTCTTCGGGCTTCTTCTTCGTTAGAATTATCGGCTTGTTGTTTCTCATAAGGGATATCTTTACACTTCTAAAATATTGCCGTTTAATGATATGAAAAACCTGCTCCTGGGAATCAGACCTCAATCCCAATTTCTTCATATACCTCGGACTTCTTCATATCCATCCCCTCGGAAAGCCTTTCAACAACTTCATTGAATATCCTTCTGATCTTCTTGAGCCCGGACTGTGCTTTTTCATAACTCTTTCGGGCGCTTTCCATATCTTTCTTGGATACCTTCCTCTCTCCGTTTCTGAAGTTCTCAAGTCTTTCAGAGTTGTCTCCAACTGCCCTATCCAGAAGCCCGATACTTTCCTCCAGCTGTTCAATGGACAGCATCTTATCAAGCATCCGGATCTCCATATTGATCGCATTGGTTTCGTCTTCAAGCAACTTTTTTTTCTCTTCATATTCTTGGAGCTCGGCACTTAATTTAACATCCTCTTCATTCTGAAATAGATCTTGGTTGACAAGATATATTTTTGACTTTCCATAAGTCTTTGTTACCAGTCTTCCCTCCTGCTCCAGATCGTCTAGGATTTCCTGTATTCCTGTTCCTCCTATCTCTCCCTTGAAGTATGCCACCACCTCAGACTTGGATGTGGGTCTGTTACACTTGTACATCATTTGAAATACTCTTTCCCCATCATCCTCATAATTTTCCTTCATTATAGGGTGATTTCAACCTATCAAATCTATTCTATGTTTGGAAATCTGTCAAGCATAAATCTCCAGGTTCCGAAAGCCCTAGAATGATCTGCAAAACTCAGAAGCTTAACAACGGAAACGAGATGCCCACTGTGGGTCTTGGAACATGGGGGCTGGAGGACGAGGAAGTTCTTGAATGCTCAATAAGAAACGCGCTCGATATGGGATATAGGCACATAGACACTGCATTTATATACGGTAATGAAAAGATTATAGGAAACATTCTAAGGAAACTGTTTAAAGAAGGTGTAGTGCAAAGAAAAGATCTGTTCATAACCTCGAAGCTTTGGAATACTTTCCACGGATGCCCTGAGGATGCGTTGAGAAATACATTGAATGACCTTCAGACAGACTACGTGGACTTGTATCTTATCCATTGGCCTGTAGCACTCGATCCGGCACCCGACGGTACTGTAGAGTCTTTCGGAAAAAAATACAGTGTTGGGAAGTTTAACCCGGTCTCTCTGTGGAAGAAGATGGAGAAACTTGTTGACCTTGGCCTAGCAAAGTCGATTGGGATATCGAATTTCGGCAAAGACAACACAGAGAAGATTCTCCAGGAATGCAGAATCCTCCCGGCAGTGGCTCAAATTGAACTACATCCATACTTGAACCAGAAGGAACTTGTGGAATTCATGAAGTCCAAGAATATCCAAGTTGTAAGCTATTCGTCCCTTGGATCGGCATCGGACTCACCCCTGAAGGTTCGAGATGACGAGACCATCAAGAGCATAGCCAGGAAATACGAATGCACTCCGTCCCAAGTAATACTCAGTTACATTACTTCCCAGGGGATTTGTGTGATTCCAAGGAGTAAGTCTAAGGAACATCTGAAAGAAAACATCGACCTGAAAGAGTTGTCGAAGGAAGATATCTCTGCCATTGATGCCCTCGACAGAGGACACAGGTATATCGATCCTACCAGATTTGGGCCTGACAGATTCCTATAAAGGATCTGATTTGATTTTCTTGATATTTTGCAATGAAGCCCAATGGACTGGGGGAATCTCAAGGACATGAAGAGAGAAACAATTTATCTAATAGTGGGAGATGACATTGCTTATCTCGACAAAGAGAGTGTACAAAAGAAAAGAGTCCATTCAGTCGACTACTTCACAGTAGGAGGAGCGTGTGTGATAAAGGGAAGAACTAAGTATTTATGCTCTTGTGGTTATGAGATATGCTGGCATTCCATAAGGGTTTCTACTTTCGTTGAGACAACGGCAGAGGAGTGGAGGGACAGATCTCCAGGCTAATGCTAAAGATGCTTAAGACTTATCAACTTCGGTGAGCTACCAGATATACAGATGCACAAGTATGACCCACTTGTAGAAAATAAAAGTTTGAAGACACTTCCGTCCACCTTGTATCTGTAAACTTCTCTGCATCTGGAATCACTAAGTATTACCTCTCCGTCCAAAGAGCCACTTGCAATCAGATATGAGGAGCAGTCAACTGCTAAAACTTTGTCTTTGTGTTCTAACCTGCAGACAGGTGTTGACTTCTCAATGTCCCACAACTTGACAAGCCTATCAGATCCACATGTCACAATCTTGTCATTTGTCCATTTATGGTCATTGACACCACCCTCGTGGGCATTTATCTTACTTCCCTCCATAGACCCGACATCCCACACCCCAAAGGTACCGTCATGGGATGATGTTGATAGCATCGACTCATTATACTCCATTCCACTGATTTGGCCTTTGTGGGTGCCAATTCGAGACACCTTCGACTCGCTAACATCCACAAAAGAAACAGAAAAGTCACTTAGGCTGCATCCAACTTCATTTTCCCCCATCCATACAACATCCTCTACCTCACATTCTGAGACATTCACCTCTGTAATTCCATTGTTCATCATAACAATGCGTCCATCTCTTCCAGAAGAAAGAATTCCTCTTCCTCGTTGCCTTACTCTTGTGACGCTCTTGCTATGGCACGCATAGCTTCTTGTCCTTCCGCTTGACACATTAACAGTTATTACTTCTCCACCTTCGTTCCCAACAACTAGCTCATCGTCGTTCCAGGATAGCGATGTCAGATTCTTCATCTCTCTTTTCCATCGAAGACCTTCACTCCCAATCCCAAGAACTTCCCCAGCTGCAGTGTAAATCCCCAGGGAGTCTCTATTCCAGCAGGAAAGGAGCCCAACCCCCATCCTGTCAAGACTTATTTCTTCGACATCAACCGACATGGTTCCCTTTTCTTCAGAGATATGATCTTCTCTGGAACTTGGAGGTTCTTTCTTCAGAAAGCCACATACATGCTCCTCCGATAGACAGAATCTGGTTTCACAGGCAACCACTGAATTTCCTTGAAGATGCTTAGTTCCATACAGATACTGCAGTCCTTTTCCAACAAGAGATATCAGACTATGGGGTAAAGGTTTGTCGCTGGGGGCTGCCTCGTTCTTAAATGTGAAAAGAGTGTATATGTATCCTTCATCCTCAAGATACTTGTAAACTAGCTGGTTTATCTCGTCCCTCGACATTTCGATCATTGTTCTTAAACTTCTATGGGCTGGCATCAAGTGTTATCATTTAAGCGTTGTAATGGACTCAAATGGTTACCCCGGAGAATGCTGATAGGCAAGTTGGAGGAGTTTCCATCGCTCAAAAACCCTTCTGGACAGGAAGGAAATCCACTCAGACGCAAGAAGAGGAAGCTTATTCTGTATTCCCTGTACATCTTCTCTGTAATTGCAATGTGCCGTCTGACCAAGACATTCTATTGGCTTTACACTTTAGACCTTAGTAAGTTGCAACTCAACAAAGTGGTTTATGACACAAAGACATGGAAGAAAATAGAGGTGGGAATTTCGCTTGAGAACTCGGAGTCCCCGATTCATGTGAAGTTTACAGATGTATATGCCAATCTATTCAGTATATCACCAGATGGAAGCGAGAATCCTTTACTTTCACTGAGGATTCCAATGGCAAACATTGCAAAGCACAAGAATATCCTGTTTAATGGAGACATATACATAGAAAACTTCAATAGGAGGAATGTGATTGAATCAAGATTTTCGGTTCACTTTGGAATCAGAATGGATGCACGGATGTACCCCCGGTTGTGCTTTATAAGATTTCCTTTTCGTAACTCGCAATCCTTCTCCCTGGGGAGCTCTGTCTCAAGTCCTGGGAAAGAGGTTGTGCTTAAACAGGTGTATGCAGAATCGAGAGATGGAATGCTTCTGCTAGAGTGTGAGATAGACAACAAAAAATTCAATGTCCCGAAGTTTGTTGCGATCCGGAGCCGTGGGGTTGTGATTAACTTTGGAGGGAAGGGCAACCCAAGGATTGTAAACGTCGGACCTGTGGAGGTGGATGGATCCATATTCCTGACTCCCTTGATTATAAGGATCAGCATCACCCCTGAATGGGGAGAAGAGCTTAAGGAAAATCTCATCAAGGGACTTAATGGAGAAGAGGTAAGCATCAAGGTGAAGGGCTTCTACTTTAAGGGAGACGACGAAAACCCGTCGGAAAAATGGATTGGCCTCGGACTTAGTATTGGGTTCAATACCAGAAGCTTTCGAAGCCATGACATAGCGTTTAAGAACAGGAAGAAGAAATGCCCTATTCTTAAGAAGCCATTGGTAATTCTAAAGAACGGCATATTGGAAGACCTTCCAGGGTTCCGTGCATTTATTCGAAAGGAAATCTTTCCGTTCATCGAGAGCCACAGCATCCTAGTGATGCGCTCGAACATGTTCTTCGGGGACATCTATTTCAACAAATTCCTGATTGGAAGGATCAAAATCTTCATTGATAACGGAGACGAGTATTTTGTGGTGACATGCATGCTTTCTGAATTTGATTCTGAGGAGCTTCTGAAGGCCTTCAGATCGTCGAATGAAAAGGAAGTGAAGATTGTCTTTGGTTCTTCCAACGGCCTGATGGTTCTTGTAAATGACATTGAGCTTGTGTGGAATCTATCTAAAGGACTGTTGTATCTTTTTTACAAGAACCACGAGTACAACATTTTGTCCTCCCAAAAGGATTTGAATGTAATTGATGTCTTACATACTGTTTCAAGTGGTTTATCATCCCTCCGGATCGATACCCTGGCCAGGTTTTCTCCAGGGAGGAAGAGCTCCTTTACAACCTTCCAACTGAAGCTTGTTGGATTCGACTTTTCCTTTTCCAATGCGGGAATAAATGCGAAATTCTCTGTGGAGGACACCAACATAATATACCAGAACAGTGAAGAGCCGTTGAACAGAAGGATCTTTGGGGAGTTTTTGATGCATACAAACATCAGCGACTCACTGAAAAGCATACTTGAGAAGTTAGAACACAACGGAGACTCTTCGGAGAAGGAAGAGAAGGAGGATGGCAGAAGACTCCTCCTCAAATACAACAAGGACAAGCCTTGCAAAATAAGAAAGCATTTTTTCTCTGTGCATCTCCTGGAGGATGAAACACCCCAGTACTCTGGAGTAGTCATACGAAATGTTATTAGAATACCATGCGACACAAGGTTCAATCTGACAGCCTACACAAAGAACCTAAACCTGAAGAGGGCCAAGCCAGTTGTTGTAAACTTTGGGTATACCAAGATCTGCTATTTGTTGATGAAAGGTGGATCACGGATAGAGCTTGGGAATGGGATAGACTTTTCGGTGTCTTTTTCGAACCTACATGACCTCGTAGCGTTAGGAGCGAATAATGTAGCTGTTGTTTGTGATGAGGGGGATTATGTAGCAAGAGCAATCAAGGACATACTTGCTTGGATCACAAGAAGAGACGATGAGGATGGTGTTAAAAAGCAGATATGTCCTAAAGACATGGTGTTTAAGTCTAAGTTAAAGAGGTTGAAGGACTGGGCTCTGAGCACCGGGCGTGTATATGAAGGAATCACAGAGATATCCATTCCCATTGAGATGTTCAATTCTACAAACATTGAATTCGATATTCCAAACGTTGGATTTATGGTCTTGGAAGAGGAGAACAAGAGCACACCCTATAGGGGGTTTGGGTCCATAGAAATCTTGCCCAGCATCCAATACATGTTTGAGGGCCATATATACAAATCTTTTGGAGTGCTATACAGATTTTCCGAGATTTCCTCAAACAATACTTTGTTAAACATGCATCTTATTGTCGAGGATAAGATATACGAATCGGAGATAATAAATTACGACTCATACAGAAGAGTGATGGGGGATGTAAGGGATGAGATGTTCAAAAAGGATGACAAGAAGGAAAAGAAGGGAATGTCTGTTGAGATCTCCAGCTCAACCAACTTTAGGATACAGAGGATTGGGAAGACTATCTCTTCCGAGGGAGACACCTGGTTTGTGAAGATTGTTAACAATAATCTGAGAGACTTCTTGTTTTTGGGGATTCCTAATCTTCTTTTGAAGTCTTTCTATGGGGTTATACCGTCAGGAATAAGGTTTGAGATTGACATGGACAAAAATGCCATGGGGCTTTACATAGGGTCACGAGAAACAAATCCTTGGGAAATCCAAGGAGAGAGGAAGGAAGACGGATTCTATGACATTCTCGACGTTAGACTCTCCAGAATCTTGTTCTCCGACATGATCAAATACAATTTCGAGGTCGTGGAGAAGTATTCTAATGGGAAGAAAATCACAATAGTGAAAAGTCCATACCACAACTCTTTCGAAGATACATCAGAGTATAAGGATTGGAACCTCAGCAGCAAGTTTGAATTAGAAGGAACTATCCCAAACCAGGGGGGCGTATGGATTACCAAGTTAAAGTTCAGTATACCAATTGCATTTGCTTTTGCAAGTCTCTTCCCCGGAAATGGTCCCTATTCTCCCAAGATGAATGCCTTAGGAATGTACCTGGAGTTTTTCCTTCCGTTTGACCTCTTTATTAAATCTTCGGAGCTCCCGGCCGAGATTGTGCTTGTTTCAAAATCCAATGACAGGGAGCTCTGTAGACTTGGGTTTGGGATGGCAGCAAAGAGGCCAAACGTGTTTTTTATGAGTATCTCTGTCCCGCCAAAGTCGTACATACTAAGTCTTAAAAATGTTTTAGAGCGCTATAGAATTAGGAGGAAGTATAAGAATGACATCAACCTTCCTAAGATCCAGCAGGATGTATCGATATCAGTCTCTGTTAATGGAGTTGAGGTCTTCAAGGTCCTCAATAGAATATTAATAGATGCTTATGAATTTAGCGGTTTCATACACACATTGGCTTTCCTCGAAAAACGCCTGGTAAAGCTCACAGGCTTCATGGCAAAGAGGATTCAAGTAGGGCTTCAAGAAAAGAAAAAGAAACAACCTCCAGCATTGGAGGGCCATTAGTAAATATATATCTTAAATGGACGTGCTTCTTCTGCATAGGCTTTTCCGAGAAACCTCAAAACAAAATCCCTGCCCATCGATACCAAATGAAATCAAATGTGATTTTCAATGTTCCAAACTCTGTTGGATATCTCAGAATTATTCTCCTAGTCCTGTCTGTCTTTGCACCTGGCAGAGGATTTGTTGTCTTGTATAGTCTTTCGTCCCTCCTTGACATCTTTGATGGGCACCTTGCAAGAATGTTTGGCCAATGCACATTGCTAGGATCATGCCTAGACATGATAACCGATCGGACCTCTACCGTCGTGATCTCCCTTCACATAATCCACAAGAGGCCTGAATTCCTCCAGCTCCTAGTTTTGTACATAGTACTCGATCTTGTTTCTCATTTCATATACTTCCACATGTCGGCGCTGTCTGGGAAACACCACAAAGGAACAGACAATAAAATCCTGAGGACCTACTACGACAGGCGGGTCCTGGGGCCTATATGTCTACTGAGCGAGGTGTTCTTTATGTATGTCTACTGCTTCTCCAACAGAGGAATCCTTTTCTATACTCTCGCAGGAATTGTTGCAACCAAAACAATATTCCATCTTGCCCAGCTTTTTGAAGCAATTTCAGCCATAAGCAACATTCATTCCAATGGGAAGTGATGCCAAAGAAATCGATTAAACTTCTCATCAACAAGACACTTGCAGAGATGAGAAAATATTTTATTGAAGCCTATAACTAGTCTTCGGACTCCATTTCCAATGCTATTTCCCTGGCCTGAGGGTCTGAGCTCCTGAGCTTCTCATCTTCTTCCCTAGCTATTTTAATAACCTCCTTGGAATATTCTTCAGGGTTGTCCCTGTGCATGACAGAAGCATCTACATTTGCTGGAGACGATGTGTTGGGGGCATTGAGGATCACAATCACAGAAAGAAGAATCGTTCTGATGTTTTGGACAGGTGCCCATTTGTCTTTCGAGTCTCCATACCCGGTTGGATCGAGAATGTCTTCTTCGAGAATTGATATGCACATTCTTCCATCCTCATAGATGTTTGGATGAAACATCTTCGAAACAAACTTAAGCGTTGGAGGCTGAAGGGGATAGCAGTCTGGAAATTCCATGACAGCCTTCAGTATCCTCCCTGCATATAAGGAATCTCCACCGAGGGTGAAGTAGATATCCCAAACCTTGTAGTTTCTGTTTTCCCTAGGCCCTCTAGGACATGCTCTGAAGAGCTTTCTTTCATCTCCTGTAGAGTCTTTTAGCATATCCTCTTCCTTCGATAGCCTTCTGCGGGCCCCAGATGACAACATTTGCAGGGGTTGTGTATTTATTTTTATATCCTCTAGCCTGGGCATACAGATTCCTTAAGACCTGTTATTATCTGCCACAAAATACAGGATCTGTGCACTGACTAGCTTGTAGAAGGGATGTCCAGGAGTAAAGTCACAGAAAAGCGAAATCCCTGAACAAATCCACTCTGTAGAGGAAAACGACAGTGAATATGCCACAAAGGATATCCAATACGATTTTTCGACGGGAACCAGCGGCGAGCAGCATATGAGGGCCTTTGTGAAGCACGGCAGCTTTCCCATAAGCAACGGCGTCCGGAAGTCGATTCGAAATTCTGGAAGCACCATCTTCCTGCATCTCACAATTGCCCTGTATTCGTTAGCCCTGTCTGTAAATGAGGCTTCTCTTAAGAGCCTTGCAACCTTCTTGTATGCTTGGCCGTAGTCTTCGCTTTCTATTGGAGGAGGAGACAGATGGTATATATTGAAAAAATGGAAGACTGCAAGGCACATGCTCACTGTGCGATTGTTTAGTGAGTACAGCGAAAGCAACATTCCCATGGATTCCATAATCCCAGCTATTTCTAGGTTTCCCCTGTGGAACTTGTCTATGCAAAGATTGCTTACAGAAACATATGTTGCAGCTACTGTAAATCCATAGCACAGGAAGTAGATGTTTGGAAACAGCAGAGAAAGAATAAACAAGGAGTTCGATATGTACATCTTTCTTTTTGTGCCTGGGACAAGAAGTGCAACAAGAGAGGAAGGAATGGACAAAGCAAATAGATATGGGCCTGGAAAATGGCTTGCTGCCAGAAAAAGAGGTATAGCATAAAGCACAGCCTGCCTTCTTAGACTTCCTGGATTTTCCATCGGATATTTGTTTATCTCACTAGCAGGGAAAACAAAAAGACTTCATTCTGGGGCTTTAATAGGTATATGTAGATGCGATACATCACTCGGCGTTTTCTTCATAAAGAATCCCAAGCACATCATTCTTAAGGTCTTCGTCGAGCCCTTTCCTCTCAAGAAAATATTTCTCGATGGTAAATAGCTTTTTAAAGTAGAAGTCTCTTTCCTTTTCAAAGGTCATCAGTAAGGACTTAACTTCATCGTCATCAAATCCTCTAGGTACAGATCGGGAGGCCAATGCTTGCTCCATCATATTTTGTTCATCTTCCATCTGCTTGACCTGATCCCTCATTTCTGCAATTGTGTCTTCGAGCTCTTTAATTCTATTCTCCTTCAGGGCCATAACCTCTGTAATGTTCCGGCATTTGGAACAGTGAACTGCAGTGGAGGGAAGGGGGGATGGAGCCTTTGAACTTCTACTGCTGATGCCTTCTCTGGGATGTCTCTCTCCCATATTCTTGAAGTAGTACTTTGCCAGCCATTGTGCAACCTCTAGGTTATCCTGCATTTTACATTTGACTAGTCTGTCAATAGGGAAATAGAGCTTAATGTTTCTTAATCCAAAAAATTCTTGGCATATCTTCATGTTTCTCAAGTAGTCGTGTTCTCCAATGGGATTTCTAACAAAATTCGATGGAAAGTCCTTGTGTATTATAGATAAAATCCTACAAATCACCACTCCTCTTCCAAGCTCCTCGATGGCGGAAATCTCGATGCCTAGAGACCTTATCCACTCAATCAGCTCTCTACGACTTTTCTGTGTCATGCCCGGAGGGCCCTCCCTTCACCTAATTGATATGTACTTTGAATCCCTAATCCAATGGTGAATATACAGAAGAAGCTCGAAAAGATTCAGCAGGAGCAGCCGACCATCCACGAGGTAAATAAGGACAGGCTGAGCGAAATACTATCTGTGGTTCAGGCAAAAAAGTACCAGGACCCCTCCACATACTATCCCCAGTCTCCTCTTTCGAGAATGCTTCCAAATTGCTATCCAAAAGCACCGAATGAGGGAATCTTCAAAGTTAATATAGAGGATATGAAAATGGACAACCTCCACGAAGAGACACTTTTCTATATTTTCTATACATTTCCGGGCGACAAGTTGCAGACCAAGGCATATGATAACATCCTCAAGAGAAAATACATCTTCTGCAGGATGTACAAATGTTTTGTTACATTCAACTCTCCAGCAATCGCCGACCATGTCAAGAGACTCATTGTGATGTTCGACCCGTTCAGCTGGTCGAAGGTGTCGATAGAAGTTGTTTTTGATGAAAAATTCATCAGGTCTCTTGAAAGATAAAATACATGATCCATACAAATAAACTTCCCCACTTCATTTATTTTATAACATTCACGACTTCCCACGCTCCACAGACGGCTCAAGTATACTTTGAAAAGATGGCTCGTTGTTTCGGAGATACCCGTAGAAGCTACAGAGATGCCCTTCAACAATCCTTCTCTTCTGTGAAGCTAAGCTCTTGTCCTTCATCGTGTCTGTAAATCTGTCCCTAATGTAGACCACCAGTGTTCTTTTTATTTCTGCATTTACATCTTCAGGAAATCGCAGCTCCCTGACTCTTGAAAACAACTTAAGGAGATCGACTCCGAAATCTCCACTCTTGGTAACTGTTCCAAAGAGCTTGTCGATCTCTTTTTCCCTCTGTTTTATCACTTCCTCCATAAATCTCTTGTTTCCCTTGTCTATCTCCGACATACAGTTGAACTCCACATTTCTATAGAAGTCGTTCTTTTCAATGGCATGTCTTAAAACATCTCTGGCAGCTGACTGTCCATCTAAAAATAGGTCCATGTTGTCCTTTCCTTCGTCGAGAAGTTTGCATAGATACTGGTCTATCTTCTTTGCGAGAAGCTCATCAAGTTCATTTGAAAACTGGAATATGTTAGACACAAAGTCATTACACTCGTCAATAAAGCCTGTCATCGAAAGCTTCAGTTGGTCCACCCCGTTGCTTTCAAGATCCACATCCTTAGGCCCTTGCGTTTCAAAGTAGCCAATCGCCACAGAGCTTATGATTCTATCTACATTCTCGTAGTCGATTCCAAGATGGACTGTAAGCTTTCGGAGAGTAATTAGCATTTTCCTTACTTGAGAAAAGTTTTGGCTTTCATGAAGCACTTTGCTTTTTGACAGAATCCCAATTACAAGCTGGTTGTGCATCTTAAAGTCTGAATCCAGAGCTGAAAGATAGTGGCTCCACAGAATAAACCCTGCTGCATCGGAAATCATCAGGGGACTGTTCACTTCTCCAATCCTCTCTCCAAACACTTTTCTCTTCTCATTGACTCTCTCTACCACCTTCGACCCAATTCCTAGCCTTTTCGACTCGTGAAGAATGCATAGAAAACTCTTGGATATAAACTGATGTCTTAAAGAGCCAAGAGGGTCAAATATGTAGGACTTTTCCTTATCCTTCCAGAACATTTCGTTTATTTCCATTCCCACCTGTCGGATATTGTTGGAAGCACTCTTCATCCATAGGTCAATGTCCTTTATCATCAAGTCTGCAAGTAACTTTCTCGACCTGATGCATATCTGGTTTACATTCACAAAGAACCTGTATTTCTCGAACATACATAGTTTCTTTTCCATTTCTAGCACGTTCTTTGCCATCTTGTAGTAGTATAGCGGATCCTCCCGGTCCTCCTTGTCTGTTTTCTCGTATTCAAATGCAATATTGATGAAGCCGAGAATCTCCTTCATCTCAGATACAACCAGGTTGAGACGGGACTCCACTATGGAGTTCTCCTCAATATCATGGAGAATATTTGCGTGCTGTATAACAGCATCAGAAACAGAGCAAAGCAGTTCATTATTTATGTTTACAATTTCTGGCAGCTTTTGCTTGACCTTCTCCAAGTCACTGCATTTGTTAATTATGTTCATGTAGTCCCGAGAAATGCTCTTCATCATCTCTTTTTCCTTTTTCTCAATCTCTTTGGAAAGCTCTACCAGTAACTCTTCTTTCTTGTCAGACTTTAGCATCTCTTTGAACCTCTCTTCTTCGTCGGGACTAAAGTTCATAAGGGATCGAAGATCAAGACCTAAGGCTTTGGATTCAATTTCCTATTCTTTTTGTTACCTTTGCCGGACGAATTGGATCTTAGTGTCTTTTTCTCGATATAGGCCATTTCATCTCCCCCACTAAAGCTCTTCAGTCTTGCTGTGCTATATATAGTCCCTTCCTCGTCTCCACTCTCCTCACTCTCCAATTCCTTTTCAGATGCGAGAAGCACTCCAGCCAGCAACTCCCTCTGCTGTCCTTTTGTTCTGTACACACAGTGTTCATTTTCGTGAGCTTCCGGTATGTCTGTAAGTATCGTAAACGTGTAGCCCTGGTCTATCAGAAACTGTTGTCTCTTGTTCGAATAGAACATCTCATCCGTGTCCTTACTCACCAAAGAGTAGAAATAGACCTTAAAGTCTGGGTCGTTTCTCCTCTTGGCCCGGAGGATTCTTCCAAGTCTTTGCGCTTCTTGCCTACGGCTTCCAAAATGGCTGCTTATTTGGATCAAACATGTAGCTTCTGGAAGATCGATAGATGTGTCTCCAACCTTGCTCAGAAATATCGTGTTGATAACCGGGTTTGTCTGAAATTGCTTGAGAATTCTCATCCTCTCTGTTTGCCCTGTAGGCCCATAAATAAACGGCTTCCCAAGCTTTAGGGCATACGCTTTCAGTGCATACACACTGTCTGAAAATACAATGATCTTGTCTCCTCTACTTTCGTGTTTGTTGATCAGATATTCACACATTTGAAACTTCGTCGGGTTCATTATCGAAAGAAGCCTTCTTCTCCGCGTCGGCTGCGAAAGATATTCTCTATAGAAATCTCCAGTCATTCTGCACCATACCTCCACACACGACACCCTGGCTATATGCCCTTTGGCACTAAGGTCTTGCCAGTCTGCCTCATAAAGCTTAGGTCCAATCAAGAAGTTAAGATCTTCAATCTTGTCGTCTTCCCGGACAAGGGTTGCAGTAAGCCCAAGCTTGCAGTGATGCCCCACCAGTGACAATACTCTTCTGAACATCATTGCAGGAACAACATGAACCTCATCCAGCACAAGCAATCCCCATTCCGTCTTCCGTATAAGGTCCATGATCTTCTGGGCTTCATACGATCGCTTTCCCGTGTATGCAAGCATCGTGTATGTTGTAACAACTATTCCACAATCGTCCTTCGGCCACTCCTTGTGATCGGAAGTAAACCTGCCCACATTCTCGGGGGATATGTTGGTGAATTGCAATGTCTGCTGCTTCCACTGCTCAACAGACACAGCAGATGTACACAGCACAAGACAGCTCTTCTTGATAGTGCTTATTGCCGTAATTCCCACAATTGTCTTTCCCGACCCACAAGGAAGTACAATTATTCCCGACCTTGCCCGTCCATTCCCAAACATCTTGTTGAGACATATTTCTTGATAGGATCTAATAATCGTCGTGGGCTTGAGATCTATCTGAAGGCTTCGAAGTGTCTTGTCGTTTCGGAAATCGTACTCTTCAATTAGTGGATAGTCAACTTCAATGCACCTTTTCTTAACCAGCTCAACATCTTCTACTTCAATCGATAGTCCGCTTCCCTCTTTGGGCTTACAAACCGTGTGCGATCGTATCACAGTGTCTTCAGACAGCATTTTGTACACAGACTCATTAGCCGCCTCCAGGAAAAAGCTGTTTTCCTTCAGAATAAGCTTTACTTTCCCATAGCTTAGTGTGCATTCCGTGATAAACACCTTAACAGATCTCGGAAGATAGTTCTTTGAAAACCGGTCCAATGTCTTGATGATGTCGTCTGTCGTCAGTCCAACACTTACTGCAGCATATAACGAATACGCCGTAATCTGAAATTCATGTATCTTCAGTGGCCTGCTCACGGGCTCTGCAATGGCTATTAGGAAGTCACAGGCTTGCCGGGAAGACTCTCTGAACATCTCCAGTATGATTAGTCCATCGTAATTCACCCACATCGGAAAGCCGTCGTTGTCCTCCTTGAGAACAAGCTCTTCATATGGGAACTGATGCTTTGTTGCTTTCTTGGGAATCACAAGCTCATTCATGTTTGGGATGCTATTCCCACAGATTTATCTAATCCACTTACATCGAAACAGTCCCCACCCCATGTTCGTCCAAGACCATACATACTACACAGATGCATTTCTGGACGCATGTCTTCTGAACTTCGAAAGAATCGAGCTGACCGCCAAGCCGTTCACAAACATAAAGGACGAGGACTTGGAGGAATCCCCAGTTCCTCTCAACAAAGATCATCCCTTCCCAATAGACTTCGAGCTTACCCCGCGGAATGCCTAACTAGAAGAAAACAAATAATTAAATGAATGTTTATTCTGATTGAAGGAGGGAATGGTATTCTTACAATCTGTACGGATGCTTATACATGGTAACGCCATAACCAAACCTCAATGCATCGCCCTTTACCCCATTATCTATGGTCCATTGAATTCTGGATATAGGCGTTATTACTTTTTTTCATCGTAACATGAATCGCTTGTCAATTCGCTGGTCTCTTCCTTTTCATCGTCGTCGGCTTTCATGCCTTTTTTCCTTCTGTAGTCCTTGCAGTAATTGATGCATTCTTCCTTCATGCTTGGAGAATCATATCTATCCATGTCTGCACACATCTCCTTTGTGCACGACATCTCTGCCATTTCCGACGAATGAGGCCCAGAACCTTGGTTGTCTTCCCCTCCCTTCCATTCACTTGAGGCATCCTCCTTGTATCTTCTGGATCTTCCTCTCCTTCTTCCTCGCCTTGGCCGGCGCTGCTTGTCCCAGCTCTCTGAAGGACCTTTATTATAAGGTCCACTGGGATTTCCTTGCATCTCCTCAGACTCTTCGCCTCCCTGGCGAGAAGACTTCTCCTGCCGGTCTAGGATGTTGGTTATGGCTTCGTATTTGCTCTGTTCTATGGGATATATTAGCACCCCAGGCGGAATTCCCTTTCCGGCTCCAAGAGAAGATATACCATTCTCTTCATTACAACCTTCTTCCCCCCTAGCACATGAGGTCAGGCTTCCAAGCTTGTTTCCTATCTTCTTCAAGCTTCCCTTAAGAGAGTTTAGCAAGGAATCCTTCAATTGGTCCATATTGAGGTTCTTCAAGATCTCATTTGCAATCTTGTCCTGGCATTTTTTGTCTTTACAACTCTTTTCACCATCTTCTTCGTTACAGGAGGCGTTCCCTCCGTTGAGCACATCAAGACATTTCTGATCAATACAGCATTCCTTGGCATTTTCCCCAAGTGTTTTCCTGCAATTCTCTAATATGTTCTTGAACTTCTCGAGCTGTTCAGACAAACACTTCTTAAGCTGTTCTTTTTTCTCAGACATATCACAGACATTTGCGTACTGAATGTTTCCCGGAGGCTGAAGAGCTAAGGGAGATATCCCCATCTGCTGCCCAACCCCTCCATCAGGCGCAAACGATAGCAGTTGCCCTGGCTTACTTGAAGGAGCACTGATCGTCTGAACCTGAGGCATGGGGCCTACAAATCCCTGATCAAAAAGAGGTGAGTTCGATGGAAGAATCGAATATAACGGGCTTCCTGCATCTGCCGTCTCCACATATTTCCAAAGCGTTACCACCAAACTCAATTGCCCTATCATCTGGTGTTTTGTTTATCAGAACTTGATTTGCCCATAGATATCAGCCATTTCTGTAACAGTTTCATTCAAACAATAAAGTGTTTCAAGGGCTTACCATGGTGCATGTAAATAGATATAAGAACTTTAATACTTCTTCTGAATCTTTGCATAAAAGAACCCGTCCATGTTGTGCACATGTGGATAGATCCTTCTAGCCATCTTGAGAGACCCGTTGTAGTTTCTTCCCTTGAAACTCATGAATCCATCCTTTCCAATGTCTATCTCGCATTGGGCCATTCGGGCGGAAGGACATTTGTTGAGAAGATAATTAACAACCTCCTCGTTTTCCTTGACAAGCACAGAACATGTCGAGTACATCAGTATCCCTCCAGGCCTCAGCATCTCAAATCCATGAAGTATCAGTTCTTTCTGAAGCGTAACCATTCTATCTATCTCACTTCTTGTTCTGTTGGTCTTCACTGACGGATCCTTCGATATCACTCCGGTCCCAGAACACGGTGCATCCACCAGAACCCTATCTACCTTTCCAACATTCACCTTCCTTCCGTCCATGTTCATTATTATGCAGTTCTTCACCCCCATTCTCTGTACGTTGCTCTTTAATCCTGCTATTCTCTCCTCGTTCATATCGTTTGCATAGATCGTCCCTGTGTTTTCCATAAGTGCAGCAATGTGTGTTGTCTTCCCCCCAGGTGCTGCGCACAAATCAACAACAGTCAGACCCTCTTTGAGCTCCATGTTAAGGACCGGGAGCATCGATGCAGCTCCTTGAAGACAATAGTATCCGGCAAGATACTCGGGCGTGGCCCCAATAGGAACAGAGGACTTGAAGATAACACATCCGCTGTCTGTCCAGCTGAGATCGTCAATATCCACACCCCTTCCACGTAAGAGCTTCGACACGTCTTTTCTACGCTTCAAAAGCGTATTGATTCGTATCGTTGTAGGCCTTTGCTTTTCGCTCTCCTCAATAAAAACCTCTGCCTCTTTACGTGGAAACAACTCGCATATCTTCTCCAGAAGATACTCGTTGTACGTATCCATTAGAGGGCAATTTTTTCTTCAAAAAATCGTTCCTGTAGCTTGGCCAAATCCATAGAGTTTAATCATCCCATCCAGCCCATTCACCTCTTGAAAAGAACCCCTGCCGTTGTACAAAATATAATCTCCTCCTTGGAATTACCGATATACTTCGCTGGAGGTGTTGTGAGTTTTCGGCCGAAGTTATACAGGCTGGCCTCAAGCCTTTGCTCGTTGTAGCTGAGACCCTTGAAATACCTATTATAATACTGCCGAAGATCCCCTGAAGTCTTTGCAGGAAAGTATGCTGCCATAGACACCCAGTTCTTGTTGTAGTATGGAAAATATATTGCAAACACCTGCCTTTCGTCTATAGTCCACTTCTTCAGCACATCTTCCTTGCTTATAGAAGCTCTTTTTACGGGCTCGCCCGTTTTTTCTAAGCTTTCATTCTGAGGCAGGACAAACTTTGTGTAGTATCTAAAAAACATCTTGAGATCTCTTTCCGGCCTATTTATCAATGGACGGTATTTTCCCCATGACTTTCCAAACACCCTGAAATGCTGAATAAATATATTTCTTTCATACTCCGACCATCCTCTTTCGATTATGAGCTTGACCTCCAAATCCGAGATCCTTCCAGACTTGTGTTTCATGTATGAGTATGTCTTGTCTTTTGCCAAATAGTACTTTAGAATACACTTTTTAGTCTCTAGGTGTGATGCTGTCTCCTCAATCTTCCTGAAGTTGTTTCTGTACTTCTGTATAAGTTCGGAGGCTATCTTGTCCTCTTCTTCAGAAAATCCAATCGGTGGAATCTCGGGAATACAAGAAATGATAGTCATTGGTGCTTTGGATGGCCCGCTTCCTACATCCGGAATCTCTGCCTTGTTGTTTTTAGCCCTCTTTAGAAGCATGGTCCTTTGATCTTCAATGTATTTTTGGATCTTCTCATCATCCCTCTGCATCGTTGGAAAAGCTCTTTTCAGGAAATATTTGTATCTACAGTCATTCATATCCAAGGGAACCATCTCCTTGTCCCTGCCACGTGCTTTTCCGTCTTCCAAATTCGTCTCTGTCTTTCTCTTTTTTCCAGAGCTGGACTTCATCTTGCCTTTTTCCGAAGAAACCAATAATTTCCTTGGGTCCTCTTCCAGAGACATCGGGAAAGATGCTACCGACCTAAATCCACTTGCCTTGAGTTCTCTACTATTTTCAAAGAAACAGAGTATAGGGACTATCTCATGCCCGGGAATGTCGATGGAAACATCGTTCATCACATCCCTGTATAGCATGTTCTCTATCTCCTCGATGTTGATATTGTTCGCCGAAGTATGCAAACCACACAATGGTCCATTAAGCAACTGATGGCTTCTGGAACTTTTGTTTAAGTAAGCCTCGCTTTCTGCTGACTTATTTTTTGGTATCCCTTTTTCTCCTCTTCTCTTTCCCTTCATCCCCTCCTGGCAGAATTTTCCTTCCTTTCTTCTGTTTTCTTCGTCTTCTTTATAGTTCTCATCCTGCTTCCTAGCTCTTTCCTTACCTCCCTTTCTCTCCCCCAGGCCCCGAACATTCCAGTCTACCTCCTCTCCTCGAACAACTCTCCCATCTTCCCCCAATTCTCGAACTCCATGCTCTTCTGTTCTCCTCCCTTTCCCCCGAGAAAACCCTTCTCTTTTGCCTCGAGTCCAGCCCTTCTGTCTTCCCTCGCTTCTCTCCAAATAGCCAGTAGAACTTGTCCTTTCGTCATATCCCTCAATTCTTCGTCCCCTCTCTTCGGAACCCTTATGGTCTCCAAAGAGCTCCGTCCCTTGCCCACCTAAATCTCCCTCCCCCATCTCCTTGCTCTTGTCATGGTCTTCTAAATTCCCTCTTACCTCGTTACTCTTCATCGAATCCCAGAATGGTGTCTAAGTGGGGCAAGAGAATCAACCCCTCAAATATACAAAGACATGGAGAACAAAGAAATAATAAAGCTGAAGAAATGGAATCTGGTTGCCCTTTGGTCTTTGGACATGAAGATTGAAACCTGTGCAATCTGCAGAAACCACATCATGGATACCTGTGTGGAGTGCCAGAACGGGCTTATAAACAATGACGAATGCAAGGTATCTTGGGGTGTCTGCAACCATGCATTCCATACCCATTGTATAACAAGGTGGTTGAGCTCGAAAAACGTCTGCCCCTTGGATACAAAGAAATGGGTTTACTATGACCCGGAGGAAAAGCAAGATGCAAAATAGAGTTTAATAAACATTTTGCCCACTCCAAGAGGATTTCTGCCTATCTTTTCTTGCGCGGGCTCCTTATTCTTTTCCGAGTTCCATATTTCTCTCTGAGTTCAGAAGCCTTTACTCTATAAGCTTCATCAAGCTTCTTTTTGTACTCAAGAATCTTTTCTTTAGCAACCTTCTTATATGCCTCTCGCATCTCTTCGAGCTTTCTACTATACTTATTCTCTAGACTCTCCATTTCCGCTTTCCTTTTGGATTCAATTCGACGCTTCAACTCTCCAACTTCTTTCTCCATTGCCCGTATTAGCTTTCTCCGATCTCTCAATACCTTTCTATGTATTTCCTTTAGTTCCTCAAATTCCTTTTGGATCTTCAAAAGCATGTTGGAATTCTTCTCTTCTCCACTTTCAACCTCCTTTCTTCCTTCTCCCAGGCCTTTTCTAGGCTCCTCAGTAAAGTCTCGAAAAATCACCTTACCTCGCACCTCATTTCCAAGACCTTTTAGGCTTTTGGACGTGTCTTGAGTCTCGGCCTTCTTTTCTCCACCCAGCTTCTCATCCTCAGGTCTGTTTGTAATGTTTGCAAAAGCACGTCTTTTACGGATCCTGACTCTCTCGTCAAACACCTCCCCAAAATCTCCATCTTCAGACAAAACATCCATTCCAAGGGCTTCTCTTTTGCTGCCTTAGGAAGGTAGAGTACAGGCCCCAACCACAAAGTCTACAAAAAAACTTAAACATTAAATATTACAAAAAAGCCTTCAGATTACGGAATATGCTCCTGCAGCAAGGGCAAACCTTTGACTCAGAGAGTGCAGTGCATCGGAAGATTCTCCATTCAAAGTACATCGAATAGGTGGAAAAATCAAGGTTAGACATCATTAGATGCTGGAATGGACCTCCTTTTATCTGTAATTATCATCACAAGACTTTAGGGGTAGCTTCTATTAAGTAGTTTAATACTAAGAACCTGAAAATTCCTTAAATTAAAAATATCAGCCAGGAAATTTATAGAGATATTCATATAAGCAGCACAAACCTCAGGAGAATGTAGAAGAAACATACCATGAAGAAAAATAACAGAATAAACGAAAGAAAAAACGCAACTCCTCCAATAATCGCATTGGCAAAAGAGCCCTTTAGATCTTCACTTCGGAATATCTTCTTTTGGAGCTCTCTGTTGCACACCAAATCAAGTTCGTTCCCTATAAACACTGCTTTCACCACAGAATCCCTTCCTGGGTGGTCTACCAAGTCTCCTTTGATCCCATTCATTTCCTCCTCTCTCCTCCGCAGGAAATTGCTTTTCTGGATATCTTTGAATATCCTAACGTACAAGGGGTTCTTGACAACCTCAAAGTACAAAATATCTTTGACCTCGTTTCTGGTCGAAGGGTCCTTCAGTTTGTATATCCGAACCGTCCCAGAAACTGCATATCTCATATTAATTATACTTCTTGCCAAATACACGTGCTTGGTACTCTCACAAACCAAAATACAAAAAACTGCAGATCCTGTGCTCGACAGAAGCTCCTCATAAGTCTCTAGGGTCAACGGATCTACACTCTGGAGATCCTCCGAATGTATCACCTCCCCGTCCTTCACAAACTCCAGCATCTCTATGGGTTTTAGTAATTGTTTGTGGGAAATTTAAATGTTTATATGCTCCACTTCCTCATCACTCAAATCATCTCGACATGTAATTCATCTTATGTTGATGGCACTTCCCCTTTGCTACTGCCTGCTAATGACTCCCACAATACTATTGAATAGCAGCTCCTCCTTGTTTACATAGGAATGGGCTTTGTTGAATGCATCGGTACAATCCTTCCCTGCATACTTCATTATGGTCTCTGCTCCTCCTGGATGCACTCGAAGGAAGTCGGTGACATCATACACCGTTCCATCCATTATGATCCAGCAATCTTCCAGCTTATTGTGCTTGGATACTTCTTCCACACTAAGTGCCCTGAAGGATGGGCTTGTGCGTCTTTCCCGAGACCATCTTATCAGATTCATTGGAAAACCCAGGGCTGAGAATGCTATTGATTAAGCAAATTTTGTCCCTCGATGAAAGGCATAGAGCAAAGCGATCTCTGTATCAAGATCGATCCATTGTTTAATGCATCCATGAAGACATCGGCAACTATATATGTTGATGAGGAGCTGAGGAAACCTTTGATTGAAGAGTTGGATGCTGGGGTGGCTCTGTCTTCTATTTCTCAGATATCTGATGTCTGCTCTCTACCAGGACTCATTGGAGATGTCATAGGATTGCCAGACATACACACTGGGTATGGATTTCCAATAGGATCTGTTGCTGCATTCGACATCAACAATCCCGAGTCGGTGGTAAGTCCTGGAGGGGTTGGATATGACATCAACTGTGGAGTTAGAGCATTGAGGGCCAACCTCGACATAGACCACTTTAGAGCTTGTGCGGAATCTCTTGCTGATGAACTCTTCAATATAATACCCACTGGAGTAGGAAATGATAAAGGATCAAGAATTGAAATGAGTACGTTGAATTCCATCCTGGATCTCGGGTTAAGTCATCTGCTGAAATCAAAGGAGATATGTGATGAGGATGTGGAATATTGCGAAAGCAGGGGATATATGGATGGAAACAGCCGTCTTATTGGACAGAAATCAAAGGGGAGGGGATTGAATCAACTTGGGACTCTTGGGTCTGGAAATCATTATCTAGAGGTTCAATATGTCGACGAGGTGTATGACACAGAGAAGGCAGAAATAATGGGCATAAGGAAAGGACAGATAATTGTGATGATCCACACAGGAAGCCGTGGTCTTGGACATGGAGTATGCCACAATTCTCTAATGAAGATGGCGGGAATGGCGCCTGACTATGGCCAGCTTGCATGTTCCCGTTTCAACTCGGAGGAATCCCAAGAGTATCTTCTTTCGATGGGATGTGCGGCAAACTTTGCCTTTGCTAACAGAGCGATGATAACCAAGAGTGCTAGGAAGGCGTTTGAAAAGGTGTTTCCAGGCTCGAGGCTTGAGCTGATTTATGATGTTTGCCACAATATTGCAAAGAAAGAGAAGCATAGAGTCCATGGGAAAGAATACGATGTTCTCGTGCACAGAAAAGGAGCTTCCAGGGCATTTCCTCCATTCCATGCAGACATTCCGTGGAAATACAAAGAAATAGGACAGCCAGTGATAGTAGGGGGATCGATGGGAACATACAGCTACATTCTGTGTGGATCGGAGAAGTCCATGGAGTTGAGTTTTGGATCAACATGCCATGGGGCAGGACGTGTCCTTTCTAGAAGCAGGTCAAAGGATTTATTTACTCAAGAGAGCGTGCGTGATCTTCTAAGGAGTCAAGACATAGTATTTAGGTGTGCAAGCAGCCCTGGAATGGTTGAAGAATCGCCTGGCTGCTACAAAGATGTCAATAGAGTTGTTAATCTAAGCGACGCAATCGGACTAACGAAGAAGGTTTGCCGTTTAAAGCCGTGCCTGGTCATTAAAGGCTAAACAATAGCTACTCCGTCTTGTTATTGATTCTTTTTAAGAGTTTCTCCATGGATAGCATCGGAAGCTTTTTTCTTTTACTGCTAAGAAGTGCTGGTAATGGCCATAGAATAGAATCCTCGTAGTTACTGGTGGCGCTGTCTTCTACAACACGAGCATCGCTTATTATGCGACTCTTCAACGTGTAAGGGTCGTAGTTGTAGTATGTAAGATATGCAGCCATGACTCCTGTGGTGTGTGGAGCAGCCATGGATGTCCCGGAAACAATCTTTTGGGTTCCCCCTGTCCAGGAGCTGAGTATGTCTACACCAGGAGCAAAGATGTTCACACACTCTCCAAAGTTGCTGAAGAACGCAATGGTATCTCTGTATGTCGACGCGCCTGTTGTTATGCTTGCCTTCGAAGATCCAGGTGAGAAGTCGCATGCATCCTCATGCTCGTTTCCTGCAGCAGTCGAAAAGTGGATTCCTAGCTTCGATGCATACTCAATTGCAAAGTTGAGTGCAGCGTTCCTGAATCCTCCAACACTGAGGTTAACAATTGTTTTTGGTTGCAAGGCCTTCTCTGAAACAATGTCTACCAGGTGCTGTATTGAAGGAGGTTCAGGGCGGATGAAGGAAAAGCTCTCGGAGCCATCTATCTCCACCTCAATATCAGAAGACCCGCTGGAATTGAGATACTTATCTGCTGCAGCTTCATAGAGTTTGTCTTTTTTCCTTTCATGCTCCTTAATGACAAAGTCCACTCCTTGCAGAAGCCTCGAAGTCATCCCAGATCCATACTTGTCAAGAACCTTGACGGCTATGATCTTTGACTCCTTGGATATTCCAAAGTTCTTCCCGCCAATCACTCCTGCGCAATGTGTTCCATGCCCATGGTCATCTCCATCCTGGCTTTCTGGGACAAAGTTGGCACCCCATCTGGCTCTTCCTTCAAATTCAGGATGATCGATCTCCACCCCCGTATCCAGAACATACACGTCAACACCCTCTCCAGAGTTGACAGGATAGCAATAGCTTCTCTGGACCAAAGACATACTTCCTGCTACCCTGGCAAGGCCCCACGGTGCATGTCTTTGCATTAGAATACTGCCTTTCTCGTTGTTATTAAGGTCTCCAAGCTTCAGCCTACTGATTCTTACAGAACTATCTTCTACAACCATTTTCACATTTGGGTGTTTCCTCATTCTTTCGGCTGGAGTATCGCTCATGCGAGCTACGAATCCATTGGTCATCTTTATTCCGATGGTTTCGTTGGGGCCAAGAATCCTTTGTGCCTCCAGGATGTTTATATTGTACAATGCATTCATGGATGCCCTGTCCATTCTTGGATCCTGATCAAACATTACAATATAATCCCTCGCTTCCTTGCACAATACTAAAGATAGAAGTGTAATTCCGAAGATCATTTTACTCTTTAATATTTATTTCGTCTCATATTTATTCCTTGCCTGAAACGTACGTTTGGTTAGTCACAGCAAGAGTCTACAGTTCTGCTTATGCCTCTGTCAATTACCAACTCCTTGGTGGACCTTCGTCTTGTCTTCTCTTGGCTTAAGATCTTCCTCACTTCGTCCCGGAGTTTGTCTTTTATTTTGTACAGGTAGCAATCAACAGCCAGGTTCTGAAACACCTCAATCAAATCTTTGAACGTTCTGATTCCATAAACCTTTGTAATTTGGATAAACCTCGACTTCAGTAATGTAGAAGAAAATCTCACATATAATTTTATGGTTCTCCAGAAAATATCCTCGACATCAATTGGAATGTCCAGTGTATAACTGTCCAGCCTTGGAATTAGCTTGGAGATTTCTTCTTTTATCCTTTCTCGCCCCACCGTCTCCTCCCCTTCAATGCCACTTTCATCTATAAGCTTAAGAATTTCGGAAATCTGTATCCCGATTGAGCAGAAGTGGTTGTGCAATATAACATAGCCCATAAGCGCCATGTTGTTGTATTCGTTCCAGAAGGGCACAACAAGTTTGCTTGATATGTATCCGTTTATCAAGTGCGACAGTCTTTTTCGGGTGGTCTTGAGCTTCTCACACATTCCATCCCACTCTTCATCCGTAGTTGGAATCCCCTCCTCAGGCATCTTGAAGCTTTTCCTATACAAGTAGCCAAATCCCATTATTCTATAGTACTTGGAAATGCACTTTCTAGAGGTCTTGTTCATTATCCCGCATATCTTCTTCCACTTGAATCCAAAGATTCTGACAAGATTCAGAAGCTGAATTTCGTTCTCGGGCTCCCATTTTGAATCAATGTATGGATGGTAGTGGTAGGAAACATAGACCCATAAGGAATTCATTGTTCTTTGCTTCAGTGCATTGCTCACTTCAATCAAGAGCTCTCGGATTGGGAACTCCGGCTCCTCCTCGAGAAAAAAACTATACAAGTTCTTCATCTCCATCTTGTTCTCCTTCAGAAACTTTTGTATGGCCGAGTCAACCACTTTGGCTTCATAAGAGTTGTAGCATCCCCTCTTCATAGATATGTTGTATTTCTTCATGATCTCCTTGACCTCATGCGCATCTGTGAACTTTGTCCGTAGATGGTTTTCGGCCTCTTCCTTAGTCCTAAAGATATGCATGGGTGCAGCACCATCATTTCTTTAATACGACCGACTTTATTTCCTCAACCAACGCCCTGTTCACCCTCACTCCAAAAAAGCATTCAAAGAGACTAAGTTCCTCATCGTCTAGAACACTCAATGCAACCATTTCCGGCTCATACACCCCATTGAAGTATTTGATGAGATTTACTCTTCCATCTCCATGCACCTCGTCCAAAACAACAAGCTTCTTTAAGACATCTACATTCAGTGTCTTCCCAATCCTCAAAAGGAAGAATTGAGCAGGCCTAATGTTGAACTGGAACTCGATAAGCTCGATCACCTTGCACTCAATGGCTATAAGACGCTCCCTGGGGGGAATTGTGCCCGCATGTGTGGCTCTGGGCATTGCCTCAAGAATGGCTTCCAGCTTTATTAACGTTTCGTTGATTTTGGATGCCAAGTAAACACAGACAAGAACAACTATGTTGTAGCTCTCCTTCCTGAAGAGCTTTGGATATGTCTGCTGGAATATTATCTGGGATATTATCTTGGATCTATATGGGATCGAGAGGAGCTTTGAAAGATTCAGGATTGTTTTGTTTCCTTCGGCAATATCGTTTTTGAGCATGGATTCCATGGCAGGGATTTGATGGATTTTTATCTATCCCTTGGATGTTCATCAAGGAGATAGTTCTCGATGGGTTTAAATGCTATGAGGAAAAAGTGGTGGTAGCCAATCTCGACAGATCGTTCAATGCAGTAACTGGGATGAATGGATCTGGGAAGTCCAATGTACTTGACGGGATCCTGTTTGCTCTTGGGCTTGAAGGTACAAAGGCGCTGCGTGCGAACAACATCAAGGAGCTTATCAATAGCAACAGAAAGGAATGTAAGGTAAGTGTTGTGATGTGTAACAAAGAAAAGGCGAGGAGTCCACCTGGGTACGAACATTATGATGAGATTTGTGTTTCCCGGGCGATTGATAGTGAGGGAAGAACAAAATGCTATATAAATAATCACCTTTGTACCTTTTCGACGCTGAGCAAGCTGTGCGGGTCGATGGGCCTCACGTCCCGGGGATCTTTTTCTTCTGTTGTGATGCAAGGGCACATAACAAAAGTTCTGAGTATGAAGAGCTCTGATCTCCGGGGGCTTATTGAAGAGACAGCAGGAACAAAGTCCTATGAGAAGGAGAAAGAGAAGGCAATGAGTATGATTGAGAAGAAAGAAGAGAAACTTAGAGAGGCCCAGGAGATGCTGAAGAGAAGGATATCGCCGTTTTACGACAAGCTTCGGGAGGAAAGAGCAAGGTTTCTGGAGACCCGAGACCTGAAGGAAAGGAAGAGGATTCTGTCGCAAAGGGAACAGGAAGTTAAAGAGATCCTGGTTGTGGATGAGGTTCGGGAAGAGATAGATGTTCTAGACAGGAGCTTAAGAAGTTATATTGAAGAGATGAAGAGCTTGGAACTGATTGAGAAAAGAATAGAGGAGATTTCGGGAGCAAAGGAGGAAGTGGATATTGTGTGGATTAAGGCATCTATTGATGGAGAAAAGTTGAAATTGGATGAGATGAAGGGCAAAGGATTGGAAGAAAGACTTTTAAAGAAGAAGGAAGAAGTAAGGATGATGGAAGGATTGAGGCCAGGCCTAGAGCTTGCTAGACTTGTTGAGAGGGAAAGATTGCTTGCGGAGAGCTTAAGAAGAATGGACACTGGGGAAAACGATGTCCTGAGAAAAGCTGAAGAACTTACATCTCTTAAATTACAGAGGTCCCGAATTGAATTTGAGTTTAACTCAATCTCAGAGGGAGTTTTCTCTCAGGAGAGATTAGACGAGATTGAGAGGATTAAAGTCTCTGAAGAGGAGATTGAGGAGCTTCGGAAGAAGGCACAAGTACTAAGGTCTAAAATCAACTATCCTCTTGTTGAAGGGGTTTTCGGGACTGTTGAGGAGAATGTTGAGGTATGTGATGAAAGATATCTTGAGGCGGTGTATACTGTAATGGGGGCCAGGGCCAAGTATGTTATAACATCGGACGAAAAAGTTGGGGGCCTTCTACTGAGCACTGCAGAGAGGAGTGTGAGCGTAATACCACTTTCGAAGATAAGGGTGTTTTGCCTCTCGGCAAGTGTTTTGAAAGAGATAGAATCGAGAGGAGGTGTGAGTATGGTCAACCTTTTGAGATTTGACAACAGTGTTCGAAAGGCCATTGAGTTTGTATTTGGTAACTTCTTTATGTTTGAAAGCAAGGAGATGGCTAGAAAAGTCTGTTTTGAGCAGAAGGTGATGTGTGTAACCATTGATGGAACTGTATATGATCCAAAAGGAACACTTAGTGGAGGAAAGACGAGCTTCAAGATTGGTACTGTACGAAGAAAGGATGTGGAGGAGATAGAAAGGCTTGTTGAGTCTCTGGAGTTGAATAGAAGGAAGTTTGAGGCACTGAAGGAGGAATATGCAAGGTTATTGAGGGGGAAGGTCTTGGATGAGAGAAGGTTAAAGCTTAAAAAGGAGATGGGGTCTCTGGATACACGGATCTCCGTTTTGTCTGATCTGTGCGAGGATGGAATGAACATCAGAGAGGAATTAAGGGTTGTACGAGAAAAGATAGTTGAAGGAATGAAGGAGAAGAGCAAAGCGGATATTATTGAAGAAAAGAAGAAGAAGTTAGAGTCCCAAATAAGAGAAATGGAGTTGGAGATCAAACAGAACCAAGAGGAGATGAGAAGGTGTGAAGAAAGGATCTTGTCCTACGAAAAGATGCTTGGGAAACATGATGTTGAGAATGACAACAGAAGGATGAGCGAACGAGAGATGGATGGGCTTGAGTCCAAGCAAAGACACTTGATTAGAAGTACTGGAAAGCTACAAAACAAGATTGCAAAGATTTATAATGATGTTGAGAGGAAGCTTAGACAAACTCTTAATGGTGAGGAGGAACACATATATGAAGACAGAGTACTTGATGAAGAGATCTATAAGACTGCCGAATCCATTGGAGTTAATCCTAGATATCTTTTAATCCGAAAGCAAAACATGGCAGAGAAAGAACGACTTGAATTGGTGGAGGAGCTGGAGATGATTAGAAGTGAAATGAAGAGGCTAAGCAGCATGAAGAAAAGTACGATGGACCCGGCGAACTTTGATCTTCTGGAGCGGAACGAACTGATGATCGAGGATCTAAAGGTGAAGATCGACAAGCTGGAAAAAGACAGGCTTGCGATTATACAAAGCATCTCAAGATTTGATGATCTAGGATATAAGGAGAATCTGAAAGCGTTCCACCACATCAATGGAAGATTGGGAAGGTTTCTTAGATACTTCATACCAGAGTCGGATGCAAGGATCGATGAAAACAATGGAGAGTATTCCTTAAGAGTCAAGATAGGAAACTGGAAGGAGTCTTTGGGAGAGCTTAGCGGGGGGCAGAGATCTCTTGTAGCTCTTTGTCTAATATTTTCCATGCTTACATACAGACCATCCTCATTTTATATTTTCGACGAGATTGATTCTGCATTGGACCTAAGCTATACACAAGGAATTGGAGAGATCATAAGGAACGAGTTTAGCAATGCCCAGTTCATAGTGGTATCCCTAAAGAATGGGATGTTTGACAATGCAAATAACATATTCAAGGTGTATCTACAGGATGGAAAGTCGAGGATATGTAGAATAAAGTGACGATTGCATGGAATTAAAATATTTTATAGTCTATGTTTGTGGATCGGAAACACCCTCAGGGAATGAATGAGACTATGAAAAGCGCAAAGTTTGATCTAGACACAGGAGACAGCGATAGCCATAACTACATCCACAACGAGTCGGAAAGCTACTCTGCCGAGGATGGAAAGTACGAGGTAGGAAAGGAGGAAAACAACGATCCATTTGAGAAGCTGAAGAGTAGTGCAGCAGACACTCTTCATCAGAGGACAGGATGGATTTTCCTGATAGGTGTTTTTCTATCCATACTTGCTGTGTGCTGCTGGAATTTTCACATGGATGTCAAAGATAGGAATGAAGCGACTTTCAGCGTCCGAGTGAGAGATGTTCTACTTGTATGTTCTGCAGGAGTGTTTTTCTTCATTGCCTTAAACTTCATTATCTTTAAGACGAGTTTTCTAGGAATGAAGAGGTCCAACAGCCTAAACACATTCTTCTACTACACCAACGAGCTCTCGGAACATATTTCTGTGGGAACCATCTTGATCTTTGGATTTTTCTTTGTGTTTCTGAAGGACTTGGACTGTTGTGTATATAACAAGCAAAGCCTTGATCTATTTCTCACTGATGTGTTTGGCAGTCTGTTGATAGCAATCTTTATGCTCGGGGTTGTAAGGGTATTCCATCGGGCCATATCGATGAATTTCAACTACTCTGTGTACATTAAGAGGATTAGAAGGGTGCTCCTGGAGGATGCATTTATCAACCTTCTTGGAGTCCTGGACACCAAGAGGAACAGGGGGATTGAGAGGTCCAGGCTGAACAAGTCCCAAGAGATTATGTACAGGAGCGATGCGATTTCGTCGATAAACGAATATATGGAGGACTTATATGGGTACAACGAGCCTACCAACGAGCTGGACCTTCCCAGAAAGAGAGTTCTTCTTAAGGAGTTTCAAAGACTCATGCGGCGTTCAAGCGGGATTCGTGGAGATGTCATGAAAATGTCCCAAAGACTCAAGAACAGGGCAGGGAGTAAGGCAAGCAAGATAGTTGGAAAGGATGGAAGTATTGGTCCTATGTCTGATCTGTCGCTATATTTCCACAACCCAGAGGTGTTCAAATTCCTGATGAAGGAAATCGGTGTTGAAGAAGGGTTTAAATTCAGCAAAAGCAGCCTGGCGGACTTTATTGAAAGAACATACCGGGAGAGACACTTCTTGAAAGAGAATCTCGAGCACATGAATTCAGCCATAGACAAGGTTGCATTTGGCCTCAAAATCATAATAGGAGGACTTATTATAGCAATGATGTACATCAGAGCAGGAGGAGAAGGAGTTACAACCATCGGAGTGATTTCTGCATTGTTTGGTACACAGTTTATATCCAACTCGTTTTCCGAGAGTGTGATTGGTAGCATAATCTTTCTATTTTTCATTCATCCGTATGACATTGGAGATCGGATCTTTGTGACTCTAGATGGAGAGGAAGAGAACTTGGTTGTATCGGAGCTGAATGTGTTTTCGACTGTATTCTACAGATGGGATGGGGTCTACATAACAATCCTCAATACAGTGTTGGCACAGAAAGCAATCAGAAATCTTCGAAGGAGTGGAATCATGGCCGAGTCCCATAAGATTCAAGTAAACAGCAGGACTAACCAGAAGAAGTTGATCCGTTTGAAGGAACTCATAGAGGACTTTGTCAAGAGCAACCCAGAAGACTATACAGAGTACATAATGCTAAATCATGAATTTATTTCGGATGCATCGAAGCTGCACATGAAAGTCTATATGCAGTATAAGAGCAGCTGGCAGAACTTCGAGTTATACCTCCGAAGAAAAACCAAGTTCCTGTCTTTTTTGAATAGAGCCCTCCAGGAGTTAGAGATAGAGTATATTCTGCCACCAATGCCGATTTCCTTAAGGAATGTCCAGAACTAGGTCGTTCTCCTCTCGAAAGGAATATGCCTTTTTGGTAAGGACCAAGAATTGAGAATAGCCCTGAGAAATGGGAAGCCAGCTTTGGGCTGAGAGGTATAGGCCTAGGAAATACACAGAGCTGGTGTTCAAAGGAGATGTCCATCACGATGCCCTAAAATGGCTAAAGGACTATCCAGAGCATGGAAAGATCCTCTTGCTGCGGGGACCCTCAGGGACTGGCAAGACTTCATTGGCATATGTTCTTTCATCTGCACTTGGATTCGATCTTGTTGAGTTCAATGCAGACAACGATCCTGACTGGATGGATAGGATGCTTAACAGCAACAGGATTATTAATGGAAGAAAAAATATAATTCTTGTCGATGAAATAGACGGGAACCCATTTCTAAATGTGGATAAGCTGATATCTTCTCCGAAGTTAGTTTGTCCTCTAGTGATGACGTCTAACGAAATGTGCCTGAAAGATGTTTACACTGTGGAGATTCAAAGACCAGGATTTGAAGAAGTCAGAAGAGGGATAGAAAAGATTTGTAAGGAACAAGGAATCAGTATTGAGAACTCCATTCTGTCGCAGATGGCCTCAGAATCGGGAGGAGATCTTAGAACAATAATAAATCATCTTCAAATACATGGGAAAAGGCTAAAAAGCTCAGGCTATCTAGGAATTCACAAAACAAATACAATAAGCCAACACAAAGCGGCAGAGCTTATTCTGTCAAGAAACATAGGATGGAAAGCGTATGAAGATATATATTCCAGTAGTGTCCTGTCTCTATGCCACAGTTCGTTCCCATACAATACAAATATGATGAAATGCATTGCAGATATAAGTGAGGCCACGTCAATTGCGGACCTCCTCCCTGAGGAATTCAAGTATATAGCCCTGTCGAAGTACGGCACCTGTAATAACAGAAAGCCCAACATACAGGGAATAGAGTATTATAATGAGCCTAGAAGCGATCTTCTAAAAGAGACGGTCCTTCCATTTTTCAAAAAATATGATCTGAATAGGTCGGACAGAAGAAGTCTAAACCATCTTAAGGAAATAGTGAAGACATATGGCATCAAAGATGTGAAGCTGAAGGAAGAGAACTTAACAGAAGTGGGTGGAAGTAAGGCTTCTAAGAAATTCAAATTTAAATACAAGTCCGGGTGTTCGGTGGCATTTCGAAGGGACGTAACAATGGACGATATCATGGATTGGTTTTTTAAGTCTTAGATTCGTCTAGGTCTTTTTCTAGCAAGGAATAAATGAGTTCTGTAAGTTCTTTTGGATTTATAACAGATTTATGGTACAAGACAAGAAGTAAGTCTACTACTGAGGGACTTTTCCTTTCTTGCCTAACAAACTTAGCTATATCATCCATGAATACGTTTCCATGTAGAGTAAGGGTGTTCCACTTTTTCATCAAAGCAAGGGAATTCTCTGGAAGTTCTGACTCTGATTCTATGTTTCTATTTATCAGGGTTGAAAGGGTATCTATCGACCAGACTCCGGCGGCAAAACTCTCAGATGTTTTCTGGTCCGTTGGATCTTTTCTTGATTCTAGTCCTTTTCTTCTATATCTTCTGGAAAGATAAGTCAAGGTTCTAGAGGCTTCCGGGGCTTCTGCCTCGGATTTCTTAAGGTAAAGAGACTTTTCTTTCTGTATGCATTCATATCCAGAGTGTATGCGGCTAATATGGAACACCAGAGAGTCAATAGATTCAAACTCCTTAATACAGAAAACACAACAAAAACCATACACACAATACTTTTCCCCTTCAATTTCAAAATTGAGAACATGTTTAGACCGTCTTCCTACATCGCTTGAGAAGCCCCAATAATAATGAAGAAGACCTTTGCTCTTACTTTTGATATTTATGGACTTGAGTACTAGATCGTGAGAAGGTTCCCTGTCCATTCTGTAGAATCCGTCCTCATGGAATAGCTCGATCCTATACAAAGGCACTTTGGAATCTCTAAGAGAATGGCATCCACTAAAATGAGCGTGATACACAGAAGCTTTTCCATCCATATCTACAATAAACATATAGAGAACAGTCTTATCATGGCACGAAAAGTTTGTCATTCTAGTTTTCTGTACTTCTCTAATAGAATAGCAATCGCCTGCTTCCAGGGCAGACGAAAAGTTTATTCCAGATCTAACTCCATCATTCCAATGGTATCCTCTCACTAGTAGGGTAGCAGGTTGTGGCTTCCCAACTCTGGGCACAATGGATACCATATAGGACACCGAACATTCCTTTGTATTGTTCAGGAAAACCTTCCTTTCCTTTTCCATTTTTCTTGGGTGCCTCAATAGAACAGGCGGAAACAAACCAAGACTATTCTCCACAAGCCAATTAATCATACTAATGGGTTGTTTGAGGTAGAAGAAACTTTATTAAATAGTCTTTACAGGGCTAAACTCAATCAATGTTGTCAATGGGGAGAAGATTCAGGAGCTATCGAGAAGATACTCTCGTTGTCGGAGTAATTTAACGATGTAGGATTTTCAATGTTTTTGTTGTAGAAGTGGCTGTAGACGCTCTGTGCATTCTCAAGTTTTTTTACAAGCCCTATGTTTTCAGTCTCAAGATCTTTCAATCTGGACTCTTTTGCTTTCAATTCCTCCTTCATCTTTTTCATTTTCTCTTCCATTCCCTTCATCTTCTTCTTGAGGTCCTCGATCTCAGCTTTGTACTTCTTGTTGTTCAACCGAAGATCCTTTGACGCTTCTTCATTTCCATTTATTGTGCTCTTCATCTGTGCCATATCATCGTTGTACTTTCTTATTATCCCATTTGCTGTGTTTAGTTCCTCTTTGAGAGTTTTGTTTTCGTCCTCTATCTCTTGGGCTCTTTCAACAAGCCCTGAGTTCTTCACATCCTGAAGTTTAAGCTTATCCAGATCATACTGTAGTCTCCCGTTTTCCTTTTCTAAATCATAAACTCTATTGCTCAATCGGTCAACCTCTTCCTTCCGGGAGTTGTTATTTTCGCTCAGCATCTCATTCTCCTTATATAGCTTATCTATTTTCTTTTGTGAAGCAGAAACTTCCTCTTCCAGGTATCTGATCCTGTCTCTTACCTCCTTCTCTCCATTCTTGCACTTGTCTCGAAGCATTCCATTCTCTTTAATAAGCCTCACGTTGTCAGATTCCATTCGGCCTATCATGTCTCCAAGATACATCTTGTAATGTGTTTCGTCGGGCTTTGAAAACTTCAATTCTAGCCTGATTATGTTCCTAAAATCATCCTTCTCAACAAACAGAAACTTGTTGGTTTCCTTCGAAAACAATCCCCTCAGCTTTCCACTGTGCAGGCTATGGAACATTTTCACCAAAATCGATACAAACCTTTCGTAGTCAACAATAATGTCTTGCTCTCTCTTCATTACATAGAAGTCTCCTGGAGATATTGTGCTGAAGTAGAATGTAAAGATATCTCTTGTATCTATGAGTCGGATCTCAATCTCATCGTCCGAGCGCACAATGTCACACTTCATCTGCCAAGGTATTTCTTCGTTTGGGCACGATATAGGAATCTTCCCAGTGAAAATCGACTCCCTCATTTCGGGGTTGGGTTTAGGTATTCAGTAATATAAGTCTGTTCATCCAAGAACATGTTCTCTACCCCATGGCAGACATCAAGAAGATACACAGACTGCAAGACATCAGCTCTGCTATGTCATGTCTTGGCATCGATATGCCACAGATAGTAGCAATAGGATCACAAAGCAGTGGAAAGAGTAGCGTGCTAGAGCAGATAATAAAAAGAGAGGTTCTTCCTCGAGGCACAAACCTAGTGACAAGATGTCCAATTGTCCTACATCTTAGAAGATGTGAAGATGGTGCAGAAGGCGTGGTATTTGATCATCTTGCAGGGTCTGTTGACTTTGGCACTGCAGGCTCTATAATTATAAAAAGAATGGAAGAAATATGCGGAATCAACAAAGGAATTAGCAGTAGACCAATAACTGCCTTTGTTAATCTAAAGGACACGCTTGAGATGACTGTGGTCGACCTTCCGGGCCTTATAAAGGTCCCTATTGGAGAGCAGCCCGAAGACATCGAGATACAGGTTGAGGACATGGTTCTTGGCTACGCAATGAAGGACTCGTCGATAATCCTAGCTCTTGTAAATGCCAATGCAGACATCGCAACAAATGAAGCACTTAAGATAGCTAAAAAGGCGGATCCTCAGTTGAAAAGGACTCTGGGTGTGGTTACAAAAATCGATCTAATGGATGCAGGAACAGATTGCATGAACATCCTTTCGAATAGGAATCCAAAACTGGCTCTTGGATATATTGGTGTGATAAATAGAGGGCAGCAGGATATTGCCAAGGGTGTATCTATAAACGAGGCTATTCATAAGGAGTCGAAGTACTTCAAGGAAAATCCCTTATATGGCAAAATATATCCCAATATAGGGTCGGAATACCTTATAAAGAGACTAAACGAAATATTCTACGAGAAGGCAATGGAATCAGTCCCGGGAATTAAGACAGCTGTGAAAAACCAGTTGAACGACAAGGCAAAAAGACTCCATGAAATAGAATCAGGGAATTCTGTGAAAAGGGAGCAGTCTCTTGTGCTAGATTACCACCAAGCCATTCTGGAAATATTCAGGCACGTTAGGCCGAATGTTGGAGTGTTTTCCAAGAGTTCCTCGGGCTTTTTGAATGAGCTCAAGAAGGCATTTGAAGAAGATGAGTTTCTTGCAATCTTCGAGGACCTACCCTCCAGGCTTAGCAGATCTTCATACATATTTATATCGGAGGCTGTTTTCTATGACGTGGTGAGAGAAAACATAAAGAAAATGGCTACAGAATATCTGGAGAAAGTCGATAATATTGTGAAGCTACTCATTAAAGAGATCTGGTCAATATCAAGTCCAAGCTTTGCAGTACTCTCCAAGAAACTTAATGGTGTGGTGAGTGAATGCATAGAAGAGCAAAGATGCAAACTAGCCGATAGCATACACTTATACTCGTCGATCCAGTCGTCGTACATCAATGTAAACCACCCAGACTTTGACAGGCCGAGAGCCCTGAGCCTGATTCTTCGAAAAATACCAAGAAGCGAATCCGGTCTTTTGGGGATGTTCAACTCCAAAGAAGTGTCTTTTGAAGACAAGGCCTTTGAAGTGAGACTTATAAAGGAGCTAGCCGGATCCTATCTTAGAATTGTAAACAAGGAAATGAGAAATTATGTCCTAAAAGCAATTCATTACTACTTATGTGAGTACATGGATTCTAGGCTTCCTAGCGTTCTTACAGAGCTGGAAATTGAGGAGACCGAGATGGCCGAGTGTCCTGAGATTGTTGGAGAAAGAAATAGCCTTGCTAAAGACATAGAGATATTGAAGAATGCACTTTCCAGCCTAAGCGGATTCTGATTTCCAAAATAAAAGCCCAATGGAATGATTTTTCCTTCTAGAACTTGAATTCCTTGGATATAATCTCTTCAATTTCCTTTTTGGACCTCTCAAGAGAATGAGTGTTGTCGATGACATAGTCGCAGTCTTTCTTGATAGAATCGAATTTTTCATATAACTTCATTCTCCCCTTCACTTCATCCTCCCTGTTTTTGTTTTCCATCCTCTTCTTTAACCTCTCATAGGCAACATCTTTATCACAATCAATATACACAACAACGAAGTTTGGGTAGTTCTTTCTACAATACATGACTCCATCATATTCCAAATCCATCAATATTGCCTTTTCAGAGACCTTCAGCTGGTCAGAACCTGTTCCATAGTAGTTTCCATTGTATTTGATATACTCCAAAAGTTCCTGTCTTTTTACCATCGACTCAAACTCTTCTGTTGTCACAAAAAAATAATCCTTTCCATTCACCTCTCCTTTTCTCGGTTGCCTGGTTGTGTGTGACACCGAAAACCCAAAAGGAAACCTAGATAGAATGTGACTTATGATAGTGGACTTTCCGGATCCACTGGGCCCGGTGAGTACTAGATGTGCCTTATCCATGGGCACGAAAAAAACCGAGAACAAAAAATGGACTCAATAGATCTCCACAACTAATCCATTTATTCGTAAAGCCCGTCATCGTTGAAGTCCTTCTTTTTATCAAACTTCCTTACATCGACCTTCATTGACCTTGCAAAGGCCTCATACCGCTCAATTTCCTTTTCAGACACACTGCGTCTTGCCGTCTTCAAAGCTTGTACAAGATGGTCAGGCCTCAAATAAGGCACAGGATCCTCAAGATCCATCATCTCAGAACCCTTCTTCCTTTGCTCAAGCTCGTACTCGATTGTTTCTCTTATGGCCAACTTACATGCTCTCTGGCATATTTCCGAAAGATCTGCTCCAGAAAACTTGTCGGTAGCCTCTGCCAGTTGCCGAAGATCAATGTCCGGTGAAAGAGGTGTTTTCTTTAGGGTGGCCTGCAGTATCGAAACTCTGCTCTCGAGGTCGGGCAATGGAATGTAAACAAGCTGGTCAAGTCTTCCTGGCCTCATCAAAGCACTATCCAACTGGTCTGGCCTGTTAGTTGCCCCAATCACAAACACATTCTTCTTCTGGTTTATTCCATCCATTTCCGAAAGAAGCTGATTTAACATTCTGTCTGTAACTCCACTACTTCCATCGTTTCCAGATCTAGCCTTTGCAATCGAGTCTATTTCATCAAAGAATAAAACACAAGGTGCTGCACCTCTTGCTCGAGCAAACAAGTCCCTAATATTCGATTCAGATTCTCCAACCCACATCGAAAGGAGCTCGGGACCCTTGATGGATATGAAGTTAGCTTTACACTCGGTGGCAACAGCCTTAGCAAGAAGTGTCTTACCACATCCTGGCGGTCCATAGAATAAGACCCCTTTGGCCGGTGTCATTCCAAATTTTATGAACTTCTCCGGATATTCCACAGGGTATTGGACAGTTTCTCTCAACTCCTGCTTCACAAGTTCAAGCCCTCCAATATCCGACCACTTTACATTCGGTGACTGAATCACTGTTTCTCTAAGGGAGCTTGGGTCGGTATGCTCAATTGCATAGCGGAAGTTGTCGTTGGTGACCTTTAGCGAAGAAAGTACCTTTGCATCAATCTTTTCGTCATCTAAATCTATCTGAGGAAGCTTTTCCCTAATTTGTTGCAATGCTGCTTCGCTACACAGTGAAGCCAGATCACTTCCGGTAAACCCATGTAGCTCTTTGTTTATAGCCACTAGATCAACATCCTCAGACATCTTCATGTTCTTGGTATGGATTCGGAGAATTTCCAACCTTCCTGTTTCATCAGGAACTCCTATTTCAATCTCTCTGTCAAACCTCCCATATCTCCTCAACGCTGAGTCAATAGAGTTAGGTCTGTTTGTAGCCCCAAGAACTATCACATTGCTTCTTGCCTTCATCCCATCCATGAGTGTCAGCAACTGGCTTACAATTCTTCTTTCAACTTCCCCTTGAGACTTCTCTCTCTTAGGTGCAAGTGCATCTATCTCGTCAATAAAGATGATAGACGGTGAGTTCTTCTCTGCCTCCTCAAATGCCTTCCTTAAATTCGACTCGCTCTCCCCTGCCATCTTGGACATGATTTCAGGCCCGTTGATCAAAAATAGAAAGGCCCCTGTCTCGTTTGCAATGGCTCTTGCTATTAGGGTCTTTCCCGTTCCTGGAGGTCCATACAATAGAATCCCTTTTGGAGGCTTCACCCCTATCTTCGAGTATAACTGAGAGTGCCTCAATGGAAGCTCAACCAGCTCTCTTATCTTGGCCATTTGTGCCCTACATCCTCCAACATCGTCATATCCAACCATGTTAAACTCCTTTTCAACCTCTTCCCGCGAAATACTTTCCGCACAATATACAGATGTTGTGGACGTCACAGACCCATGTTTTATTTCCATATCTTGTGCATCTATCATCTTGGTAACCTTAAATTCAACCCTTCCAAGTCCAGAGCTAACTCCGTAAATAGACCCCACAGTAAGAGGCATGAAGTTAAAGTCCAGAAACGGCCTGACAAATTCATCAAAGATGTTTCCTGTAATCTTCTCAATCGTGTCTTTGATCGGAAGGAAGTTCAGCTTACTGACAACAGGAATATCCTTGTCCACCCGATACAACTTCACCGTGTCAGTAATCCTTACTCTCAGGTTGAACCTTCCATCTCTAACAACTGCAATGTGTTTTGGAGGAACACTTTCAAGTGCAACTGTGCTAAAGATAAGCTCTGCTTTCTTCTTCCCTAATATCTTGACATAGTCCGACTCAAAAAGTTCCAACTCGTTGAGTGTTGCTGGATTCAGGCCCACCTGATATGTCCTGAGCTTGCTGCAATCCTTATCACAGACGATTAGTGTATTCTTTGTCTTCGATTCAAGAATAGCAGTCGAAAAGTCTTTCTCATTCCCAGAAGTTCCCATTTGGGGCTGTCTTTGTTTTTGTTTTTAGCCTGGGCTTTTTATAAACAAACTTCCACACATGAAGTTGTAGTCTTCTTCATACCTTCCAAAGCCCATGAAAAACCCCCTGGTCTTTCCAAGAACCAATGCAGTGTGACCACCCCCTCCAGACCGGTTATAGGTGTTTGGTCTGCTTTTTGATCCATCATAATATATGATTGGCTCTACCCTAAAGGAATGGGATGGTATCCAAATCTTCTTTTGCTCTCGGCTTTGATTGTCTTACTTCCAGGATACATCTTCCTTGGGAGACTAGGAAAGTGCATACTCTATCTCCCTCTCAATAGCATTTCGTTTGTGATCTACTTTAGAATCAGAGCATCCATTGGGAAGAGACATCTCAGTGTTGTTGTAAATGTGCTCTCAAGACTTGTGAAGTTTGGAGTTGGCGTCCTTTTGTCATACACAACATTGTCTCTGGGAGCAGCCAGATATACCCATGGGCCTTTGATTTTGGGAGCTCTTCTCCTATCAATAGACCTTGTCAGAGCATATCTCTACGAGTCATCGAAGAAGAGCTTTGAAAACAAGATACTCACGGGAAACTTCATGGACATTCTCAAGCTGGAGAAATACATTATATATTCTGTAGAAGGCCCTCAGACAGTGGACCTAAAGAGGAACTTGTCTGTCGACGAATATTTCGATAGGGGCCGTCCAAAACCTGTAGATGCCAATGAGCTTTTTGACTTATGGAACGACCAAAATCCTTACGAAGACCATGTTTCAGACAGCGATTTCACAGAAGGAAATGAAAGACTGAAGAAAAGGACCAGAAGAGAAAAGATAAAGATTGATCCAAAGACATACGAGTTCATCGAAGAAAAAAGGAGGTTGTCCTGGAACCTTCTGAATATACAGAAAGTAGTCCTTACTCCGGAAGAGAAAATGAGAGAGAGGTTATATGCAATGAATCCATTGGAAATGATACCTAGTCCAGACTGCCAACCAGATGTTGAGAGGAAAGACGTTGATGGAGAAGAATGGAAGTTTCTTGAACTAGACAAGAAGAGGGCTAAGAAGATGCCTGCAAGGCCGGGGTTGATAACAGTCGAGTCTCTCAGCGTGCATTTTGGAGAGAGCCATGCAAAGGAAGCGTATTCGTTGATTGCTTTCAAAAGAGGAGAAAGGATTAATCATGAAATCTTCAAGGAAAATGCTAGGCAAATAAATGTAGAAAGAAACAACCTATACAGAACGATCATGGACAACAAGAAACTACTGAGGGTTATATGGTTTATTCTGGCACTCCTCGAAAGTATAGTTGGATACTTGATCACTGCGGTATTCTTCAGGACCAAGCCATTGCTGTTGGAGCTGATCTTTCCGATGGTAGTTGTTCCGGCCCTTCCGATGATCAAGATGACGGTGGAGTCATTTCTGTTTATTATATACACCCACCCATACGATCCCGGAGACAGGGTTCATATAGACGGAGAAAATATGGTTGTCCGGAGGATCTCTTTATTTAGTACTGTGCTTGAGAGTTGGGACGGAATGGAAATAATAATTCCAAATATTGTTATAAGGAAGAAAGCGATTTTGAACATAAGAAGATCGAAACAGCAGCAATGGAAGCTCTCGATGCTTATATCATCAAAGACGTCGGAAAGAAAGATCGAATTGTTGAGAGAGGCAATCAAGAGGTTTGTAAGGAGCGACAAGTCCTATATTACTGTAAGTGTAAGCATCTCGGAAATAGTCGATTGTAATCACTTGAGGCTAACGGTGATTGTAAAGCATTCCATAAACTTTCAAAGTGGATTCTTTATGTGGACAAGCCATACCAAGTTTGTAAACATGCTTCTAGCTATTCTGTGCAAACTTGACATCAGGTTCATTCCACTCACCAAAGAGATTATGAATCTAGGGCCTACCTATGAACAAGGCATCTCATAAAAGTGGAAGATTTTTGAAGTGTCCAAAAATGTTAATCTGAAACGGAGCCTTCTCGAAGAATGGGATGATTCGATTTGTCAACTTCAGGTCATCAAGATGTTTTGAAAGAAAATAAAACCCATTGAAACAAACCCTAAATGGAAGAGTTTTCGACGACCAGCAACAGAAGAGAGAAACTATCGAAACCTCTTCTGCCCGAGGATATTCCAAAGAGAGTGGATGAACCCCAGCTCAAGATCCACGAAAGGAGTGTGGAGGAATTCCAGGACATTTTGGATATCGAGCCGAAGGAGGGGCTTTTTTTTTATATAAGGATTCCTGGATTAATCTTTGTAGGGTCTGTTGTAGGTTATATAATAGGGAAGATGGGATTTAGCATTGTCAATTTGTTTTTTGTTGGATATGTGATTTTCTTCATATATAATCGAAAGGTTGAAAGATTCACTCGGAGTCTTAAATCGCTTGTGTATCATAGTGCAAGGAGGGAGAAGGCCCGAAACAATGGAGAGACTGTTGAATGGTTGAACTATGCTCTTAAAAAGTTCTGGGAAGTTGCTGAGCCTGTTATATCTGCAGAGGTGTACCAACAGGTCAACAATGAACTCCTCAAGGTTTCTCCGCCCTTTCTTAATGGACTAAGGTTAATTGAATTCACCCTTGGAAGCCGTTCACCGTTTATAGAGGGCATATCCTACATAAGCATGGACGGAAATACTCTTGCAATAGAAGTGGAGGTAGCTTTTGTGCCTCTGGAAATAAGCAGGGATGTAGTCAACTACCTGGAGAACGATAGTAAAAATTGGAACTCTAAGATTCAGCTGTCGGCCCGGGTTGGAACAAGAAATGGAATAGGAATCAACCTTCCAATTCTTGTCAAAGAGCTGTTTTTCAAAGGGAGGGTCAGAATTGTTGCCAACCTATTTTCGAAGAACATGTTTGTCAAAGACGTAGAGATTTGTTTGATGGACAGCCCGGAGTTTGACTTTACTCTTGTCCCCTTGAAGATGGTGGACATAATGGATGTTCCTGGACTCAGCAGATGGATAAGAAGTATAATCAACTCCTCGTTGGCTACAACTGTTATTAATCCAAACTCAATGACCATCGACGTGGATAGGATCTCAAAAGACAAGGGAAAGATTATTGGAGTTGTGTGTCTTCAGATACTCAATCTAGAAAACGAGGACGACGAAAGATTGACTGTGGAAATAGACGTGGATGGCAGAGTTGGATACCAAACGAGATATGGAGAGGGGAAAGGGATTGTTTACAATGAGCATTTCTATATGCCTATTGAAAATGTTGACTCAAGAATTGGATTATCTCTAAGAAGCGAATCAAGAAAGACCAGGAGAAGGAACGGGTCGATATTCTTGAAGAACCTTCCTCTGGATAAGATTGAGGAGTCTGTGGACAATGAATGGTATGAGCCAAGGAGAACCTTTTTCTGTTCGACAAGGTTAGTTAAGGATGAACAGACATATTCTTTTGTGAACACGAACTTGCAGTTTTACCCGATACAGAAGGAAAGGAGTAACAGTGGAATTGTCAAGATGACACTTGTAGGAATTGAGGATCTTCGAGGAAACAAGGCCTCTAAGGCATATACATATTCTACATTCTGTACAGTAATTGTATCACCTATCAACCGAGAAGAATCCAGCATTCCAATAGGCTTTATCGAAAACACAGTTAGTGCAACGGCAATGATGATGAGTGGAATTGTCAAGACAACAGGGAATATGATCTCAAACATTATTCCCGGAATCGAGACGACCACAACGAGGCTTCTACCTTCGTCGAAGAACACTTTCTATGTATTTGAGTCGAAGAGGATATTCGGGACAAACTCGCCTATTTACAACGAAAGCTTCACATTCTTTTGCAGAGATATCCAAGTTGATGTGGTGTCCATCTGCGTGATGAATGACAAGACAAGTGAAGTGATAGGAAGAGTGTCGATTCCTGTGAGAGATATCCATTTCAACAAAAAAGAGAAGTATAAACTGAACGACGCTCACAGTGGCCGAATGGAGCTTTCATTCACGATTGATTATGTGGACATGGTTGATAAAGAGATAGGATTTGTAGACTACGAGAGGATGTTGAAGATCTCTGTGGATTCTATGAATGAGAAGGGAGTCTACTACGCGATATTTGAGACTAACACAGACTGCTTCAGGATGGAGACGTTTACATCAGCACTGCCTATTAAGAGAAGAATTTATGTTCCTGTGCAGAAGGAAAATAGCTTAAGATTTAGGCTTTACAAGGAAACAATCAATGGGGATGTGTTTATTGGAGAGGACAAGATAAATTGCAGTCCCTGCGATGGAGTTAGGCGGGAAGCCTTCTTACTCGACGAACAAATAAGCCTGACCCTTAGCATTGAGGAGGAATCTCTTCGAGACTACTCAGGGGCTCCTGATGAAAAGAACAATATCAAGGTAATACAGGCAAAGTTTGGAAAGTTCTATGGGTATAGCCAGGAAATGTTTATTGAGTTTTCCAACAAGTATGGGGCGATTGGAGCTTCGGGATTTACCCGAGGAGGGAAGCTTAATGACACATTCACATTTATTGCGGGAAATGAGGAGATATATGCTATTATCAAAAGCGGAGACCAGACCGTCAACCAAACACTAGGACAATGTATAATTCCAAAGAGGACCTTAAAAGAGAAGGTTATGCTTAATGAGCATGGACTGTCGGTAGACATGGAAGTAAAGATTCAAGGATGCTCATACAAACCGGCTTCTATGTTGAAGACCGGATATCTCGAAGTTTACATTAAGAATGGGAGCAACATCAGGTCGTCAGTCCAGAGCCCGATTGACACTTACTGCAAGATTCTTGTCAACGAGACCAAAGTATATACAACAAAACCTGTACGTAAAAACAACAATCCTGTCTTTAATGAGTCATTTATAATGGAAATAGACAAAACAAAGGATGTGTTTGGGATACAAATATGCGACTACAATGTCTCGGAGAGAAATGCACTTTTGTATTACACCGAATTTTCCTTGCACAACCTGTCTGAAGGGTTCAGCGAGATGGAATTTGGCCTATTTGATGGAAAGACCTTCCAGCCGGTCGAGTCAAAAATTAGAATTGGATTTAATTTCTGTGCAGATCACAAAAGTTTAAAAATCAGAAAGAAAGGAATTCTTAGTGATTTCTTTGGATTCTAAGTTAGATTCATTAAAACACAAACAAAATATGCTCCACTACTCTTCTTTATAAATCTTGTTGAAATCTTCAAGTCTCATCTTTCTATCTTTAAACATATCGATCATCATGTCGATGTAACTTTCTTTGAAAGAAAGGCCATAACTCCTAAGGATTGCCTCCAGGTCCGATCTATCTATGTAGCCCTTCTGGCCTTTGTCCCAAGAGTTGAAGACATCCAAGCTTCCAGCTCTTTTCAATACTAGGATTTCAAGAATCGAATGGAATTCATCTCCTGTTACAGTGCTCCCAAGAGATTGAGTTAGCTGGGACACTTGCTGGGGATTTAGGTGCAAGAATACAATATCTATGAACTCCTTGAGATCCTCAAGGGTCATCGTGGTGCCATTGCTTACCAAATCATATATTTTGTCCGACTCCCTATCCTTTATCATATGGGTTGGAAGTAGCCCAACATCAATTGAAACAAGTTATGGCTTTAGAAACACCATTTGGTGCCCTATGACGGCATTCAAGTGGGTGATATATTAAGGTAATAGAAGGGTTATTGCCTTGTGAAATTGACAACCTTTCGATGGGGTGTATTTAGATTTAGAAGGAGATAATGAATTCTATATAAGGAAAAAGAATTGTTATTCTTTTTATTTCTAAATATAAATAAAGGATAAACATAAAGTTCAATGATTAGAAAGAGTCTTTTCATTTTGGTTGCAACTGGAATGGGAATCATAAAGGCCACAGGAGGAGAAGGAGGCCTCTACATACCTAGCACCATCTTACGAGAGTTAGGAAGTGCTTCCATGGGAGGATATCTCATGATTGCAGAAACAGGAAATGGAGACTTCGGAATTGTAAGCAGTTCTGAGTCCCCATACATCATAGAGAGTGGAGTACATTCGGAAGTAGCCTGGCAACCGGTGAATGGAGACAATAGAGCAGTTCCCGTCTATGCCCCCTCTCCTGCAGAAATTCGAGAGAGCATCCCGACTGTATATGGAGAGCCATCCCAGTACATGGGTCCACAACAAGAAGGATTTGTCCCTGCCTCTACACCTGTGGTTACATCTGTTGAGGAGACTGGATCTACATCTGGAGTGTCTACTGGCGCCATTGTAGCCGGAACAACCGCAGGAGTTGCAACTGGAGCTGCTACAGGAGCTGCAGTGTCTTCCACCACATCTGAGACCAAAGATACCACTGCTGCAGGAACCACCACTGGAAAGACTTCTGGAGACAAGACAAGCACAACCAAAGACACCAAGACCTCCACCAAGACCAAGAAGAAGGGAGCCAAGAGCCTTGTAGCCCTCAGTGCAGTTGCAGTTACAGCATTGTTCTCAATCTTGTGATGTAAATAAATTTTCAAGCATCAATTGTAAAATATTCTTGGTCTTTCTAACTCTATGAATTGAAGATTGTCTCTCCTGTAGGATTGTCGTTCTTCATAGGCGTTGTACAAGATTTCCAATTTCTTTTGTCTACGATGGAATTTTCTAAGGTAAAATTTTCTTTAGGGCAGCCCTGGTAAAAATGCCTGAGGAAGCGAAGTACACATGGGATCAAGAGCTTAACGAAATTAATATCCGACTTCCAATGCCCAAGGACACAGATAACAGCTTGATAAAGATTGATGTGGTGGGAAGGAAGGTCCTTGTGAAAATACAGGACGAAGTGATGATAGATGGAGAGTTTTTACACGAGGTAGACGTCTCGAGTCTTTGGTGGGTGGTTGAAGGAGACATGGTTGATGTCAATATAACAAAGAAAAGAAATGAATGGTGGGACAGTCTGTTAGTAGGGTCTGAGACAATCGATGTCCAAAGGTTGGCTGAGGATAAGCATGCAGACATAAGTATGCTCGATCCGGAGGCCAGAGAGGTTGTGGAAAAGATGATGCACAACACAAGCAAAAAGGACTTGGAATAAGCTATATGATTAAAGTCTTATGAGCCTTATTTGCATAGATTGTCTTTTTTCAGGTCTAGGGAAAATATTTCAAAAAATAAACAGAGGAAGGGCTTATGACGGCGAAGGATCTTAAGAAGATTATGGAGAAGGAGGCGTCAAGGGTAAAGAGCCTTAGCTTCCACCCGACAAAGCCTGTAATAATTTCGGGGCATCATAGCGGATCCATAAAGGCATGGGACTACCAGATGGGTGTTTGCATCCACGAGTTTCTTGACCACGACGGATCTGTAAGGGCTGTCTTGTTCCATCCTAGGGGGGATTTCTTTGTAAGCGGAGGAGACGACAAGGTTATAAGGGTATGGAGTTATACAGAAAGAAGAATCACAAACAAGCTTCGGGGACATGACGATTTTATCAGATCATTGGATTTCCACCCAACAAAGCCTTGGATCCTCAGTGCATCTGACGACCAAACAATAATGGTATGGAATATGCTAACAGGCAAACTTCTTGCGACTGCTAGAGGGCATTGCCATTATGTTATGGCAGCCAAGTTTTTGGGAGAGGAGTCTATTGTGAGTGGATCGCTGGACCAGTCGATAAGGATTTGGGACTGCAAGGGACTAAAGGAGGGAGGCAAAAAGAACTCGCTACTGCCGGATATAGTTATAAAGCAGATTGTAGATGGACACGATAGAGGAATCAATGCAATAGCTGCGAAGGATGGAGTTTTTGTAAGCGGGGGAGACGACAGAGACATCAAGTGCTGGGAATGGTCTGAGACCTCTGTCTGGGAGAAGGAAGTTATGTACAATCATCAGGGACCTGTTACTGGGCTTCTTTGTGATAGGGAGTACGTGCTAAGCTCTGGAGAAGACGGGCTGTTTTCGATATACAACACAGAAACCAGGAAATCAATTGAACGCCGCACAGAAGGGAGGTATTGGTGTGTAGCCAACAAAGGAAATCTGTATGCAGCAGGCCATGACTCCGGCTTTGAAGTGTATATTTATTCTGAACCAAAGATCATCTGTACACATGGGCAAGGATTTTTCTATTTGAAGAACTCTCGGATTCATTACAGCGACTTCAAAACAGAGAAAGTCCTCCTGAAGCCAAAGAAAGACGTTACTTCGATCTGTGCCAAAGGGGAATATCTTCTTGTCCAATATGATGGTAAGTTTAATGTCCTTATCGACGGAAAGGTTGTAGTAGAGGAATCAGGAGAAGGAGACCTATTTGAGAACTCGGAAGGAGATGTAGAGTTAATTGTAAAGAATGAGGAAGGAGCTTATAGAGGAGGGATTTCCTCTCGGAATAAGCATCTTCTCTCTTCATCCAAAGGGAGTCTTTTCCCTGGAAGTAACGAGTTTTTCTTCCTGGTGAATGGAAGAAGTATTACAATGTGCTTTGTTGAAGGAGAGGAGAAAACATTCAATATTCCATTCCATCTGACCAAAATAGTTTGCTCCAACAGTAGAATATCATTTGTTGGGAACAATGATATTTTGATTTACAACCTTGATTTGAGTCCTGTAAATAGCATTAATGAGATAGTTCCGATTATTGATGGATTTTTCCATGAGGATATTTTCATCTATGCTACTCATCGGCACCTGAAGTATGCCTTTGAAGATTCAGGAGTGTTAAAAAGCATTGAAAAGCCTATCCTTCCATTTGCTCTTGAGGAGGGGAAGACCATTTACTTCCTGTCTGACGATGGAATTGAATGTGTTGATGTGGAATTGATCGAAGTGAAGTTCAAGAAGGCAGTCCTAATGGAAGAAGACATAGCTCCTCTTATTGAAGAGGGAGCGATGCCGGGTCTGTCGCCTCTTTCCTATCTTGTTAGGCAGAAAAAGGGAGCTCTAGCTCTCCCATATATCAAGGACAGGAGACAGCGGTTTGAACTTTGTCTCAGTGACTTGAGATTAGATGAGTGTATGGAGTACTGCATACAGGAGGGAGATGTGGATATGAACAGGAGACTTGCAGATGCAGCCATAAGAGAGTGTAGAGTAGACATAGCCGAAAGGTGTCTCGAAAGCACAAGGGAATGGAATATGTTGTTTATGCTCTATGTGTGCTCGAGGGATGATGAGAAAATCAGGGAACTTGCTGAAAAAGTAGACCCTGTCACAAAAAATATGATTATGATGTATTTGGAAGATGTAGAATATTTCAAAAAGACCAAGGTTATTGGAGAGTACAAAGGAGAGAATGGGAACAAGAATCCAACCCCGGATGTTAGCTCATGGGGGCGTGGAGAGAGTAAGGAAATAGATTTTCAATCCACCGCCAAGAACGATTCGGATTTTTTTGAGATATCTCCGAGCTCAAATGATATTCCACAAAGATGGAACTACAATGAAAAAGACGATGTCCAGTCTGAGGACGAGATACATTCAGATCTCTCTGAAACAGAGGAGAAATGGAATGAGAGAAGCCTTCCTGTGGACGAGAAGTCTTTGCAAGAGAGTGCCTACCTTGAAAGTTCGGAGGGTATGAATGAGATACTAGAAAGAGGCCTGTCTCTGACGACCGAAGGGAAGTTTGGCAAAGCAATAGAGGCTTTCCGGGAAGGGATGGTGAAGATTGCACTCTACATTAGAGATAATAATGCGAGCGAGTCCTTTTTAGAGGAGAGAAGGAAAATCGGATCTTATATTTCTGGTTTGGTGGTTGAAAAGATAAGGAGAAAGACCGATTCGCCTTTGAAGAACATTATGATGGCCAAGTACTTTTCGGAGCTCCCGCTGGAGAAGGAGCATCACGTCCTAGCCTCATCCACAGCCATCATGGTGTTCAGAAAGAACGGAAATTTGAAACAGGCTAAGGAGTTAGCGATGGAGCTCAGGAAGGAGGGAAAGGATAGTAAGGTCATTGAGAAAGCAATTGAGGAAGAAAATCCAAAGGACGAGCATGAGCTTCCTGAAGGGGTTTTTTGCCATGACATCCTAGAGACAAGGACTAGTGCTAAAACATGCTTGCTATGCTTCGTCAACAGCTCTAGTGGCAATATATGTACAAGCTGCAGGGTTGGAGTCCTTCAATAATAATAAAAACTCTGTGCTATTTCCCCGTCATTTGTCTACCCTATTGGCCTCCAAAATTCAGATTCTCTTAGATAAGCCCTTGGGGTGGTATGAATAACAAAGAGAAACAGAAATCCAAAGAGAACTTGAACAGTACTTTGGGGCTTCCCCAGGAGCTGATCGGAAGGATTATGGCCCACTCAAATGTGAAACATGTAAAGAGACTAATGAAATGCAACTCACTTCTCTTTACAAAACTGAGGAACGATTTTTCTGTGTGGGGATTCTTTACATCTGGAAGGTATCCGTGCATTGCTGGATATATAAGTGAAATTAAGAATAAATACACATTGATGAAGAACATATCCCGGTCCCGGAACGAAAGAAGCGTTGACTTCGAGACCAATCAATCGGATATCACGTTTATGCAGATAGACAGAGACAGAATAGTATGTTCTTCGGACGATCAAACTATAAAGATATTTGGAATGGATGGACGGCTCATAAGGACGTTTATCGGCCATAAGGGAGGAGTGTGGACCTTTATGCTCAATAACAAGCATCTTGTAAGCGGAAGTACGGATAAAACAGCTAGGATCTGGGATTTGTGGACAGGATGTACTCTTTGTGTTCTTTCCGGGCACAAGTCTGTTGTCAGATCTTTGAAGATTTATGAAGACTATATTGCAACTGGGAGCAGAGATTCTGAAATAAGAATTTGGAATTTCAGAGGGACATGCCTTAATGTACTCAAGGGGCACACAATGAGCGTCAGATGCATGGACATGAATGAGAGCTATCTCGTAAGTGGGTCCTATGACGGAAGTGTTGCCCTGTGGGACTACAGAAGAGGGAAGCTTCTAAGATATTTAAAGTCGCATTCTCTTAGGGTATATTCTGTCTCTCTTTCTCTAAACTATGTTGCATCAGGGAGCCTGGATTCTAGTGTTCACGTTTCAACACTGGATGGGAAGCTTGTGTGTTCATACAAGATCCACCGCTCGTTAGTGATCTGGCTTAAGTTTGTTAACAACGGTCGATACCTGCTTAGTTCAGGAGCGGATGGGATCCTATGCAAATGGGATCTTCGAGAAAACATTCTCGTTTATAAGATCGAAGAAAATGGCCATATAACAGCGCAAGCGGTTATCGAGGATTTACTGATAGTCGGAACCAAGAGAGAAGTGAAGATATATAACTTAAGCGATGGAAGCTTTATCAGAACTCTCTTTTCTGCATCATCTCTGATAAGTAAGGTTGAGGTGTCTGGTCGATGCATATCCGTTGGATATTACTCGGATTCAGGAGCCTGTAGATTGATAGTATTCAATTATTGAAGAGCCAAGGCTGCAGAAGATGAGACACAATTCCCAGCCCTTGCAAATGGCTCTCGGGCAGAAACTACAAAAAGGAATTCCAAAACCTTTGTATCACCGACTAGCAGACGAAGAGCTATCAGATCTATCAGAACATTTGGAAAGGAAGCTTTGCAACGAATATGCTGACTACAAGGACGGAAATCTTCAGATCAGAATCGAGGGAATCGGGGAGTATATGTTCAATAAGCAGCCTGCTGCCATGCAGATATGGGCATCGTCTCCAATAACAGGGCCTAGGAAGTTTGATATATGCAAAAGGTATGAATGGATAGATCTAAGAAACAACATCTCACTTAGTGAATATGTCAAAGAAGAGCTGAAAAAGATACAAAGTAAAATAGGCAGAAAAGATAAATAGAAAGACCATGTTTTCACATCTCGACGACGCTTATAAAGTAGAATTCTTTTATTCCACAAACCTTTTAATCTCACAATTCTTTGAAGCTTAATATCCCTTACTTATACCCAGGAGTTTGTCCTTCTCTTCAATTGTCCTCATCGTAACATAGTATGTTTTCCCGGTCTTCAGTGCAGAGTAGAGTTCACAAGAGACATCTCCAAGGACATAGCAAGACTTATGGACAATCATTTTGCAGTCTCTACATTCGAATCCCTGGTTGACAAGTCCATATAGAACCTCGTTACAGAAGTCACAGAGAGATCCCTGAGGTAGCGTCTTAGAAGCAAATAGGTGATTGTTAAACTCATAGATCTTCACAGGGTCATCAGGGATGCTCTCTTCAATCGTACTCTTTCGGCTTCTTTCGATTTCGGCCTTTAGCTGGCTTATCTTTCGGTTTGATCCCTCAAGCTGCATGTTTGCTTCCTCCAGTGTTTTTCCCTGAAGTAGGGTCCTGATCTTTTCTATTCCTTCCTTGATGGCTATTTCCGTATTAAGGTCTTCTTCCAGAGATTTCAGGCTTCTTCGGCCTGCCGAGCTTACACTTTTTACTTCCTCGTTCATAAAGATAATTTTCAAGGTCATTGGGATTTTCTTTTGGGGAAGATGGTGAAGTTCGTTGGGCCTTAGTTCTCCAACATAGACATTAGAGATGTAATGTCTTTCCTCTCCAACCCACAGGTGGTCTTCTTCCACTCTTACAATAGTAGATTCTCCGTTAAGCAGATGGCACGAAAAGGATTGCTTTCCAGCTACTCTATGAACCTTTGTTCTTTCTTTCTTTAGAAAGTTCAATTCTTCTTCTACACTCTTCCTAAGAAGAATTTCCTGGTTAAGCTTTTGCTCATATTCCTTAATCTCGGTAGCTTTTAGTCTAAGTTGCCTTTTCAGGCTATCCAAGCCCTCTGACTTGAGTTTCTCCGTGAGGATTTTATTCTCCGATTCAAGTGTTGCTCTCATCCTGAGAATCTCTTGGCATTTCTCCCTATAAATCTCAATCTCGGATTTCAGCCCTTTGTTCTCTATAATCAGCTTATTCATAGATTCCTGGAGGTTGCCAAAGATATCCATTATTTCTTCCGTTTCTCTCCTAGCTTCATGAATAGAAGAAGAGAGATCTTTAATCAGGACATCTTTCTTCCCCAAAGATTCAATTGATCCCAGGAGCCTGTCTACATTTTCCGGCATTTTCTCAGCAATAGAATATTCTTCAGAAAGGAAGTCCTTACTGTTCACTTCCTCGGTAATGCCTTTCAACCATTTTTTGTATCTCTCAAGCTCGGTCTTGGCTTCCTCCAATTCCTCTTTTTCTGCGAGGAGTTCTGTTAAGACCTCTTTCAGCTCCTTCTGATGCTTTTGGATCTCTCCTTTCGAATCTTCCAGTTTTATCTTGGCATTTTCGAGCTCGGCTTTCGTCCCCGTGAGCTCTTGGCTTTGTAAATCAATAAGCCTTTTGTTCTCAGAAATCTTAATCAAAAGATTCTCAAGAGTCCCTTCATGCTCTCTAACCTTCAACTCAAGTTCGTTACTTGCTCTGTCCATCTCCTTTTCCATCATAACACTGAACTTGGACACAAACTCGGGATCAAAAGTAAATCCCACAAACGGCATATAATTTCCTTTGACATCCGGCTTCCTTTTCTCAGGGTCGAATTGTGTGTCAACAAAATGGGATGTGTCGGAATCTCCACTGATTTCAGGAACAAAAGGTGGCTTAAGCTCCTTAAGCCTGTCCCAGTCTATTCCTTTGAAAAAGGCATGAGACTTTATCTCATTAATTTTCATCCTTTTATCCTTCGTTGTTATTAGACTCTTAATCAGGCTCGTAAGCTCCGGAGACACCTTGAAGGGAAATCCAAACTCAACCTTTGTTATCCTTCGATATGTTTCCATCAAAGTGTCGGAATAGAAGGGAGTTGTTCCGTAGATCATCTCGTAGATTATAACTCCAAGCGTCCAGAAATCCACATCCTCCTCGTATTCACATTCTTCATTCACAGAGCACAATACATCCGGAGAAACATAGTCTGGTGTCCCAACCGTAATAGATGATCTTGCCTTTCCATCCCTCATCTTAATACAGCTACCAAAGTCCGCCAGCTTCACATGCCCATCAATTCCAATAAGTACATTGTCCGGTTTCAGGTCTCTGTGTATCCATCCCAGCTTGTGGAGTTCATCCAGTGCTGCAACTATCTCGGCCGTATAGAATCTCACCCAGTCCTCTTCTAGAACATCTTCCTTGGATAGGAGACCCATGAAGTCTCCTCCAGGAATAAAGTCCATTAAGTAGTAGAGATACTCCTCATCCTGCATTGTCATGTGTGCACACACAAGCCATTCACTCCCAATACAATCAACCATCGCCTCCTTTTCAGCCATAAACAATGCTGTATGTGGCTGTCTGAGAACAAGCTCCTTAGAAACCCTTTTCATAGCATATATCTTTTCTCTTTTTACAAGAAAAACTTCCCCGTACCCACCTTTAGCCACATTCTTTATAATTTCGTAATCAGAGGGCTTTGTCTTTGCTCTAACAATCTCCTTAATTCTCTCTAATGGCGCGCCTGTTCCCTTCCCAGAGACCTCATGGTAAACCGCTTCTAAACAGTCTCCAATTATGTTTATCCTCTCCCTCTCCATAAGGACTTCGATTTTTAATGTTTTTACAGCAGAGAGGTCAGATGCTCTCAGGTGGTCGGGAGAAGAAGTAATTACATTTTATTTTCACAGAGGTCTTCAGATATATTCAAGTGAATGTCATTCCATAACTCCTCGTCCTTAAGGATGTTACCATGTCCGTGGTCGCTAAGCTTGATCTTAGCTCCATACTTCTTCGACAATGTAACAGAGTGGTGATAGGGAACAACATCATCTTTCATCCCGTGGTACAGAAATAGATCCCTTCCCTTCGCACTCTCTATGTTTTTCACCGTGTCATATCCAATCTCTTTCAAAACTCTTTCCTTTATCCAAGGAACCAGAAAATTGATTGTCCTGAAAATAACATTCTCCATACCTACATCAATAATAGATGTAAAAGCAGAGATCATAAACATCTTTCGAGGATGATACTTTGCCTCTATATTGTTTTTCGTTATGTATCTGTAATACTCAGCCATTATTCCAGTCCCCAATGAGTGTCCAATCATATGAATCTCTTGGGCATCAAATCTTGATGTGAGATACTCAAAGCATGCCATAATATCCAAATTAACCATATCAATCTTAAACTCTCCCTCAGAGTCTGCAAACCCACGATAGTCTGGGACAAGAACACAATATCCCAAGTTCACTAGAGTATGGATCTTGGAATTTGATACATAGTCCTCTCGGGAGCATCCCTTTCCATGAAGAGCAACAATGAACTTTTTTGGATCTTTATGGCACTCCGGCTCCAGCAGATAGGCTCCGATTTTCTTGTTGTCTTGGGTGGTTATGTAAACATTATACTTCAAATGCTTATGATGGTCTCGAAAGTTCTTTCTTGAGTCGTTTATATTTAGAATCATTCTCTTCACAGCCGATATCATTTCCAGCCCCAAGACGTAAACAAGTATTTTTCTCCTGTAAAGTCTTTGAAAACAGGCCCAACTCTAGTCCCTGAAATGGCATCGGGAGAGAACTTGGCGCCACGAGATGCAAAGGTCATCTCGGTTATCCTTAGATCCTTGGGAATAGAAGAATGCGAGCCAAAGGTTATCATACAGCTGCTGGAATTTGCCTACAAATACACCACAGACGTTCTGGAGGATGCACTATTGTTTGCAAAGCATGCAGGAAGGACACATATCAGTACAAGTGATGTCAAGCTTGCATTGCAAACAAAGGTTGGAAGGCACTTCGTCCCTCCGCCTCCAAGACAGTATCTGTCAGACATAGCTTCAATGGTTAACTCAAAACCGCTTTCGGTTCCAGATGGGGAAAATCTCATTAGGGTTCCCCCCTCGTCCTCAGCACTACTAAACCTCGACTATGAAGTCCTTAGAAAAGACGGCGATAAGAAAAGAAGGATTTACTAAGAATCTTATAAAAACACATCTAATTAAACTTTTCTTCCAGGGAAATTTTTTATATATATCATCTTTATTCCATAAACATACTGTATAGAAGCTCTTTTGTAGATTTTTGATTATTCTCAAGTAGATCAATATATGTCTTGACTACAGGCTTATCTATTCTTAGAGACAGATCGTCGTCCTCTATGTTCCTAAATACAAATATGAGCTTGGATATTTCGTCCTCTTGAAGCTTATCGAGTATCTGCAGCTTCTGCCGTGCCTTTGGATCTCCTTTCAAGTAGATCTCTAGTATCTTTGTCCTTTCCTCAAAGGCTCGATCTATTTTCTCCTTAAAAGGGCTGTCCTTCCTCTCCAGGCAGCTATAGAGAAAGTCCAACACCTGGGATCTTTTCTCCGTGGATGTCTTCAAATGAATCTTAGATACAAGGTCTTCCACCGGAGCAAGGAGCCTTGGAACTGTTCTATTAATCATCTCCGACACATTTGGAACACTCAACCTTCGGAATAAATCTGCGAGAATCCCTGGAGAAAATATAGATCCCCCAATGCTGAGACTAACTCTAGAGTCAAGGACAAATGATTTGGGGATCTCGGTTCTTTCGCCATAAAATTCTGCCATCTCTCTGTTGATTGCCTTGTACATTCCATCTTCTTCATATTTGGCACTAATAAGCCTTTTCATCATTTGAAGATACTCTTTATCTTTATTCTCATAGTACAATCTTGGAAGATGTCCATTCGTCCTGGAGTGGAGTGATTTGTACTTCTTTGCAGACAGATTTCTCCCTATCAATGATCTATCGTTTGCAAAGTACTTGTTCCGAAGCTCCAATGCATCCTTTAGCTTTTTCTCTACCCCGTCAACCTCTTCTAGATAATTATTGAACTTATCGAAGACCGAGGGATTTTCGAGTAGAAGTTCCTCGGCAGTAAACACTGTTTTCTTTATAAACTCTTCTAGAGACTCCTCAGTAAATTGGTTCATCTCAAAGATAAATACCATGGAATCTACAGATATAAAGCTCTCATACAGAATCTCCCTATTCAAATTTATTGGAATGGAAATCTGGCCATTCCCAGGATCATCGTGGCTACGTTTATCCCTTCCTGCTTCATCTCTAGAAATACCCGCAACTAATGCATTAAGGAATAACTTCAAGACACTCATTGTTTTATTAATTTTGCTTTCTTAAATAACAAACGTTTCAAATCTGGTTTATTTAAAAGGATATCTATTAACATCATTTGTACATTGGAATTCCAGACCAGACTATCTTTCTGTACTCTGTGTACTCTGGAGAAGCTGAAATCAGTTCTCTTTCATATTCCTTTATCCGTGGAATGATCCAGCTGCTTACAAACCAGAGAAATATTGCAAGAGAAATAAAGCAAGAAAGGTAGATACAACAAGATATCCAGTGCAAAATTAGAGATGAATATAGCGGATGTCTAACATATCTGTATGGCCCATTTCTTTGTATTTTTTTTCTTTCAGACTTGTTCTCACCAACATATCCCAGAGTGATGTGAAAAAATGCAATCGAAAGGACTAGTCCGCATGCTGCCATGATCTTAAAGACTCGAGCCCCGAGGTATCCTGTAGACCTTGAAACAAAAAGACTTTCAAGGAATAGACTTCCAAAGAGGAGAACAAGGTCACTATGCCTGAGAATCTTTGTCTCAAGATTGATTCTTCGGGCCTTTTCCCGGGAGTACATAAAGACTAGAAGCGATATCGATGAGACTATGTGAAGAGACAAATAGCTCCCGGAATGGGAAATCCCAAGCATAAATAAAGACCCAAGAGCAAAGTAAAATGATGGACATTCCATTTAGGGGTTTTATCTATCCTGTTTCTAAACATAGAAGAAAAAAGACCAATTAAGAAAACCGTAGCAGCAGATATTTTCGTAAATATCTCAAGGCTATCTACAAAAAACTTGGGATTCGGTTGGTTTTTAAAAACAGAAAAAGAATTTCTTCCCGGGAGAAATGTATAGAGCTTATCGTGCAGAAAAACACTCCCTTGTTGTGTAATGGCTAGGGATTTTAAAAACAGGAGAACACAAAGATCAACCGAAACAATGGAGCTTGGAAAGGTATTGTACATGTGCCAAGGGCAGCTTGTGATAAAACTAACAGCAAAGGATATTCCATATCCAAACTCTCCAGTCTTGAATTCGTCCTCCAAAATCATAGGAAAGGTGGACGAAATCTTAGGAAGAATAGACGATGTTCATGCAACTATCAAGATGGAGAACCCGTGCAATTCTGGCAACGAAGGAGAGACAGTGTTTTGCTATGCAGACAAACTTATTCCTAAAAAGAGATTTCTACCAAGAGAAGAGGTTGAAAAGAAAAAAGAGGAAATGGATCGCACGAAACCGAAAAGGAGCCAGGGATTGGAAAAGAACAAGCCCAGGACTTTCAGAGACAGGCCAAGCCTTCACAACAAGAAGCCTGGAAGCAATTGGGGAGGAAAGCAAAGCGGCTGGAACAAGAGCGGAAGAAAAGGAAATTTCGAGAAGAATGCCAGAAGTAAGAAGCCGGATTCTAATAAGAGCAAGCGTGGGGATTAAAGCATTTTATTAGATGTACATCAAAGTGTCCTGGGCACATCTAAGAGGAATTTATTTCTTCGTCCCTGTGATTATCTACCATCTCCAGCAGTTTTGACTCGTAATATTTTCTTTTTTCTATCAGTCTCTGCCTTAGCTCTGCAATAGTCTTTTCGTCTTCTTTGATCTTCTTTTGTATTTCCCTTGTTAGCTTCTTGTCATCCTCCCCAAGAATCTCCGGTTTGTTTGCTATTGACCTGCCAATCTCTTTAGTCTTGTAGTCGTCATAAAACGTCTCTGTTGCTTCTACAAGCTTTATGAGATTCTTTGCTATCAGAGAGTCAACCAGAAGGTAAAAATCATTGCTTCCCACTTTTTCAGGAACCATTGTTCCCCATGGATATTCTCTGTTGTGCCCTGGGGTGTCTTCGTGGTCAACGTTCTTTGCAATGACAAAAAAAGGATATTCCGATTTACCGATTCTCTCTCTGTCTGGCACATCTAGGTAAAAAACATCGATGTTTTCTGCAGATATAGCCTCTGCAATCCTGTCGCTGCATTCCTGTCTTTCCAAGTCGCTCAGAAGATCGCTCTTCCCAACCACTGGAATTAAGTTGCAAATCTTCGATATCTCCTTCATGGTCTTTATGTCCACAAGCTTCACATGAGATGGATTGGGTTCCAAGAAGTAAAGGCAGATATGGATTCTTTTATCCTTGATCAATGGCCTGACATTCTTCCTCTCTTGCTCTAGGTAGTCTTTGAAGTTATTCTGAATCAACTCCACAACAGGTACCCAGCATTCCTCGTTACAGACATTATCTCCCACTCCATCCACCTCGGCCACGGTAATTCTTGTTTGAAACTCATTTTCCATGACAAAGAACTTCGATATCTGAATATTAATCAAAGAGTTCCTGTGAAAATATCTATCTTCCTGCTCTTCGGCTCCATCTGTATCGGACACCCTAGTAATCTCATTACTCTGGTTTCCATCGTCCTCCTTCAAAAACGGATCGGAGGACAGAACGGGTTCACCTAGCATCTGATTGATGAAAGATGATTTCCCCAAGCCGCTTGAGCCGATTATCATTATGTTGAAATCTATTCCTGCCTTGCAAAAGCTTCGATATTTTACATTTGGGAGGTTGGACACGCCTATACCTTTCTGCGACATATAAACAAACAATTGTGAGATTCTTAAATATTATAAACAATGGAGAATCCTAAGGCATTTGAAACACGGTACTTTTATTAAACACGTGTTATTTTTGATAGATAATGGACGAAAAGCTTAAGGAAATGGTAAATGCAAGCAGCTTTGCAGAGAAAGAGTTAAAGTCAATACTTGGAGAAATAACTTTGCAGAACGAAAAACTTGTGGATATCCAGCGCAAAATAGGAATTACTCGGACACATCTACTAAAGAACTCGAAGCTTGTTGGAGAGATACTCAAAATTACAAAGCCTAGATTGGCCATAGCAGTAATAGTACTCTCGATGATGCTCATCGCATTAATATATATTAAGCTTATATTTCCACTAAAGTAGACACTCCTGTTTGTTTTGCTCGAATTTTTTAATCTGATAGTGTTTATCATTCCCCAACTTTATGGAGCATATTGACTGGAGTAATCCAGAGTTTTTCTTTAAAGATGGGATAACAAGAGACTTCACAACAGTGGAGGAAGAGTTCCAAAAGATAAGATCCTGTAAATTCGAAAAAAGTCAGAGTATTCTGGTACCTAAAATTCTTTTGGTGATAAAGAACTCGAAGGAATATAAAGGAATGCATGTCAAAGCGGTAGTGGAGGAATCGATTTCCGGAAAAACAGCCATGGCAGAGATATATCCTGAAAGTTTTCTAATGGTCAAATGTGAGGAAGACATTTCCAATAACGAATCATTTTCCGTCCAAGTTGAGGTGTGGAGTTCAGAAGGAATGATTTCTGAAAAAAGCTTTAGGATCTTCAATCGTGAGGTGTTTTCCAAAGTGTCGGGTTCCCTTAGTATAACTTTTGAAGGAAGAAAAGAGGAAATTGAAATGGAGATTTATTCTATCAAACCATCTCATAATGCAAGTGAAGCCTATGAAGACATGAAGATGATAGGACATCGAGGATGTGGAATGAATGGAATACCCTCAACAACCATGATGGAAAATACAATTTCCTCGATCCAAGAGGCATACAGAATGGGAGCAAAGTGGGTAGAGATTGATGTACAGCTTACAAAAGAAGGAATACCTATTGTATTTCATGACTTTGTTATAGAGGCGGGTGGACTTTGTTTAGGGATAAATGAGATAACACTTCAAGAGTTTCTCCGCCTGGTGGGGAATCCAAACGAAGAAAGACAAGATCTTCCCTGTACACTTTCAAGACTTTTAGAATGTGTTAGCGATAAAAATGGAATCAATATAGAAATTAAGTACCCCTTGCCATCCGAAAAAAGAAAGTATAACCTAAAGGATCTAGATCCTGCAGAAAAGGTTGTTGAAAAAATAGTGGAAACAATACAGAAAAGCGGAAAGGAAAAAATAGTCTTTTCATCATTCCATCCATATATTCTTCTAATGTTGAAGCTGGTGCTTCCCAACTTTGGGGTTTACATGATAACTGAAACAAAAGATAAGGAGGAAAACCCATATACAAAGACCTTGTACGGTGCCCTATACTTCTGCACAAAACTGGGGCTTGATGGCATTGTCTTGGATTGGAACTGTATAGCAGAAAACCCAGCAGATATTATCAAGATTTTCAAGGAATTTGATCTCAAGACAATTGTGTACGGTGATTCTATTAATAATAGAAATATGATACGCATATTGAACGAGTTAGGAGTCTATGGAATAATAGTAGATGATCTAAAATTAATCTTTTCAGCAGATAATAATGATCATTATTAAAACTATCTTCTTTATTATTTGTTTGGAAATTGTGTCTTGCGTAAAGTCTGGTCACTTATTTATCTCGTTAAGAAACTCTTCTAGTTCTCGCATTTTGATTTTGGTATGATCAAACATACCAAGGTTGTCTTCTTTTCCCTCACCATCAACCTTCCTAGTGTCTCCCCAAGTGAAATTGTCAAAGTGCCAGAAGGCATATGTGGGCAGAACAAAATTCCAGATAGGAATAGACAGCACATAAACAAAACACCAGAATATGTACTGTATCTCCATCGTTGTGATCAGTATCAATAAGGCAGGTAAGCCGAAAATTCCAACTAACATGATCAAAGGAACCCAGGCTGGCTCTATCAGGATGGATACAGTAATCATGATAAACGTGAAAATTATCGCTGCCGGGAGTACTAATGTTCCAAATAGCTCCATCACCACAACAAGTTGCATCGAAAAGCAAAAGGCCCCACAAAGATTGTTAACCTGGACAAGCTCAAATAGATTATGTATAGTTGAGTTAATCCATCTTCTCCTTTGGCTGAGAAGGACACTAAACTCCCCAGGGACATACGTTTCGCATTTGGCTGCAGGAATAAACACAAGTTTTCTTCTATAAAAGTTTTTCAGCAACAGAGTCGTTAAATACCTATCTTCTCCCAGGTGCAAAAGATTTTTTTGATGCAAGGTCTTTGCTTCAAGAACAGAATAAGCATTTATGATTGCTGGATTTGCAAGAATCGGAAGGCAAAAACTCTTTTCTAAGGACGAATTCAGAATAGACTTCACATTGTTCAGCCTTGGGGCGTTCGTTTGAGACTTAGACGGCCCAGAAAGCAATCTCCCTTGCTGGTTTGTAACAATCTTAATTCTATACATGCAAAAGCATCCAGGAAGGCATGTAACACCACCAAATACAGACTCAAAAGCCTTATTAAGGTGGTGACTGATGTAATATTCAAAAACCTGTATCATGGTAACCCAGCTCTCGAATTTGTTCAAAATCATGGTCTCCCCGCATATTCCAATAACCTTTTGATCAGTTTCAAAAACATTCACCATAATAGACAAAGCATCCGGTTTAACTATTGTATCTGCATCAACCATCAGTATACATTCAAAGTCTTCCGGCTGCATATGCGGCATCAAAAACTTCATCTTCTGGTAAATTTCAAAATCTAGCTCCGTCATCCTGTCTCCATAAATTAATTTTGAAAAGAAGGACATCAGAATCACCTGACTGTCTCTTTTTCCTCTGTTCCCAGCCTTAAATGTTTCTTCGGGATTTCCACATTTATTGATTATGAGGATCCTTGTCTTATAGTTCTTGACCTCCGTAGAATCTTCCTGTCTTCCAAAGCAAGGCCAACATCTGTATTGTTTTCTCTTTTTTTCTTCACTTACATGGTAGTATCCTCCATATACCTTGGCTCGGTTGTAGCGCTTGGCTCCGTCCGTAAGAGATATGTAACCTTTGGGCTCTGCATTTCTATTTACATCACACAGCCCTAAAACTATATCGGGAGTACTCAAATCGTTTCCAGACCCAGTTATTTCTCCGTCGCATATCACCACAATCAACTTATAGTCATATCCATAATCTTGTTTGCAGAGACTGTCTAGAGTGTTTTTTATACCATCCCTTCCTTCGCTGTAGCATGTTACCAGCAGTATACAGGGAGTTACATTTGGACTAGGTCTTGGTTTCCTCTTCACATACCAAGAGTAGAAAAATCCTAGGGAGAACTTTGTAATTATCAGTCCAAAGATGGAGACAGTTGTGATCCAGAATACTGTGTCGGCAAGAAGGCATCCCGGTGTTTTTGTAGCAATCTTCCCTGCATAAAACATGTCTTGATAGCACTTCCATTCGTCCATATCGAAATCAGGTTTTCCTTCCGTCCCTGCATACTTACGGTTAAATTCTTCAAATAAAGGCTCAGAACAATGTGATGGGTCGTAAACTTTGTTGTTGACAACTACCATTCCCTTCTTCATTATATCCCCCCACTCCCAATAGATATCGTTTATTCTCTCTAGGTCTTCGATATCCTCTGAACCGCTGGGAAGCTGTCTTCCAAATGCAAGCTTGCATGCATCACTCTCTTTTTCAAACACATGTGTGTAGTTCTCCCCAATTGTATATTCGTCATCTGTATAATAGAGCCCTCCATTTGCTATTACAATGTTTCTGTTAAATCCATCCACCTTAAGTTTTGATGCAACATATTGTGTATTTCCTCTGCAAACAATAGTGTTCATTCCATAGGTCATAAAGGCTAATACGATCCAACAGAAAAATATACAAATGCATAAAGCTACCTTTTCTCTCCATGCATGTTGAATCTCCGGCGTTGTCATTCCAAAGCATCTCAACATAAAATTCGGAATTAAACATGTTAGAAATATAGTCATCTTATACCACCATCCTTTGTTTTCCGATGTACTTTTGGGAGGCCTTTGAAGCCTTGTTCTGGACGGATTTCTTAGTATCTCCCCCTGCGATAGCATTTGTTTGTGTAAGGTAGATTCAATATAAATTTCACTTTAATTAATTTGAAAAAGAGGCTTTCAGGGAGACTTCAAAAAATAGAAGGCTGAGTTGACATAGAGCTCGTAGAGGATGTCAAAGATGTCCAGGTCCTGGGTGTCTGTCTCAGAAAACCCAAGCACAGCACACCTCAGGTCTCCCTTCCACCGCACCCCGCTCCTCTCCACATCTCTCCTCCCAAGATATGCCTTCTTCGTCAGCGCAGTGTTCTGCACAAACTCGTTCTCGTTGAGCTCCATGTGCACCCTGTATCCATATTCAGGGAGGTAGTCGACCTCGAGAGATCTCAGCCATCGCGTGTCTGGCCTGCCGAGTGCATCCACAGGGAGCAGTGCCGCCCCGGGCCTGTAGTTCGCAAGTGCGCGGGCCCAGTAGCACTCAACTGCCCTGCGGACAAGCCCGTCCTTCTTTCCAAGCAGAGGCTTGATGTTCCTGTGGTGCTCCAGCTTGCACTCAAAGTCCCTCCTTGCAAACGCCTCGTGCTCCCCGTCAATGTCGGACTGGATCTCGTCCAGAAGCCTACAGATCTCTGCATCCTGCATCCAGGGGGGCATGGCGGCTTTGCAATGGGTCCCCTGCAGCGGGTTTGAAGTTTCCTAGCCCCGTCTTCATGCGCCAGTACTCCCCGCGGAGCTCCATCAGCTCGCCATGGCTTCCAGACTCGACTATGCGGCCGGCGTCCATCAGGATGATCCTGTCCATGTGCTCTGCCATCCACAGATCGTGGAAGACCATGACAACAGTCTTTCCGGGAAGGCCCATCAGCAGGTCGAAGATGGCCCTTTCCCCACTTGCATCCAGCCTCGACGTGACCTCGTCGAGAAGCATCAGCGGCTTGTTCTGGAGCAGGCATCTTGCAATCGAGACCATCTGGACCTCTCCGCCGCTCAGCATCTTCATGGCCGAGTGGAGTCCTCGCCTCACAAGCAGGGGCCCGAGGCCTGCACTCCTGGATGCCTCGAGGATCTTCTGGAGGCTGGTTGCTGGGAGGCCGTATGAAATGTTGTGGAAGACAGTCTCGTCGAAGAAAGGCATGTCCTGAAGAATGCAGGCGATGGAGGCGCGGAGGGCAGCAGGGGAGGTGTTGCGGAGCTCGAGGCCGTTGACGCGGATGGAGCCTGTGTAGGAGTGGAGCATCGGGATCAGCCTTAGGATGGAGCTCTTGCCGCTTCCAGGCCTTCCGATGATTCCGACACGCTCGCCACGGGCAATCTTGAAGGACAGGTTTCTGAGGATGGGAGGGGCGTTTGGATATCCGAAGCTGACGCCCTCGAACTCGATGGCTGGAGGGGCTTGGGACTTGGGGGATGACAGAGAGGGACACGGGAAGCCTGTGGCAAGGGAGGAGGCGGGACTCTGTCTGGCCATCCTCTCCAAGTGGTCGTGGAGGATCAGCAGATCTTCGCAGTCTATCAGCCAGAACCCCATGTCCCTTGCAATGACACCCAGTGTCCACATGGACAGGTCGATGGAGAATACAAAGGAAAAGAGAGTTGCCAGGTCTCCAATGGTCATTGTGCCGGAAAAGGCATCTGGAGTGCCCTTGAGGACGGAGTAGACAAAGAGGATTGTGAAGAGTATCCTCTGGCCAAAGTTGATTATGGCCACACATCCCTTGTCGGAGAGCTTGAGAGTCCACATTGCCCTTATGATCTCCTGGAGGCTGTCGACCTCGGCCTGCTCGCAGCAGCATGTCTTGACAAGATCCATGTTTGAGACACACTCGTGGATCTTCTTGGAGACCGAGTTGTCTGCATAGTTGATTCTCTCCTTGTACCAGGAACGGATCCTCAGGGTCACAAAGGTGTAGACAGCATAGATGGAGATTGTGAAGAGGATGGGGAGAAGGTATCTGAGGCCAAACATCCTATAGACCTCTCTGAGGAGAAGAACAAGGTTGAAGAATGCAGGGACGGCGACGGTGAGGATCTTTGTAAGGACCTTGCAGATCTTCTTGTTTCCCCTCTCGACAATCCTGTTGAGGCTTGTGGGCTTGATTTCGCAAGCATGGGAGGCGTGGATTGCAAGGTAAAGAATGCGGGAGGTTATGTCCTCGACAATCCTGTTTGTTATGATGGAGAAGAGGACGACCTTGGACTCGATGAAGAGAGAGGAGAGGGTTCTGAGGACGAGGAAGGCTGTTGCCTTGCGGAAGATCAAGGACATGCCTGGATTGTCGGAGTCCTTGATGTGCTTTATGGTGTCGATGATAGAGCCTCTCTTCTTGATGGAAGCAACGTCAAGCCACTTTCCAAGGACGATGCAGAGGGCCATTACAACGACTATTGCAACCTCGTGGGGAGATGTGGGCTTTAGCATGGATGCAAGTCTGCTCCATATTGCTCGACGGTCTATTTTCTTCATTAGCTTTGGAAAGGGGAGGGGGTTTTATTGTCTGAGATGGCGGCAAGAAGCGTTTTTAATAAACTACTTGTAGATGGGATGGGCGTCTACGAGGGCAAGGACCCTTTTCTTCAGATCGGCGGCAGCGGGGCTGGAGGACAAGAGGGCAGACGCTGTTTTCTGGAGCTCTGCCTTTGGGATGCTCTTCCCTGGGAATGTCTCTCTGCAGAGCTCGACGACGCCGTTGATTATGGCGGCAAGCTCTCTCATGTCATGTGGGCCAAGGCCCCTGGCAGTGACGGCATATGTGCCTATGCGGATTCCGGATGGGTTGAGGGGGCTTGAGTCACCGGCAATGGTGTTTCTGTTGAGGCTGATTCCCAGGATGTCGCACACATGCTCGACAGCGGTGGCGTTGACGTCCTTGTTCTTGAGGTCTACAAGGAACATGTGGTTGTCTGTTCCGCCTGTGGGGATGTCGAAGCCCAGGGACAGCAGATGGGCGGAGAGTGCTTTAGAGTTTTCGACGACACACCTGGCGTACTCTGCAAACTCGGGGGTTGCGGCGTGGAGAAGAGCCGAAGCGATTCCAGCGATTGTGTGGTTGTGGGGGCCGCCCTGGAGCATGGGGAAGACGGCGAAGTTGATCTTTGTGTCCAGGTCGATGGAGACGGCGTTCTTTGTAACTGTTTTCCTGTAGAAGATGAGGGCGCCACGGGGGCCTCGAAGGCCTTTCTGGGTTGTTGTCATGACCACGTCGCAGTGGTTGAAGGGGCTGTTCATCAGGCCACATGCAACCAGAGGAGAGATGTGGGAGATGTCGGCAAAGAGAAAGGCGTTGTTGGAGGCAGCCAGGGAGGAAAGCCTCTTGTAGTCGATGTCTCTGGAGTATGCGCTGTACCCGCAGATCAGGATGTGAGGCTGGAAGTTGTTGAAGGCATCCTCGAGGGCATTGTAGTCGATGAAGCCGTCGGGGCCTATTCTGTAGGCTCTTGAGTCGAAGTAAACGCTTGTGGCCGATATCTTCCTGGTCTTTGTCCTGTATCCGTGTGTCAGGTGGCCTCCAGATGGAAGATCGAGGCCCATGATTCTTCCTCCGGGAGGAACGAGGGCTGTATAGACGGCAAAGTTGGCTGGGCTCCCCGAGTATGGTTGGACATTGACGCCCCAGACTGCTGGGTCGAGGCCGAAGAGCGAGAGAGCCCTCTTCTGGCAAAGGGTCTCGATCTTGTCTATCCATTGTGTTCCTCCGTAGTACCGTTCTCCCACTCTCCCCTCGGAATACTTGTTGGTAAGGACCGACCCGCAGGCCTCCATCACGCTTTGGTGGACGTAGTTTTCACTGGCTATCAGATTTATTGTCTTTTGCTGCCTTGCAGCCTCTCCGCAGATCAGGGCATGGAGCTCTGGATCCACTGTTTCCATCGGGCCTGTCCAGAAGCCCTCTCCTCTTCCCTTTGTCATGGCTTGTCCTTCCCCAAAACTTAAATACTTGTTGGAGGGAAGATTTTCAGACGCTCATGTTCATCTGGATTGGAGGATGAGGGTTGTACCCCACAAGCTCGAAGTCCTCGAACTCGAAGTCTTCGATTTCCACTCTTGTTCCCTTTGGATTAACAAAGAGCTTTGGGAACTCTCGGGGCGTTCTTTGGAGCTGTAGCCTGAGGGAGTCGATGTGGTCAAGATACACATGTGCATCCCCCAGGAAGTGGACAAACTCTCCAGGCCGGAGGCCTGTCAGATGGGCTATGATTATTGTGAGCAGAGAGTAGGAAGCTATGTTGAAGGGCACGCCCAGGCCCATGTCTCCCGACCTTTGGTACATTGCACAGTTCAGCTTTCCATCCATCACATTGAATTGGAAGAGAACATGGCAGGGAGGGAGAGCCATCTTGGGAAGGGCCAGGGGGTTCCATGCACACACAACCATCCTTCGGCTCTCTGGGTTGTTCTTGATCGACTCGATCACATCCCTGATCTGGTCGATGCCCTGGCCCTTATAGTCTGAGCTGGATGTCTGGTACTCTGCACCGAAATGCCTCCATTGGAACCCGTATATTGGGCCTAAATCTCCTTCCTCTCTGTCCAGACCCATGGACTGCAGGAACTGCTTGGATCCGTTTTTCTTCCAGATCATGACACCTTTTTTCTCGAGGATGGCGGAGTCTGTCTGGGCCCTCAGGAAGAACAGAAGCTCCTCGACAATGCCTTTGTAGAAGACCCTCTTTGTTGTCAGCAGGGGAAATGTGTTGTCTTCGAGGGAAAACCTCATTGATGCCCCGAAGATGGACAGGGTTCCTGTGCCGGTTCTGTCTTGCCTCTTGACACCCTTTTCGAGGATGTGGGCAATCAGATCGAGGTACTGGTGTTCTGGATGTCTTGTTTCTTGGGTCATCTGATGTTTTTGGAGGGTTGGAAGGGCTACTAAGGATGTAGTTTGGTGTAAATGAACATCTTGAAGGAGATGCCGCCTTCGTTGAAGATGTTTTCTTCTGGGATGTAGAAGGCATCTACAAGGGTGGTGTCCACAAGCCTGGCGACATCGCGAGTGATGTCTCTCTTTTGGTAGGAAGACCAGTCGACCTGAGGGAAGAACACATCGCATTCTGGGGACTCGTGGACCTCTGTGACAAACATGGCCTGGACCCTGCCTGTCTGGATTGCAAGGGCATAGATGTCATGTCCTCCGATGACAAAGGTTGCAGGAGATGGGGGAAGAGGTAGATGGTCGAGGGCGGCGAAGCTTGGGATGAAGAAGGTGTTCTGGGAATGGGGGAGGGAGGATCTTGACAAGACGACATTGATGCGGTTTTGAAGGGGCCTGAAGCGCGAGGGGATGGAGTGCCATGTCTTTCTGCCCATGACGACGACATTTGATTTGGAGGGGGAGAGGCTGATGTGGTCGGGGGAAAGGATAGGGACGCTCTGGGAGAGGATTCTGAACCAGGCCATGTCTGTCTTGAGGGGATGTTTCCAGGGGAGTTTCCCGTGTCTTCCTATGCCTTGGTTTGCAGCAAGAGCCACAATTAAGGCAATCATGGATTATTAAATAGTATTAATAAAAAAGCGAAAACAAAAGGGAATGAAATGGATTGAATTGGCAATTGGATTGATACCCATGATTGAGGGTAGGCAGGAAGAGGATTCTTCGTACAGGCGAAGACTGGAGAAGATTGTGATTCCGGAGCATTACGACCTGCATGTAAAAGTGATGGACGTGGGGTTCTGCGGAAAGGTAGGGATCTCTGTGAGTATTTTGGAACCTGTAAGGGAGATAGTGATGAACGCAAAAGAACTTGAGATTCAGGAGGCGACGATTCGGGTTGGAGACACCGAGGTTCCTGGAGAGATAGTGATGGGGGAGAAGGAGAAAGAGTACGAGATTGTGCGGATTGTGTTTGAAAAGGAGATTGAGGCGGGGAAGGGATATATCACGGCGAAGTTCTGTGGAGACTACAACAACGGACTTGTAGGGTTCTACAAGAGTGGGGAAGAGAAGGAGATATATAGTACGCACTTTGAGCCGACGGATGCACGGAGGGTGTTTCCATGTTTTGACCAGCCGGACATGAAGGCAACATTCCAGATTTCGATTGATGCGCCCTCGAGGCTTGTTGTTCTTTCGAACAGCCCCGAAGAGGAAGAGAAGCGGGAGGAGTATGGAGACAGGGCGATTTCGTATTTTGAGAAGACAAGCAAGATGTCGACGTACCTTGTTGCATTTGTGATTGGAGACCTTAATTACATTGAGGACTGGAGCAAGGGGGGAGTGCGACTTCGAGTGTATGGACAAGGAGAGGAAGTGGAGTGGGGAAGATACGGACTGGAGGTTGCAAAGAGATGCATTGACTACTTTTCTGAGTACTTTGGGATTGGATATGAGTTTCCACGGAAGGAGAGTGCAAAGGTGGACATGGTAGGGATTCCGAGCTTTGGAAGTGGAGCAATGGAGAACTGGGGGCTGATTACGTTCCGACGGGAGAGTCTTCTGTATGTTGCAGGGAAGAGCAGTGTGGAAGACAAGAAGAATGTGGCGGAGACAGTGTGCCACGAGCTAGCACACATGTGGTTTGGGAACCTTGTGACGATGGAGTGGTGGGACGACCTATGGCTGAACGAGGGGTTTGCAACATGGATGTCGTACAAGGGGATGGAGAACATCGGGGATGTTGTGGACTGGGATGTGTGGGGAGAATTTTTGCTCTGGGATGTGATCCGAGGAATGCTTGATGATGGGCTTGGAAAGAGCCACAAGATCCAAATGGCTGTTGAGAATGCAGGGGAGATTGGAGAGATTTTTGACACGATAAGCTACAGCAAGGGGTCGAGTGTGATCAGGATGATTGAGAGATATGTGGGGGAGTCTGTATTTATGCTGGGGATCCGGCGATACATAAGAGAGCATATGTATGGGAATGTGAATGGAGAGAGTCTGTGGAAGGCGATTGGAAAGGAGTATGGAAAGGATATTTTGCCGATGGTTGAGGGATGGATTTCGCAGGCGGGGTATCCTATGGTAGAAGTGTCTGAACGTGAGTCTTCACTTATGCTGAAGCAGTCGCGGTATTCGATGATAGGAAAGGGGGATTCGAGTGTATGGACGGTGCCTGTTGTGATAGAATGGGAAGGAGGAGAGAAGGAGAGTATTTCGTTTTCTGGGAAGGAGATGGAGATTCCTCGGAAGAAGGAGGGATACAAGATGAATGCGGAGTATGGAGGGTTTTACCGAGTGAAGTACGGACTTGATGGGCTTAAGCGTCTTGAGAAGAGGATTGGGGAGATGAGCAGCGAGGACCGAGTGAACATGATTGAAGATGTGTTTGGGGTTGGGTTTGGGCTGTATGGAGGACTAAAGGAAGGACTTCGAAAGGTTGGAGAGTATTACTCTGAGACGTACCATGTTGGACGAAGTGCCATTGAGAAGCTTCTCCGGATCCGAAGTGTGTTCTATGACGACTCGGAGGTTGTTTCTCTTGTGGAGAAGAAGATTATTGGGCTAATTGAAAGGAGGATTTCTTCTGTGGATGTTTGGAAGAGGGAAGGATCAGTTGAGGAGATCAGCATGGACAAGTATGTACTGTCGGTGGGGATTGAGGTTGGCAGCAAGGTGGCAAAGGAGAAGGTTATGGAGATGTGGAATGAGCATCTTAGAAGCGGAAAGGAGCTTGGAGAGTTCCGAAGGATTGTGTACGAAGGAGTTGTTGACGACAATCTGGAGTACATGATGGAGAAGTACTGGAAGGGAGACACGCCTGGGATGCGACGGGAGGTGATGTTTGGATTCGGAGGGATCCAGAAGCAAGAGAACTTTGAGAAAATATTGTCTTCGCTTGGGAAGTTTAATGTGGAGGACATTGGAGTGGTGATAGCGGTGATCTGCCGAGGAAACAAGTTCCGGGACGCAATGGTTGAATATGTTGTGAGCCACGGGGAGGAGCTGTGTTCGATGGTGCATGATAACGGGATGTTGTATAACATAATCATTATGTCTCTGCGGCACGTGAGTGGAGAGGCGATGGTGTCTCGAGTGGTTTCGTTCCTGTCTGGAATCAAGCATCCTGGAAGCCAGCTGAACATTGAGAAGGTGCAGGACGAGATTGAGTGGAGACGAAGAATGAAAGGAATCCGAGAGGAGATTCTCTCTGGGCTTCGAGAAGAAGCATGGGAATAAACAGAGCATTCTTTAGTGAAAGTATTTAATGTCTTGTCTGATTAAGAGGTTTTGGGGCCCCTTCTATTGTTTCCGGGATGTGGAGTAGGGCCAGGGCCATTGTATGGTCTGTGCCGATGGGCCTTTGAGTGTTTCTTTACTCATCATCATCACCGTTTTCTCCATTAGTACCGCAGGAGGGATCTCCCAGTCCTCCGGGATTTCCCGATCCTCCACCTCCATTTCCTTGTCCTTCTACGTTACCAGAAGACGAAGACGATCCGGTCTCGGCAAGAATTCCTGTGAGGAGTGAGAGAGAGAAGAAAAGAAAAGCCTTGGAGTTCATTGTAGGGGTGAGCGGGGAAGTTCCTTATGTACTTGAGGATTTAAGGAGAGGAGCAAGTTAAAGGAGAGGCTTTTCAATGTCCTGTAGAGGAAGTGTGTGATTGAAAAGATTGAGAGCATAGGGTGGTTTGAGAGGGGTCTATGTTGTGATTGGGATGTGGGGGGAGGGGCTATGGAGAGAAGGGGGAGCGAGGGGGAGGATTGGGATGTGGGGAGAAAAGAGAGTGGTTTTGGATTAGTTTTGGTCTCCTCTGAGAGAGATTTGTGTTTGACGGTGGGGATGGAGGATTTTTTGGGATTTGATGTGGCTGTGGCCAGGGGTTTGTTGATGAGGGATCTGAGAGATTTTTGATGGGGGGTAGCATCAGGTTGATTCTGCCTGACGTGGATGCTATTCTCTGGGACTAAGCCATGCATGTTGATGAACCTTGTGGGGGATTGACGGACGGCTCAGTGATAGTACGATGATTTGGTTGGCGGGAGAGCTGTAACTGCGGGAAACTGCAGGTAGGGGGCTAGGAGTGTTTTTGACACGAGCCAAGTAAGTTGTAGGCCTATCAGCTGGTAGTTAGGGTAATGGCCTAACTAGGCGGAGACGGGAGACGGGGGATCGGGGTTTGATTCCGGAGAGGGAGCCTGAGAGATGGCTACTACGTCCAAGGATGGCAGCAGGCGCGAAACTTGCCTAATCCTTTGGGGAGGCGGTTATGAGAAGTGAGTTTTTTTCGAGTGTAAAGGAGTCGAGATTGATTGGAGGGCAAGTCGGGTGCCAGCAGCCGCGGTAATACCTGCTCCAATAGTGTCTATGGTGAATGCTGCAGTTAAAAAGTCCGTAGTCTTTTGTATGTCTTTGTTTGGGGGATTATGTCCTGATGTGGATGTAAGAGGTTTGGCAGAGGACGAGGGGCACCGGATAGTTGGGCGAGGGGTGAAATACGAAGACCCTGACTGGACGGACAGAAGCGAAGGCTGTGCTCTTGGACTTATGTGACGATGAAGGACGAAGGCTAGAGGATCGAAATCGATTAGATACCGTTTTAGTTCTAGCAGTAAACGATGCCGACTGGACGGGACTATATAGTGTTGTGCATGAGAAATCTTGAGTATGTGGGTTCTGGGGATAGTATGCTCGCAAGAGTGAAACTTGAAGAGATTGACGGAAGGACACCACAAGGAGTGGAGTGTGCGGCTTAATTTGACTCAACGCGGGGCAACTTACCGGTTCTGAAGCGGGCAGGAGAACGAGGACGGGATGCGCGCGGCGGTGGTGCATGGCCGTTTGAAATGGATGGCGTGAGCTTTGGATTAAGTTGCGTAAGATGTGAGACCCTTTGACAGTGCTCTTTGGGGCAAGGGAGGAATGGAACAGAACAGGTCCGTTATGCCCTGAGATGAAGCGGGCGGCACGCGCACTACGATAGATGGCGAGGGAGCCTGCTGTGAGGGATGAAGCTGTGTAATGGGCTTCTGAACGTGGAATTCCTAGTAATAACGATTGAACAAGTTGTTTTGAATGGGTCCCTGTCCTTTGTACACACCGCCCGTCGCTATCTAAGATGACGCAGTGGACGAAGATTGGAAGGTCTGAGTCCTTCGTGTTAGATAAGATATAAGTCGTAACATGGCTGCTGTTGGAGAACCAGCAGCAGGATCAGTATTTGAGAGATTGGGGGGAATTTTTTTGATTTGAGGATTCACGGGATTGATAGGCATTAGCAGCGAGGAAGGACGTGTAGGAGGACGATATGCCTTTTTGAGGATGTCTGAATGAAGCGGAAGCGCTTGGGGACCCCTTTGACTTAAGCATATCAATAAAGGGAGGAGAAGAAACCAAAAGGGATTGTCGGAGTAGCGGCGAGTGAAAGGACAGGAGCTCGAATGGTAACTGCGTTTGGCGGGTTGTTTTGAGTAGGAGGAGACTGAGCTAGGGATTGAAGTCCCTGATCTTAGAGGGGGAATGGCCTGTAAGTATCCGGACTTGAGAGAAGAGTAGGGTTGTTTGGTAGTGCAGCCTGAATTGGGTGGTGTTTTTTTTCACCGAAAGCTAAATATAAGCTAATGACCGATAGCGAAGAAGTAGAGTGATTGAAATGTGAAAAAGACAAGATGAAAAATGAAAGTGAATGCTTTGAAGGGGATGAGACCCGCCCGTCTTGAAACACGGACCAAGGAGAGGATGGCTGGATTGTTTTAGCGAGAGCTAGTGGATGCAGTGATCCGACCCGAAAGATGGTGAACTATGCCTGTGTTGATTGAAGGGATGCGAAAGTGTTCTGGAGGATCTAAGCCGTTCTGACGTGCAACTCGATGGCATGAGATGGGCATAGGGGCGAAAGACCAAACGAACCATCTGGTAGCTGGTTCCCTCTGAAATGTCTCTCAGGACAGCGGCGACTTGATGTAAGATGTTGTAAAGCACTAATGCGATAGCGTTAAACTTTGAAGATGTCTTGTAAGGGGGTAGCCAGTGGGCATATTGTGGTAAGCATGATGTGCGAGAAGGGATGAACCTTTTTTAGGATAAGGAGCCGTATGCAAGGGAAGAGAATCTGGCGGTTTGATTTTGACAGTTGGACGGTGGCCATGGAGGTTGGCATCCGCTAAGAAACGTGTTGCAACGTACCTACCGAATTGGGCGCTGGAGAAAATGGAAGGGATTGAATTGCAGGTATCCGAGGCCTTAGCGGCGGAGCTGAGTAAGAGGGCGATATCATTCTGACGAAGGTCCTGCGTGAGCGGGGGTGGAGGGGTGATATGAGCAGATCTTGGTAGTAGTAACAAGAAAGGATTTGCGCTGTGGACGAGGGTTCCCCATTTGATGGGGGTGAATCGACTGTTGAAACGGAGACTGATTGAAGATTGAGTGTATGGATGCTTTGAGGCGACTTGATGATGACGGATGGGGGATTTTTGATCCTAGGAGAGCAGAACTAGGGGAAGTAGCGGTGTGGATTGTTAAGAGACGAAGCAGCGCTGAGGAGATGACCTGTTCCGATGAAAAAGAAGCATGCATGTCGTACCTAGACCGCAACAGGTGTCCACTGTTTGACGCGGAAGCGAATTTGAGAAGGGTTGTAAGGGAAGTCGGCAAGATGGATGTGTAACTTTGGGAGAAGGATTGGCTCTAGCGTGCTAGAACTGTTTGTTGTGGGGAATCTGACTGTTTATTAAAAACATAGCCTTGCGGAAGAACGCAAGGTGAATTCTGCCCAGTGCACTTTTAGTTACGGCTTTTTGAGCTTAAGCGAGTGTAAACGGCGGGAGTAACTATGACTCTCTTAAGGTAGCCAAATGCCTCGTCATGTAATTAGTGACGCGCATGAATGGAGCAACGAGATTCCCACTGTCCCTACGACCTGTATTGTGAACCTACAGCCAAGGGAACGGGCTTGGGCTGATCAGCGGGGAAAGAAGACCCTGTTGAGCTTGACTCTAGCATGTGAGAAGTGCTGAGGGTGGTTATGAAGAGAGGTGGGGGGAGATGTGCGAGACCACTATGACTGAGCCTCAGCGGTTTATTTATGGATGTGGGGAGTTTGGCTGGGGCGGCACGACTGCTAAAGACTAACGCAGACGTCCTAAGGCGGGCTCAGCGGGGAAGGAAACCACGCGTGGAGCACAAGGGCATAAGCCTGCTTGAGACTATTCCTATTGCGGGATTGTTTGGGGGAAACCCTGGCCTAGAGATCCCATGTCCTATAAGGCTTGGGACATGGGTGACAGAAAAGTTACCACAGGGATAACTGGCTTGTAGCAGCCGAGCGATCATAGCGACGCTGCTTTTTGATTCTTCGATGTCGGCTCTTCCTATCATCGTGAAGCAGAAATTGCGAAGTGTTGGATTGTTCACCCACCAACAGGGAACGTGAGCTGGGTTTAGACCGTCGTGAGACAGGTTAGTTTTACCCTACTGTGATTGACTGGGCAGTAAATCTTGATAGTACGAGAGGAACTCTTGATTGCGACCTCTGGTGGAGCGGCAAGCCTGCTGGCTGTTGCGGAGCTACGTCGGGAGTATAATGGCTGAAGGCCTCTAAGCCTGAAGACTGACTGCGCTGTGATGTGGACGGAAGACGACCGTTATGGATGCAAGCTGTGCGAATGGAGGAGTAATCCGACATTTTGAGGCTGTGCATTTTTTCCTCGATGTGGGGAGAGGGGAAGAGGATTGAA